ATAAAAATACAGCTTACACCAGGAATAATACGTCACGAAGACCGTGGAGACGAGACAAGGATAGGATAGGAGTTGGCTCGCCGTGCACAGTTTGACCTGTAACCTCGGGCGAACGTCCGTAGCCTCGAAGGGACTACCAAACAATAACTATCGCCAACTACAACTTCTTGAATGTATCACACCCCCTCTACTCCCCGCCTTTTGTTTCAAGTCAGGACATGGATATGGAAGCCCTTTTCCTACTCAGGATATCATGCAGATGAACGCCCCACGACGTCGCGCTCCTCGCGGGCACTATAATATAGAATAAGATATATAGAGAACAAATAAGTGTGACTCCCCGTAAGAATCGATTTTCTTCTCACCATCGACGTCGACCAGCACAGAGGGATCAGTGAAGATTAGAGAAGCAAAAATTATCGCAATCCTAACAAGCGTGCATCATGTCTGTTTCTTCTCTTTACAAGGAGATTCTCCTGCGTGGTTGTAGGAACAAAAAGTGAGAAGAAGGCAAATACCAATGAGAATTCTCTTGTTCTTCTAAGCTATTCGGTTATTTCAGTGAGCTACTCGCATATATCAATATTTGATTACTTTATCCTAAGGAGCATGCATTTCTCCTTGTTGATTCTTCTAAGTAGCAAACAACTACTAAGCAACATGCGTTTCTCCTTGTTGATTCTTCTAATGTATGGTTCCGGTTTTTGGTAACATGAGTTTGATCCTAAGGGTTCTCTTCTTGTTTTCCCTTATGATCAAATTCAGGTTACCAAAAACCGGAACCGTTCATCTAAGTAGGAAATAAAAGCGCGAATGAGAAATATCTTGTAAGCGTTATAAGAATTGCATTTATTTCTGAACCTTAAGTAGAGATACTCCCGGATGTTGCTGAAGGCGTGCTCCACACTCTCAACCGAAGTGGTGTTAGAGTGGTGTTACACCTTCTTTTTAAGCACATCTTTGACTGCTCTCTAACTTATTTATTCCTCCTTTGTAGTAGTAGTAGTAGTGTACCCATTCGAGAGGTAGCAAGGAGAATGAATGCACAAATTTGCCTAGCGTGAGGTAATGCTAATGCAGTGTCCTGTCAGTTCACCTTGTTTGACGAGTATTACAACTGCCTACATACCTGCTGCAGGTCTCCAATACAGACGCAGCTTCATCTTCACCTTTGACGAGTATTACAACGACGTAAACGAGTATCAGAACTACTTCAAAAAATCTCACCACCTTTGACGAATAAAAACCTTCGTTGGCTACTCGTTTAAAGACCTTCGTTTAAACGAGTATCTTCACACCACCTTTGACGAATATTAGACCTGCAACACGAGTAAAGAAGAAGCTGCGTCTGCATTGGATCACCTTTGACGAGCAGGTCTCCAGTACAGGAGACGCGTGAGCTTCTTCCTATCCTTGAACTAAAAAATTAGTTCGTACTCATGCACACTCTTGTTGAAACTAAAACCAGCCAGCGGTTCAAAGATGCAGCTATTCGAAAAACTGAAATAAGCGAGTCACTACTTACAATAAGCGAGATACTGAACAAGGAAGAGTAGCCTTAAATCAAGCTACCTCCCTTATTTCAGTCAGTAACTCGGTTATTTTCAGTTTTCGAATAGTTCGTACTCATTCACACTCTTGTTGAAATTAAAACTAACTAAAAGCCAGCTCTTCAAAGATGCAGCTACAGTTCCTACAGCTCACTCTGACGAAGATGCGGCGTTCCTAAGTTGAGATGCAGTTTCTAGCGTTCCTATTAAGATGCTCTAGCTCTTCGTGTTACAAATGTCTGTGGTGTTGCATTTTCTACTCTTCGTATTAAGAAGAAACTCAAAGTAGTCTCCGTAATGGTCGGTCCAATTATGTCCTCTTCCACAGCTTCCACTTTATTTACCTGCTCCCCTACTTCCGTCTGCAGCCATGTGGTATTTTTTGTCTGGTGGTAGTTGTGGTCGTGCTTTTTCTCGTGCACCTCTAGCTGTAGCGGTTTCGGTTGCTGTTGTTGTTCTTGGAATATTAGAGCTTCTCAGGAAGTTTTTCATCTACCTAGTTCATTTACTCTACTGTTACTGTAAAGGAATCCTAGGGAGGAAATAATAACAGTGACGCTCTTCAGTTCATAGGGAGGTGGAAATAACAGTTGTGGGGAAGAAATAACAGTAGGGAGAAACGCCTTGCTCTTCAGTTCATAGAGAGACAGACATGTCTACGGAGGAATAAAAAGTAGGGAGACAGGGACGTCTGAGGGCCCATATCTATGTGGAGACCTAGTAAAAATACTGTGAGCCTTAACTGTAGAGTCGCATTGGCTTGATGGCGCACGCGTCCTATTGATGTGTCTGTCTTCCTCTCACTGGCAACGGTACCAGGTGGACCCCGATCCGGGGGGTAGACTGATGAGGATGTGTTTGCTTTATTAGACCTTACCGGTATTATTAATACCGGAATTCATCTTGCTTTGTGCATTTATTCTACCTTCTTGAAGAAGTTGAAAATACGCCAAATGTAAATCAAGATGCTTCTGAGAAGCGAACAACAACAAGATAAATTACATTGTTGAGCCTTAATTAGTGTTCCATTCTCACTCGCTGCAGATGGTGCGGATTCGTCACCCAGCCACTCCCCTGCGGCCAGCAGCGACTCCCCTAGCAGCGCTTGCTCTCTGTAAGCTAGAAAGTCTGGAAGCAGGCTGTCGTAGTAGTCGCCGTGACCAAAAAATGGAACCAGCACGGCAGGTACATTAGCGGCAATACTTGTAGCTGGCCATGCTCATGCACTTCATGCAGACTCACCCTCCGCGGTCAAGTCTGAAGCAAATCTTACACCGAGCAATGCAAACCGCCTCAACAACGGTAATACTTGTTCAAGTTCATCTAGAAGAACAAGCACAATCAGAGGACCATTGCAATTCAGTCGTGCTGTCGGAATCAAAAATAGAAGAACAAGAATAGAAGAACAAGAATAGAATTGAAGAATAAAAGTTGTAGAATAGGAGTTCGAGTTGTCGAAGAAAAAAAATAAATGGAAGAATAGAATAGTAGAAGAAGAATATTCAAGAATATTTTCTGAGCAAAATAGCACATCAGTGTTGTAGTTGTTGTAGATGTAGTTTCTTTGTGTCGCAGCGAGACAGACTCTTGATGTACTTGTTCTTGAGAAATAGAAATAGTATCAAAAATATAAACGAGCAGACGCAGAATAAGCACATAGACCTTATATATAGTATCAACAAAATGAAAATGAATGAATGTAAATAAAAGATGAAGTGAAATAAAAAAGGACTGGGTGCCCGGCCGTACAAGTGTAATACGTATGGAACGCAACGTAGAGAGCAAGCAAAGTAACCAATACGGAGCTGAGTCGCCCATTCCTGGTTGTCCATATCCAATTTCCGAATATCGATCCAAATAAATCTTCACTCCTTGTTGAGTCGTCGCTGTCAGTTGAGAAGTCGTCGCTATCACTGGAGTCAGAGCTGACGGAGTTGAGGACCTCATCATCGTGGTGGTCGTTGGCTGCATTATTGCGATCAGCTGCATGCTGCACCATCAGCGGTCTCTTGTTCTTTTTACTTCTCCTCCCCATCTTCTTCGGGGATAGGAAGGGATAGCAGAAGTCGGGGTGTAGGGGTTTATATTCCTGGGTAGGATTCGGGGTACGATTCCACCACTAGAAAAACAAGGGTAGTTGCACTAGTAGCAGTAGGAGCCACTAGAAGTTGTAGTGACAGTAGTAGTAGTCGTAGTTGTAGTTGTAGTTGTAACAATTTGTTCAATTTTCGTTACCACAAAAAATACTCGACAGTTGTGTTTTCCTGCCACATCTCAGGACCAGCAAGAAACACGTCGAAGCCTCCGCCTCTGCCTGGGCTTGTTGGGCGGGTAACAAGAAGTGTCGACTTTGTACTAGACTACTTTTTTTAGGGGTTTCAAGTTGACTCATCTACCTCGGAGTATAGATATGTATAATTCATCTGTTCTTTATCCTTTTCCCCCGGCGAATCATTCCAGATCCCCCAAAGTACTTATCCTTTTCCCGCGATATAGTAGTAAGAATGTCAGGCACGTGGACATAATCATCTATATTTTCTACTATCCTTCAAGAAGTCATCAACTACATTATAGATTTCTTGCTCATAGTGAGTATAGTGAGTCAAGTTGCAACCTCCCGTAATAGCATTTGTAGACTTGTAGTATTTGCTGTGTTCGCGAAATTTGAAGAAGTTGTAGTACTTGTGTTGTTAGCTGTGTTCGCGTGGTCCCATGCAGGTTCCGCAGCCTAGCTTCGACGCCCCAGCCTGGAGTAAGGACCAGATGGCGTGAGAAAACTCAGGTTCCTAGGCAGTAAAAACCAGCAAAATGGACGTCGTGAACGAGCATGGTTGGAGAAAAAAAATCATCTAAGTGAAAAATCTTGATTTAGATTCCCCCCAGAAGAAGATCTTTTTCTATTATTCTCCCACGGTGGGTCATGTCATGTTTCAATGGATCCACCAATGCAGGATATGATCGTACATTTTCTTATTGTACTCAGATGAGTGTGATCGTGATAATCTTGTTGTGTCATCAACATCAAGTTCTCTCTTGTAGTACACTCTCCTGAAATTCTCTCAAGGATTCTCATCCATAGCAGCCCTCACGCTCACAACTCCAACTAAGAATGTCATCGAGCAAAGTTGCTCCTCAACTCTACTACGCGGCATTTCAACTCCACCACGCCATGTCATGGTTATATGGGTCCTCCTCCTCCACCTCCTCCTCATCATCTCTTGTCCTGCTTATCCGAGTAATGGAGCACAACTACAGCTTACTAGCAGAAACACCAAAGCAAAGTTGTGGCGGAGCAATACCCTATCTCATATTTCTACATTCTGACGCGTTATACCTTGTTCCCATAAAGAGTCCGGATATGAAGACATGTTCGTGTTTTGTAAGAACAGTGTTTTTGCCCGACTATCATGAAATAATCGTGTGCTGCGCTTCGTTCAGGTGTAGTTGAGAGGAAGGAGAACAAGAAGGAGCACCTACGTGGGAAACATAAAAATGATCGTGAGCAAGAGATACACATCAGAGGAGGACGGAGTTTCCGCTGGTGTTCTCCTCTGGTGAAGATCTAAAGTTTTATAAGTTCTTCTAAAAGAGTTGTTCAATAGCAGGCTCGCAAATATTATACGAGAAGGCTCTAAAAGAGTTCAATACCAGAATATAATCAACGCTTATGGATCAAGAACACTAAAATGCCTTGTGCTGTTAAGTATTGGACCTGGATCCAAATCCAATTCCAAAAACTATTTTTAAATAATTACTCCAAAGCGCACCAAGAATGTTGTATTGTTTTTCATGGACGACTTGGAAGAGTGAAAAACTGTCAGTCACTACGACAGGTGGCGGTGGAAGTAGGACTAGGGCTACGTATCAGTACAGATTGTCATGTTCGAGCAGACGTAGACACACTATCCAGCGAGGCGTAGAGGTAGACCCACTATTGTGATGTATCCAGCGAGGGGTATCGCAGTTGTATGTTGCAGGAACAAGTCCGCTCGCTAGTCCCCAGTATGCTGAAAGAACAAGTCTGCTCGCTGAAACAACTCTTCCTCTTCATCAGCGTTCGCGCCAACTCGTTCATGATGCTCTCGACGGCCTTGGCGTCGGTGACGAAGGGAGCGAGGGTGGTGGTCCAGGAGGCCAAATCGTAGCAGTTGGCCTTGTTCATGGCGTAGGTGACCTTCTGCAGGTAGGTGGACACCTCCTCAGACATAGCCGGCAGGGTGCAGACCTTTCCCGCGATCTCCTTCATCAAGTCCAACTCCGGCTTCGGGCCAACGGACTCCTCCTCATCAGCGTTCGTCGTGAAGCAGAAGCATTTCTTTCATCTTGCACCATTAGAAGTGACACAGAAATCCAGCTTGGTGAGCATTCTGGTGCCTCTTACTTTCTTGTTCCTCTCACGAACAAGAAGGCCAAGATGCGGGGGAAGATGGATTTACCTGCGTCCGAAGAGAGGACTCGGGAATGAAGAAGGAAAAATGGGACCAAGATCGATGCCGGGGAAGTTGGATTTCCTCAAGCCTTAAAAATACAACCGCAATTGGTCATTCTGGCGAGCGTGAGGAGGAGTCGTCTCCTTCAACTGCTCTCTGATTTCGTTCTCCACGACCACCTTCAACTCTAAAGATTCCTAGGATTCCTCTCTCAATGAAGGGATCACGATTCCTCCTAGGACCATGACTTTGACTCCAAGGATGACTCCCCTGTCGATGAAGACCACTAGCTTGATTCCTCCTCCTAGGATCATGACTCCAAGGATGACCACTCCTCCTAGGCGACCTTAAATTAGTCTGTGCCACGTAGTGTTGTGCCGTGAACTCCTTTGCAGGCACGTAAGTAAGCGTTTTCCGCGTCCACCTGGTTCCACCACTTGACCATGTCCCTGACAAGAAAGTTTTATAAGGATAGGAATGTTTGAAGATGTTAGTAGCAGTGGTAGTTTGCCCACATTTCGTTGGGTAAGTCCAACACAAAGGCGGAAGGGGGGTTTGTCTTGTCCAAGGGGTGAAGATATGAAAGAATGTGACTCGTATTCCCTGACCCTGAGTTGTACTTTCTCGTTTGAAAGCAGACCTAGTTGCACTTTCTCTTGAAAGATGAAGGTGCTTCCTAGTATTGGAAGAACACAACCAACCGACAAATGATGGAGTAGGTCTGAGTGTTCAAACGACGAACTGCTCTGCTTCTACCATTCTGGTGCCTGAGCCTGAACAAGAAGGTGGGGCGGAAATGGTGCATTATAGGTCTAAACTAGAAGACGTAGCTCTCACTCTCACTCTCTGGCCTTGAATACACAAAAAAAAGGACAGGATACATAGCAAAAATGTCTAGATGAGGACAAGACGATGCTCATGCAGAAGTCAAGTACGTTGTAGGCGTGCTACACTATCTACTTTTTGGCGTAAGGACGAGGACCATCGAGCGGACGAGGACCATCGAGCGGAGAGAAAATACGCTTAAACATACTACAATAGCACTCCAGAAGGCACCATACAACGCAGGTAGATTCAGAAGATTAACAAGAAAGATCTTGTTCTATCTTCAAAAGACAAGCAAAACTGTAGAACGCCAGTTGTATGTTGTTCTTGTACTCCTAACAAAGAAAAGTAAAAGCAACAAGATAGAACCGTTTGTTCATATACATAGAGATGAACACCAGAAACGACAGCCTTCTTTTAGAAGTACTGTACTACAGTTCTACTCCTAACTAAAAAAGTAAAAGACGTACCATATCCCATTCACTACGTTTTTCACGCTTGTGTTGTTTCTGGCCATGTGGAGACCGCCTCGCACCCAGTCAGGAAAAGGTCGTGGAACACGCACTTCGCTGCACAACGTGACCGCGAAATCGACACAATTGATTCCTATCCGTGATGTGGTGCCGCACACGACTAGGCCACTTATTCGAAAAACTGAAATAAGCAAGTAACTCATCAGAATAACCGAGATACTGACGAGGAGGAAGAGTAGCCTTGACGGTAAGCTACCTCCCTTATTTCAGTCAGTAACTCGGTTATTTTGAGTTTTCGAATATCCATGAGCACGACCAGTAACCGACGCGAAACCTCAATCGCCCCAAGAGGTGTTCGACCTGAAAGAGAAAGTTCTTCATGTAGAGGAAGTAGAGAGGAAGAAGTTTTTATGTAGTGGAGTAACAGCATAATGCTCTACTTGAGCAGGTAACGATATAGCTTCTCTACGGACACCTGAACCTGAACCTAATTCATCTCTTAAGAGAAGCAGCCGCCTCTTCTTGAGAGAAAGTACTTCACTGGATGTATGTTAAGGAAAATGGGAATGGTGCTCAACATGTAGATCAGGTGATGCACATGATCAGGTAGAGGAAGCCGAGAAGACTGAAGTAATAGCAGACCTTCGGGGAAGATAGAAAAGAGAAAACGCTAGCTTTCATCAAGTAAAGATTAGAAAAAAAAAAAAGTAAAGCCCTATCCGCCGTGGCGCGGGCTGTGGCGGGGCCCAAGATGCTGCTTCTGGAGTCAAAATGGGACATTTCCGGAAGTCATAATTATTACTCTTCTTCGCGTTGGAAGGATTTGAAGTAGTAGTAGAGTTCGCATTGGCACTGGAAGATGATGAAGATCCCGGTTGATTAGTACCTTCCGCAGAAGTAGCAACAGCACCAGAAGAAGATGTTTTTCTTTTTCCAGAGGAAGATAGAAAAGAGAAAAGGCTAGCCGCCGTGGCGGGGGCTGTGGCGGGGCCCAAGCATTATGCTTAATATGGAGATTGCGTAAGCGCTTCATCGACGTCTTATACCAGAGCAATTTATAAGGTTTCACAGCTCGCATGGCATGGAGTGCATGGATCACATGGAGTAGCACGGAGCTAAAGGGGGAGCTTCTTGCGCCCCTTAAAGCTCTGCGCTCCATGCACTCCATGCACCATGCGTGCTATAAACTACTCTGTATATACACATAAGATATTTTTGTGTAATTGAGGTGGTTCGAAAGTGAACGAAGTACTAGGTAAACTTCTTTAACATAAGAATTACCTATCAACGGGAGATGTCGGAACCTAAATACCTGTTTATGAAGAACCTATTGGGATAGTCAACATACACTCTACTTTTAGACTAGTACTAGTGATGAACTTATGATCATGCTCATTAACAGGAAGAATTATCAACGAACGGGAGGGGTCGGAAACTAAATGCCCAATCAACAAGTTCAGACGACGACCAAGCAAGCAATCAGGTTGCCTCCGCAGGGCACCGACCTTCCCGCAGCTGCGACTGTCGCACCTCTACGCTCGGCGGGAGCGATATAATGAAGAAAAAAATGTATAAGTACCCGTATAATTAAATGCTTGTGGTAGTGGTGCGAAACGAAAAGTAGTACCCATATAAATGCTTGTGCGAAAGGAGAAGTCTGGATGTTCCCTTGGCTGCACACGATTACAGCCTGTCACTGTTGGGTCCTCCACGACATCGTTGTAGAATAGGAAACTCCACTCATCGCCGTACACCTCGACACCAACTTGATAAGCACCCATTCTTAGAGGTAAACACCCATTTTTAGAGGTTCGTTCCATGAAGTTTTTCCCACCGAGGTGAACGCATTTCTGTAGTAAAAATGCAACATCATAGCCAGCACCTAGGTATGTCATTATAGAAGATGTAGGCACACAAGAAGATCAACATAGAAGGCCCACCTAGGTATCAAGATTATTCTTAGTAGTAGTAGTAGTAGTAGTAGTAGTAGTAGTAGTAGTAGTAGTAGTAGTAGTAGTAGTGTGTCCATTCGTGGGGTATTGAAGAAATTATTAATTAGTTCTTGCTCTTGCTTGTAGTTCTTTTTCTCCCTTTTTCTACTCCTCTTTTCTTTATCATTATTATCTATTTTGGTTTTGAGAGTTGTCCTAGATGTCCCGGCTTGATGTTCTCGGGCCCGTTGTTCACCATTTCAGCATTGAATGCCTGAGAGAGGAAACAATTATCATTTTTATGCTCGCGCGCGACCCTGATGTCCCTGAAGATTATCAAGATAGATTGATCGAATAATGTTCGCGCGCGACCCTGATGTCCCTGAAGATTATCAAGATAGATTGATCGAATAATGTTCGCGCGCGACCCTGATGTCCCTGAAGATTATCAAGATAGATTGATCGAATAATGTTCGCGCGCGACCCTTATGTTCGCGCGTGTCCCTGAAGATTATCAAGATAGATTGCTCGAATAATGTTCGCGCGCGACCCCGATGTCCCTGAAGATTATCAAGATAGATTGATCGAATAATGTTCGCGCGCGACCCTGATGTCCCTGAAGATTATCAAGATAGAGTACTATGAGTCGTACGTAGTCTGTGGGCGTTACGATAGTTGGTTTGTTTCTACTTTAGAGATGAAGGGGGCTTGGAGGTATCTACATCTACTCTTCACTTTGGAGGTAATACCAGGCTGCTGTAGGTGGTCATTCAGATTGGTGCGCTCTCGCGTAGTACAATTACAACTTTTCTAAAATACGAGTGCTTGCAAAGAACAACGTGACCGAAATAAGGTGGTCGTGAGACATGAAGATACAAGTCGCGGCAGGTAGAAAGTTTGTAGAGCAAAGTGAAGAGTGCCATGATTATGATCTAATAGATATATAAGGGATGCGGAGGTCTGAGCCTACACGACTCGAGCGGAGGAGCCATCTAAAGAGTAGACCATGGAATAATCGTAATAACAACATTCTCATAGAAGACAACATCATAGGCTTGGTCGTTGTAGTAGTTCTCCTAAGATGTAGAATCAAGAGGATTGGGTAGTAGTTCTGGCACTCCATGGCGACTCGGGTCTTAATCACAAGCACTAGATTGTGGCTCCTGGGATTCTTGACCGACTTCTGACGGGATTTCTGACGGGATTCTTGAACTCGCTAGCCAGTACTCGCTAGCCAGTCTCTGTCTCAGTACTATTACATCTATGAGTAAGTATAAGAAGCATCTTTGTGTCTTCGTCTCTTCTTTTCTTTCTGACACTCGTAGATGCAGAATCAGTCTGCATGTCCTGACTATAAAACCTCCTCATCCTCTGGAAGATTCAAACTCGAACGGGGACTTTTTAAAGAAGGCAGGAATCCGAATCCAGCTGTAGAAAATACAAGTAGAGATGGCGCAAGTAAAGCAGGTGGGACTGCGAGGTGCGTTCACCAAAAAGAAAGTTAGGTGTGGGAGCATCAACTGGTTATTTGCGTTGGGTCTCAGTCATGATTCACGCGAGTTATAAACACATCATAGAAGTTCTGTGGTTAACATCAACGTGACCAGCTTCACAAGATTCATCGCTCGATTCTTCCTTGACCATCAAGACTACATCCTTCCTGTCAAAGGGTTATGGTCAAAAGTTCCTACCTATGTAATGTCAACATGGAGCCTCTTATATAGCCGTAGGTGTCTATCTGTGAGGGTGAGGCCACTCAGTGAAGTAGTGCCTCCATATTGGAGAGCTACAGCACCAATTTAGTTGAATTTGGAAAACAAACCACAGTTCTTGTCTTGATCTGTCATGTCACTAAAAGGATGCCACTTCCACCTCAGTCCACCGTATCCGCATAATCATCACGTTGGTGCTGCAGTTTCCCGACATTGACGCTCCCTTTGCCGACGTATCATTTCCCCCACCGTTACGACCTTGAACTTCCGCTGAGTGACCAGGATATTCAGAGTCTTGTCTAGTGCTTCCAATGTTAGAGGCGCTGCTCACCTCAAATCATATGAGAAATCGCTAAGGAGCGTCTAGAACGTAAGTAGGCGTCAAGAACGTAGCGAGTTCCTTGGAGAAATGGTCTCCTCATCTGGGGATGAGGCACTGTGAGCCATAAGAGAAGGTGCGAGCGACGCGAGCGTTCGGGCATGTGCATGATCAATATTGAGCCACGCTTCGCTTGCTGCGACATTGTCCTCGCTATCCAATCGGTATCGGGCATCAGGAAATTAGAACAAGTTGATGACGCATCCTCATGATCCGAGGACCGTTTCTTCTATGAAATAAATAATGGGAGTAACAGTAACAAACACAAAGAAGCAGGCGAAGCCACTAACAACTTCGAAATAAGCGAGTAACTAGGGAAAATAAGGGAGATACTGAAAGAAGAGGAATGTAGTCAAGACTCTCTTATTTCAGTCAGTAACTCGGTTATTTTCAGTTTTCGAGTAGATGCCCTATGACAATGAGTGAGATCATAGTGAGATCATCGCAATAGCAGTCGCCGAGGACATGCTGGATTCCCTTGGCAGTCAAAACGCGAGCCATTGAAGGCGACAGCATCCCACAGGGGGCACGAAACAGCCTTGGTGTGAGAGACGAAGTGTTTGCTGTGCGCTGTATTTGCTGTCCTTCACCGCCTTGAACTTCTTGAACTCTCCTACTCGCACCATCTTCCGGCGCAGCGCGGTCTACCACTGCTACTCGTCCACCTAGTTGCGCTGCCTCTTTCTGTTGTACTACCCCACTTTGTTCCCTTCCTCCCTGCGGCATTCTTCTCTCTAGAAGCACACTTTTACTAGATTCTCCGGTCGTGTCAGGAACAGGATTGCTCTTCATATGAGCACCATGCCGATCATCCTCCAGTCCTGTCAGAAAAGCGTTGCATTCGTCTACGATCCTCTCAAATTTTTGGTTAGAAGATTCTTTCTGTGGAACTTCTAAAAAAAATGAGTGGAGTTCTTGAAGAACTCGCTGTGCTGCAGACGTTAGAACAAGTTGTAGTAGTATCTGTAGTAGTATCCTAGTAGTGGGAGTAGTAGTAGTAGTGTACCCAGTCGCGGGGTAGAAGGGACTTAATTAGTTAGTTTGCATTTAGTTCTTGTTATTCTAATTTACTCCGTTGGAGATTCAGTCGATTTTCAGTGCAGTTCGAAATATGAGCTTCCTTAACTTGCGTCCCAACCCATTGCAATGGCTTGTCCACATGGCCGTGATTGCCTACTTCGTGGCCCTCCTCAAGCAATCGCTTCAAATGGTCTTCACAGCCCTCATATTGACAGTGGTCTGTGATAAGAAAGAACGTCGCACGTGCATTATACTTGGAGAGCAGGTCTAAGACATCTGGCGCCAACGATGCTGGATCCGCTCGTTCAGTGCTCCCTGAAGCAGCAGAAGTTTGTGCGTGTGATGGAGATGGAGCAGCTTGTGTGTGTGATGGAAATGAAGGAGCTTGTGCGTGTGATGAAGATGCAGCTACTTCTGCACCTTCATCCCGTCTTTTCGCACTAGCGCAAAGACCGTCGTCGATTGTCAAAGCAATGACTTCTTCCTCCTCATGGTCGAAGCGAAAAAGCGTGTCGTTTTTGTACTGCGGAAATATTAGATCATGAGTTTCATATTTTTAGCTTCGTCGATCTTTAGATCATGCCTTATAATATCACCCTTCTTGTTCGCGAGAATCATGTTGGTAGGAACCAACAAGTCTGATTGTAGAAGTCGTATTGATCTTCTAAGCACTACAATTATCAATGATAGTTATCGATGGCCTTAAAAAAATCTGCAGCCAGGTAACCGGTGGACCCATACCAACCGTCTTGGTGAAATCGTGGACAAACTTCATCATTCTGCCGAGGACTCGGGTCGTTCAGTTTGATGATGGAGTGACTGTTGATCTGGACGCAATCGATGGAGATCGAAAAAACCCATCTCCAACGTCATCTTCATACCACTTTTAGGAGCAGCTTGTCTCCTAAAAGTCCGATTTCGCCTTTGCTTCCTCCGCAGCTCTTGATGGACCACCAGCATAAAAATTCAGTGTCACCTCGAGCAAGAAAGAAGGGCACCGAGCGCTTCATCATTCTGTCTAAGATTTTCCTGACCATCAGTTTTGCCAGCTAGTAGTAGCATGTTTTACATTAGCTTTTACATTGCTCGCAACAGCAACCGGTAGAGCTGTTCGAACCGAGATGATGAAACTTTCAGTCATATGATGCTTATGATACATGTAATCACTAGTCACAAAGATGTAATCACTATCACATGATGCTTATGAGAGGCATAGGAGCCGGCCATGCTCATCAGATGGCCCTGACCGTCACCGTGGTCGTCAATACTTCTACATAAGAAAGAAATTTCTCCTACGTCCTTCATCGGAACAATTACAATTAGACAGATCTAGTTTTTGATTCATTCAATCAGGAGACACGTCACTTCTTCCGTAGTTGTCTCTCTGGTGACTGTTGTCTTTTTGTCATACCTCCAGCAACAGCTCCTTGGCCATCCGTGTAAGAGAATCGAGTCAGATCACCAACGTCACAGGTGGGACCGACTTCGTCAGAGCATCAACCGCAATTACCTTTTCTCGACGCTCCAGCATGGGTGGGCGCAGAGAAAGCATTATACCTTTCACATGGGCAAAAATATGAGACAACACGATAGCTAGTAGCGAGGGTTTGGATGAACGCCTCTATTTGCAAGATTAAGAAGATTTTTGCAACATTAGAAGGAGTCTGTAGAGCTGGCGCATCTCCTTTGAATAGACAGGTGAAGCCCTCCAGGTGGATAGCAGTTGTCCTTCTCCTTGTTCCCATAAGACAAGAACCTGGATTCATATTTCAAACGTGTCTTCTCTACATAATGCGTGCTGATATGTTTTCACAACTCTGGAGTATGGTACTCTCGAAGAATGCCTGCCTTCCTTGTACAATGTCAGTCACATTCTATTGCTGGCAACATCTTATTATGAAGCTGTATTCTCGACTAATTTAGTACTGGTAAGTTGTTTTAAATTTCACGCTGTGAGATTGCTACTCTTCCACTTCTTCATGACATATCAAGCCATGACTCGTTGAGGGCGCGTTAGCTCTTCCCGGAAGCCCTTTTTTCCCTCAGAGGGGTGCCCCAAGATGCTCCTGAAGATGGTGATTGATTCCCGGAAGCCTTAAGAAGCGCGAACGGGAACATCTTCCACAGAGCCAAGCGCGAACATCTCCTACAGAGCCACGAGCACGACCTTGGAATAGAGAAGTATTACTAACTCGGTAAAAGTAAGCTACTTAGTCACGACAACAACGTCCGTCGTCCTCGTCAGATTCAGATGGGCTCCTGCCTCAGCCGTGCGCATTATGCACCGGATCTGCAGAACTTCAACTTGAGTCACAGCTTCGAACTTATAATTCGTGTTGAACGTTCGTCTTCGTATATAAGTACAACTTGCTTCGTAAGTATCCTCTTCGGATCCTTGCTCATGGACATCCGAATGGAGATGGAAAATTATGCTGAAATCTAGAGCTAGAGTATGTATGAGTTGAAAGTTGTATATCGAGAACTACAGAAGATCAATCATGTTCATGCACGACATGGTTTGCAAATCATATCCGCCATTGCTGCACGGCCTTATTTTGACAGAAAGAGACACTGAAACGACTACCACGTGAGTAATATCTTCAGGATTAATATGGAACTACTTTTGCTTGATGTTTGCAGACAAGAAGTGGCGATGTCCGACATAATGTAGTCGGTCCCAACATTGGCAAAGTAAATGCAATTATATTAGTGGACTTACGAATCTTCACGACGATATGGATATTTTTAGTGCATCTACATAGTCACCAACACAGGGAACGGAAAAAAGTCGCCAACACATGTGGAAAATTTACTATGCATAGACAAAGAGGTCGCGCGCGGGACTCTGCTTGCTTGCAACCGGTTTTATTTCCGAATCATCTTCACAAGTAACCACAGCATATGGCGACGGCAATTATATTGATATTTATCGCTTCATCTTTTTAGCTACGAACAAGGAATTTTGATGCTGTTTTCAGTTTTCTATGACAGTTTTCTGCGCCCCTCCTCTTAACTACAATAAGCATGTATGATAATGACAATGAGTTTTTTTTGCAGCACTACTATATTTATGCCTGTGCTTCATATAATTGATGATGTATAGTAGATGAGATAAGAAAATTGCAGAATTTTGGTACCGGTTTCGGGAGTTAAACTGAAACATCGGACCCAATTGAGTGCAGTACCAAGGTATAAGAGACACGACTAACACACCCATCAAACTTTTTTGAAGCTTCATTTTGGCTGGGTCGACGGAGCTGCAGCTGGCGCCCATCTATAACGACCACGACCTGCAGACGAAGAAACCGTGTAGCGATTAGAAGGTCTAGGTCGACGCGGACCTCTAGTAACTACTTCTAGATTTTTCTCATAATTCGTATCTACTTCACAGTAGAAGATGCTGACTAGAAGGACGATTACTCGGTCCGTCGTGAGCCTCTATTCTTACCGTAGTGCCTTCCAACCAAAGCCTTAATATTTATCTTGTCACGCTCTCATCTGCTTTGATCGCTGCGCTTGGATTCGTCCCCTTGGCTCGTCGGAAGCGACGTGCCCAGCACGACTAGAGGAAGCGACACCAGGGTTCTGCTGCTCTAGATTTTCTAGTACTTGGCCATCTGGTGTTGCTGGAACGAGTCGTTGAAGGCTCAGACTCGTCGGTCTCTGACTAGTGCTAGCTCTATTCCTATCATGTGGCCGTCGAAGCAAGGCATTCGATTGGGTGAGGGTGTTGTCCCGTGTTGACACTCCGCCCATGCTATCAGTCCGGTCCTCGACGTGATCTCTACTATCCCGTGAGTGTGACACGACTCCCATACTATCAGTCAACAAGGAATCGACGACGTGATGCTGATGCACCCTACGGCGCAGCTCCGCCAGTCCGTGGGCGAAGGTGCACTTGTCGCCAGCCACACAAATACCAGTGGCCTCAAAATTCTTGCATAAAGCGGTTGTTTCTTAGACGAGTTTTGAACTTTGAAGATGAGCAGCCACAGGAGCCTGGTGGTGTACGTGATATTTGTAGTTATCAAAATTAGAATGCATTTATGTATGGGTTTAAAATTACTTATGTTGAGACTAGACTTTGTAGTACCCCTTTGAGCCTTTTGGCTGCTACATGTAATTATCTCAAAAATTATGCAAAATGCATGTAGTTCTACAATTTGCTTCATCTTCGTACTACCGAGCCTTCATCTATTATATATACATCCACTCAATAAAAGAATCAGTTTTACTTTCTTCATCAGTCAAAGTCATGATCACTATGCTATAATAAGTACATAGTATGAAAAAACTTTACTAGTATCATCACGACTATGTCATAGATAGTATGAAAAAACTTCACTAAAAAATACTAGCTTCAGTCATCACTATGTTATAGTATGAAAAAACTTTACTAGTATCGTCGACGCTATGTCTGTCATAGTATGAAAAAACTTTACTAAATACTAGCTTCAGGCTCAGTCATCACGACTATGTTATATATAGAAGTATGAAAAAACTTTACTACTAGCTCCAGCAGACAGGTAGTTTTCGGTTAGGTTGTGAATCCTGCACATCAAAGTAGGTTTCTACTCTCCAGTATACAAGAGCATAATTGTTGTAGTTCGGCCTCGGTGCCAATTGCTCCAGACCATGCGCAAATTTACAAGTATCTGCTCGATCGCACTTACCTTTCTCGAAGTAACGGCACAATTGCGTTCTTGTCATACAATCTCGGACGGGGACGTTGCGAGTTCTGTGCTCACTATTTTAGACCTTAGTTACGACCTGAGAAGTTGACTCATCTTGAAAGTGTTTTTGATTTTGTCGTGTTTTGTGTTTTTGTGTTTTGTTTTCCCCTTGAATATATAGGAGAGATGTTGTCCGTCGTTGTCCCTGATCTTTGAGCAAGTACAGCACCAGGAGGTTGCGGGCGACAGCTGTAGTGTGCTCACTCACGCTCAACACTCGTTCAGCGAAGAAGAAGAGGCGAGGTTAAAAGAAGAGAAAGTAAATTAGCTGTTAATTTAGCTAAACACAGGATGCTTCAGCCCCTGGCGTCCCACCTCCCAGCTCCGATTGGCGAAAGGAGACTAGGGGAGGTAGGTGCTCGCACCAGCTCTAGTTCGCCTGTTCTAACAAGTCCAAGGGTACCGGTTCACCATGCTAGAACCTAGAGCCAGCCGCATCAACGTACGTTAAAAAGGCACTGATGGCCCGACGCGAGCCAGGCCATGACTAGCCACTAGTTATTTAAGAGGTAAGAGCAAAAGCGAAAGCATCGAGCGCACTCGTCCTCACTCTCGTAGTCGTATCACACCTAGATCTCGCGCTATGGGAGGACATCGAGACAGAATCGAAATCAACACAGACCAAGAGTACCACGAAAGCATGAAGTAGACCGACGGCGAAGGAGGAATCATACGAAAAAACGCGAGTTTATCTCAACGAAAGTTTCAACCGAGTATACGAAGCTCGCTATGCGAGCGCGGCATCGAAGATCTCACCGAACTTATTGTTAACCTAATCGCCTAGAGCAACCTGTATTACCTTGTAAGCCATCTGAATAAAAAGAAGTGATAACAATGCAAGTTACTCTCTTGCACCGTGTAGAACGAGGACGCTTAGTTTAGCTAAATTAGCTAATAAAAAATATTTTTTGCTAGAAGTTGTTTTGGTAGGGAGGCCTGTATCTAGAATCTGCTCCTCGCCTGGAGTATGCAAGATTCGTTGGCACATGCAACGCATGCCCAACAGTGAAGGGTTGCACAATGACAAATTCAAAAACGAGAGTCTAGAAACAACTAAGAGCAGCCCGTGCTAGGCAGTCTTGAAAAAACATCCTACAGTCTATCTACGGGAGCCCCTTGGTGGGGGTTGGGGTTAAAGGGTTACGGAGCTGCATTCCTGTCTGGCGGCTGAGTTCTTGTTGTTCACTTTGGGCAACACCGGCCCAAGTGCAACGTACTTCGGAGCCGCAAGTCTGGATGGCGGGTTACTAGCGGTCGACGTCACCTCCTATGACGCCTCGGAGCTTGTTGAGCACGTTGATCGCAACCAATGTCCTTGTCGAGCACGTTGCTCATCAAGCAATTGTCTGGATTCAAAATCTGCGAAGGATCTGACTCGCCTCGTATCACGTCTCAGTCCTTGTTGAGCCCGTTGATCTTTAACTAATGTCCTTGCTGAGCCCGTTGATTTCTAACCAATGGCCTACTGTGCGAATTGTTATACTGATGACTTGTGCACAGTTTGAAGCCCCCAACGTCACACAGCTCTACCATCATGTTGTTTCTATCCCAGAAAGATGCAATAACCTTGGAAGGCCTAGTATCTTGTATGTTGGCAAACATCTTGTCACACTACTAAGACGAAAAGCGCTAAGTTGACGCTATATGACCACTACCAGTAGAGGTTACTCTCCTCGGAACAACAACAACGAACGAAACGTAGGTTACTGGTTACTCTCCAGTCTATCTGGTTATGAACGCGGCGACAATCTCCCTTGTTAGGTATGAAATGTCACACCCTGGACGTACCAGGTTCAGCCATCTTTTTTATCTCTTTCTTCAAAAATAAAGCCTATAATTTGGATTGGTGACGGTTTAACATATTTAAAACAAGTCAAACATTTAGTTCATGTATTAAATTAGGTATGAGAGAGCGGTAGTCTCAGCGACGGAGGACGAGAGCGACTAATCCAGAATTACGACTACGAAACAACGACTCGTCTCTTCTCTAGCACCAGCGTAACCCAAGTTGTAGGGTAATCTATTAGTGGGTCCAGGAGGAGAGGCCCCAGGTTGTCGTCGCACACATGAAGGTGCAGACTTACCCTATCCCGTCTCGTAGCTGTCACACAGTTGGGAGTGCACCAACAGGGCAGATACGAAAAAAATATATAGGAGAGATGTTGTCCGTCGTTGTCCCTGATCTTTGAGCAAGTACAGCACCAGGAGGTTGCGGGCGACAGCTGTAGTGTGCTCACTCACGCTCAACACTCGTTCAGCGAAGAAGAAGAGGCGAGGTTAAAAGAAGAGAAAGTAGATTAGCTGTTAATTTAGCTAAACACAGGATGCTTCAGCCCCTTGAAGAAAACGTGCGAAGAAAGTAGGTTGGTGCCTCTACCTTTTTAGATGATGAAGAATTAAGACGGGAACCCTTAAACTACAACTTCTGCTGGAGTGGTAGACGAATTTTGATGCTCCTCTGGAAGAACACGGGGTCGGCCAGCAGTTGTACTAGTACCTCGTCTTCCTGTTATTTCTCCTCTACTCTTTTTGGCATTTTCATGTTGAGCTTGTAGTTGTTGAGTAGTTCTAGTTGGTCTACTATGAAGAGGGTTCTTGAAGTTCTTGTAGTTTCTTCCCCCTTGTGCTTGTGCTGCACTTGTTCTTGCCTTTCTCCCAACGCCTGTAAAAAGTGCATTATCTTCAATCGTCCATTCAGAATCCTCCTGTAGATCATGATCATGCTGTAGACCATGATCATGTCGAGACGTCGCAGAAGAATATGGATTTGGCGCAACAGCGACTCCTGGACTGGCTAAATAAGAACCGGGCACGAAGATTCCTGGCAGCACGACATAAGTAGATGAAATCTGTTGTAGTACAGGATAAGGAGTACTAGTAGTATCTTCATCGGAAGATGAAATCTGTTGTACGGGAACTTGTAACAAGTGTTTCGGAGTGGCTCCTGCAGGAGAAGTAGGTATCCTGTTGGTGTTGTAGCTTGCGGATGAAACTTGTTGACGTACTAGTGCTGCTGCTGCTGCAGGAAGAGTAGGCATGAAGATACTGTTGGTCGAAGAAAGAGGCTCCTCCTGGTGCTGTAGAAGTGCACGCGCAATAGGAGAAAGCGTATCAACACTCTTAGATGAAGAGAGCCGTTGTTGAGGCATTGGATCTTGACGTTGTTGACCTTGTTGATGTTGCGTTAATCCTAGATTTTCCTTCAGTGCGTTCATCAATAGCGCACTCGGATGTTGTGTTGATGGACATGCAGAAAAAGCCTGCAGAATATCCGAGTGCAGCTGCATGTTTGCATTTTCATGGTACCAATTATCCTGAGGAGTTGCACAACTAGGAAGCGGCGCAGTCGAAGAAGAGGCTGCTCCACGGCGTCTTGAAGACGCTGTCAGGTTATGAAGAACCAAAATCTATTATCATTATCTATCTTCAACACACTTTTCAAAATAAAAAACTTGAAGATAATGATAACAGATTTGCGTTTCATACAGGTGAAAGTTTTCGTTCTGTTTTCCACGCAAGAAGTTGTTGCTGTAGGTGTAGTAGGGATCATTTGCATGAAGAAGATCAACATGTTGGACGGATCCAGCAGAGAAGATTAATTCACTTACAACATTTGTTTCACTCGACGCACTCCTAGGAGAAGGCTCCTCTTGTTCGCCTTCATTAGAGATACTGACAGCCCATCTGGTAGAACATCTTTCAGCTATAAGTACTTGTTCAAAGAAGGAACTGACTCGAATTGTTCTGGTATTCGGTAGCCTGAGGTTGATCATAAGGGAAAACAAGAAGAAAATCCTTGTGATCGAATTCAGGTTACCAAATACCGGAGCCACTCATGACTTCTAAAACTAAAAGTACTTAGATGGTGTAAAGCTATACAAGATCGAGGCTTGTCACCAGTAACTACCATAACGTCACTATTTGGCAACATATTTGGTGGTATCCTCGCGTCCATTTCGATCAGCTCATTGCGCAACAACCAATCCAGCAGAGGTCCTGACACACTGTTTTCGACAAAAAATAACCATTAGAAATAGAAGCATATCATGTGGAACACAATTCTGCCCGAGATCTTCATCAATGCAATACTTAGTCCACGTTATGGATAAAAAAAACATTGCTTGTTGTCCATACGTTACGACGAACATATTCACGAAACACAATAAAAATATCATGAACGAACTACAAGAAAAATGCTTTTTTTAGAAAGAAAAAGAACTAGACCTCATTATTTAAAACTACTGTGCAACGACCTCCCACTCTCACAACTACAAGTCTTCTTAAGATAAATGGGGTTGCACTGCCCACTCCAATGCGTCCGTCACCGCATCCACGGTCATTCTCCGGGTAAAGGCAAAACCTCGCACAGCGATGGTCTGCCAGAGAAAGCGAAAAACTTAGATGAATAGGCTAAACAATACAAGACTCTTGTAACAAGTTGAAGCATCTTCACTAGTCTAGCGAAAGCGTAGATATTACGCATAGGTTGTACGCAATGAAATTGAAAATTATAATTTAATTAACTTTAAGTCCAAAGAGTGTGACGCATTGATTTAACGAGCTTGCTGATGAGGTTGAGAAGCTTTCGGCTTTCGGCTTTCCCTAAGTATTGCTTGGGAAGAAGAGGGAACGAACACAGAAGAGGAACTACTCTACATGAAGAATTTTTTAGGGGATTCGACGGGACGAAAAGGTATATTAAGGGGGAAGGAAAGAAGAGAGGTAATTTAAAGAACAAATCATCTCTATTTCAATTTAATTAATATCAGCCTAGAAGTGTTGGAGGAAGCAGTCCTGAACATCATCCCAAAATAGTTCGTGTTCGAGTGGCATTCATAACTCAAACTCTAAAAATTGCATTATAGCGATAGCAATAGGCCCAACCATAAAAGAGACTCTTTCTCTGTTTTCTCGTCTGCGTCATTTCCTGTGCTGTCTTTGTCTGGTTGCGCTCTGCATCTGACAGAGGCCCGTCTTCGTCAGGCATTTGGTTCTTCGCTTTGATCATTTTTACTCCGTGTTTTGCCGTGGGATCGTGCGCTACAACTTCTTCTTCTCGGACTAGAGGCACTTTCAGGTGTGTCATGGCAGTTTCAGGCGTGTGATCTGAATAAGATGATGATGAAGTCGACCCCTCCATATTTGAAGAAATAAAGAGGTAGCTACCAGTACTATTCTTGTTGGTAGAAGAACTAGTAGAAGCTAGTGCGGTCCCATCGGTTCCTGCTGTGCTTGAAGCAGCCCCTGTTGATTCTTGTCGCTCTTCTGCTATAGAGTTTATGCACCTATTCATTTCCTCGTCGTAGACGTAGAAGTCAGCAAGACCAGAAGATGATAAGGCTGCCGGTGCTCCATGCGCCGATTGCTCGTAATTGTCCTCCTCCTCGAAAAGCTGCAAAGCGTGGACGAGTTCAGAAATTAGAAGAAGGCTAGCTAGTCGAGGACGCTACAGGCACAGCCTTCAGGTGAGTTATTCCTACGTGGTTGGACTCACTTCTCTCTTTCAAGGCGGATCGGATGGGTGCGAAAGAGAGATGGCCTTCATCCAGCGGCAATGAATAAATTATCTGCACCCCCCACGAAGGTAGCAAGGCCAGACAGCTGGAGGGCGCAACCCAGGACCCGAGGCCCCAAGTAAGAGGCCAAACAAGCAGAAAGCCGGCGACAAACGAACTGGAGGCGGGCCCCAAACAAAGAGGCCAGGGGCCTCCATTCTGCGAATGCAACACGAAAGCCCCTGCCCCACCGGCGCCCCCTTATTTGGCGGGGCTTTTGAGGCGGGTGTCGCGCTTCCCCCCTACGTACCGAGATGAGACACCGCGCACCAACGACCTTCCAAGCACCTGCGGATGTGTAGCCATTCACCCCGCTGGCATTCGCCACTCTCTGTTTCAGCTTCCGCTACAAAAACATAGAACTGGCCAGGCCGGGCTGTTTGGTCGGCGGCGTCAGCGTGGGAGCGGGGGGGGCGGGGTGAGATAAAAACAACCAGCCGCCGCACACGGATGGGCGCGGGCAATGTAATCGAACAAGCGCCCTACCACACGCAAAGAAGGCAGCGCACTCGGGAGAGAGCGGTACTCCGTAGCAATGTGCGCAACGATTACGACAAACAAGCCAAAGAGCGACTGACAAGACGAAAGCACGGGGCCCGCCGCGGTTCCGGGAGGCTGTTGGCGGGCTGTTTCTGCCCTTCTTGGCGCAAGAAGTCAGCAGAGGAACAAAGCGGCGCCCGCTGTTGGTCTCCACCTGCCAAAGAAAACCGGAGCGCGTAGCCTCCTCAAAGTCATCCCCGAAGCCAATAACACCGCAGAAAGAAAAGAACAACCAGGCCGCGGTGTGCACCGAAGACAACGACAAGCACCAGCAAAAGCACCACCAAGCAAAACCATGGCGGAAACCCGAGAGACAGCGCGCGCAATACGTAGCCACGCGGAGTAGTTGGGGCCCTCCCAATGCTAGAGGAGCCAGCCCATCCAAGGCAAGCGCGCAGGACGAAGGGTGCCGCACTGGAGGGGCCTTCGGTCCGGCCACTTCTGGCGCGCCTCTGCGGAGCTGTGGTGCCTTTTGGCCGCGCATGCCTGCGCAGGCTTGTGCCATCCCAAGCCTCGGCCCCAGCGCCGTTCCCCCCGACGTCTCGGACGCATGCAAAATAAGTGAGACGGGCCTCATCCTTATCGTGCTAGTCTATAGCAAAGAACGAATGACTCGCCCCCCTTAAATGAGAAACGTCGACGATCGTCCGATGAATGAGATCGGAAAGGGATAGACTCGAGCTTGACGCGTCTAATTCCTGCTGTGCACTGTAGCAGTCGTCCAAGCTCTGCGCAACGCGTATCAAGAACTCTCCCTGCAGCTGTTGCAGCGCCCAGTTACTCAAACACGGATTTAGAGACCCCTGAGGCTGGAAGATGTTGGTCAAGTAGCGATGCAGTTCAGTCCTCGAAGCCAGCCTATTCTCGTCAGAATCGTCATCGAGCTGGTAGTCCAGCAGCGCTCTTCTGCTCTTCTTATCTCCATCTCCACGAGTGGAGGAAAGATGTTGTAGTGCTGTAATTGGCAAGGACAAAGCTACAGCAGCAGCGTTATCCGCGTCTTGTCCGTTTTGGGCCAGTAATAATGGCGACATTTTAGAAGCAGATGGCGGCTCTGCTGCAACTCCACCGGCGACACGACCCGTTCTGCTTGGTGGACCTGTTGATATTTTCATTACATTGCGGTCGGATCTTATATATGTGTATGTCCTCGCTAGCTGCCCATGCTATGCAGCATATACATATTGATATTAGAGCATAATTTCCAACAGCAGTATGATCCTCGTTCATGAGTCTAACACATGAAAAAGTATCCGTATCGCTTTTTACTCCTTGTGTTCAGCCCTAGAAGAAAATAATTTCGAAAAAAAATACGCGAACTCGGAAGCCGAATCGGTTGCACGCCTACTGCTCGGGTCGCCAGCGATTCCAGCTCCACGCGCATTGGCACAGCAGACGAGGCGGCTTCCCATTAGAACTAAAGTGTAAGTCTGAGGTGAGTACTCCCACAAGGGATGCCTTCGATCGTAGATAAGAGAAATCCATCTCGGGCAGCATAATCACAATGCAGACGCCGAAGCCTCTTCATTTCTAGTCATACCAATTTCGTACTTCTAAAAAGGAACCTAATAGGGGGCGGGAAGCACGATGCGCTTCTAGCTGCCTTAATCTAAGGATATGACTCGAGGGAGGTCTTCCAGAAGGTCCGATGGTCCAGGATCGGCGGCACAAGTTTTAGATTGTGAAAAACTAGCAGAAACAAGACCTATCAATCTCTTTCGTTGATTAGACCCCCAACTGGCTTCGTCTTCCATTACCAGGAAATATCAAAAACAGACTGAAAACTCGGAAATGGAAATTGACTAGTATGACTCACTGGTCCTGATTTGTAACAGCGAGTCGTCCTCTAAATATGGAGTATGAGATAGATTGTAGGTTATTTAACTCCACTAACCTCGCAGTTAGAAGAACTAATCTTAAACACACACACTGTTCCTCTTCATCTATTCGCAAAACTGAAATAAGCGAGTAACTAGGGAAAATAAGGGAGATACTGAAAGGAGAGGAATGTAGTCAAGACTCTCTTATTTCAGTCAGTAACTCGGTTATTTTCAGTTTTCGAGTATTTACTTACTTTCTGCTTCTACTTCATTTTCATAACAAGACTCTCGTTCAAAAACGCTGGCCCTAGGGAGTCGGGAGTGTCGACGTCATTGTGGATGCCCTTGAAACCGACAGGCCGCTCAAAGGTCATGGTCATCGTTTTGTTCTTATGAAGTATCCTGACAGTATCCTCTGCGAAGATTCTTGCCATGCTTTGATCCTCAACCATGTTGCTTTGATCTTGGTGCACTTGCTCCGCGTTCGCCTCTTCAGTGTCAGGGTGGGACCACTGTTTCATCTTAGAAGAAATATGAATATGTTGATGTATCAGTAATTCGAATTCGATTTCGATAGTTATCTCTGAAGTAGAATCGATACCCCTATCTATCATAAGTAGTGTCGGAGCCAGCGTTGCACCCACACCTCCAGACGAGTGAGAGGACTGTCCTTTGCTGCTTGGCAGAGTCGGAGACGAGGTCTGCGATTTTGCCATCTCATGATGATGATCGCGAGTAGTAGTCGACGTAGCATCCACACGTCCAGACGAGTGAGAGCTTTTTATAAGATCAGGGTCAGGAGCCTCAGAAGAAGTTGTACCAGCCTGCAGTCCCGCCCGACTCTGATCTTTGGCGTTACCAGAAGATACTGCATCTGGGCCGGCAGCTTTGATCTTGTTGATGTAGTTCCTGCTTTTTTCCTTGCTTTTGGACTTAGATGAAGTACTCTTGCTCTCAAATCTGTTGTGGGAGTAGCCTGCCTCTCTTGCTGCTCCTTTCGCGGCAGCCAGACCGTAACCCAAGATGGTGGCGCAGGCAAGACTACTCACCACAAGAACAATGCGACCGAAAGACGTGCTGCATATGTTGAAGATGGACCTACTAGGAGTACGTCGAGGACGATCTCGTGATCGACTCTTTCTGGAAGGGGTTTGCAGTAGCAGCGTCATCTTGTTTTTGCTCATGATCTCAGCAAGAACTTATTTAGAATTAGAGTTAGAAGTTGTTTGGGTCTGGCTTGCGATCTTGCAGGAATGCGCGCATGCAAATGAATTCCAGGAATTTGAATGTCAAGTGTCTATATGTAAGGTATTAAAAAAACTCCTTTTTCTTTGCACACGCGGGTAGCACAGACGCACACTTCTGAGCAGAAAATTTCTGTGCACTAACTCGATACTGCACGTTCGAAGACTTTCATCCTGATAGAAGTATGTAGCAGCATAGAAACGACATGTTGTCATTGGAAAGATGTAGTGGCGCTACAACTGTAGAACAGAACCTCACAGCTGCAGCTCAGAGCTGGTGCTAACTCCTCTACAAACAAACTTTGTCTCCTCCAATCATATTTCTGAAATAAAATGATCCAGAACACTTTCGCAACGTCTTCAGATATGATTTTTCTTCGATTTTTCTTCTACTCAGGTCGTTGCCCTTCGCTGTTGTCTCAGCTAAGCTTCGCTCTTGATGAGGGCGGGGAAAACTGTCATAATCCTTGATTGAGGGGGTACACATAAATTGTTTGGAAAACCATCATAATCCTTCCCATCATACAATCAATACTTGCCCGAATTTCAAAATATCAATTCATATCCATATCGGATATGTGAAGAAATATATATATAAGAGCATAGTCAAATACCTGAAGGTGTCGTCGTAATGCGAGGCGCAGTGATATTGATTGCACTAATCTGGCGACGTTCTGGGAAGTAACTTTACTCAATCAGGTGTAAACCAAGTATGTTGGTGGATACGAGCTGTGCCGATTAATATGATCCATGAAATTCTTACATATCAGCTATGTGGTGCTTGCAATTGGTCTTCATTAATAGTCCAAATTCAATTTTGCGAAGTATAGTCGTACGATGTAGTAAATACGCGATCTAGATGTATTCGACAAGGATGCAATCAATAAGAAGATAAATTTACATTTCGTCGAGACTTGCGTTACGTCTTTCTTTCTCCTCTCAATGAGGCTCTCATCCTTCTCTTCAGCCGTCACTAAACAAAAGAGAATCTGTGCATATTATGGGCCGAAAGCCTATCTGTCGGATACAACTTGCGAAACTGTAGTCCATTCTGTCGGATCATGTTGTTTAGCCATATGAATGTATGCTGTCTATGTGCCAACGTCGAACTATTTTTTCTATGTTTTCTTATGAATTCAAGAAGCTGTGAGTGTGATATGCGTCTACCTCTACTGACCCTGTAAGGTTCGTTTCTGTCCTTGTACCTGTCCTCTATGAAGATGTGTATGACTACGTATTTCTATGTTTACTTACGTCTAGTATTCAAAGGCATTTTTATTGCCGATCTTCGATCATTCTCTTTACAAGACGAACAACATATCAAGCCAGACTAGTCATTATTTTCAAGCTTGAAATATTCCACTAAACAAGTTAGAGTTTCTCATTCCTAGGAAGCCTCCCTTTAACTAGGTCGACGACGGTTCTACGAGGCACCAAAATCCATCGTACTCGTCTTCATATCGTCCTGGTCTAGGCCACCGCAATTTGCGTCGGCTCTAAGACACTGGGAAAATGCTCATCCAATGGGTCGTGGTCCGTTGGCGCAACTACTCCGGCTTCGAATTCTTAGAACTCACAATTCTTATTGTCAGTTTTAGGAGAACCTAAAAATGATTTGTCGCTCCCTTTGAAAAGTAGAGGGAAGTCCCAGAAGTAGGGTCAGAGATAAAAAGACAAAAAGCGAATACGTGGGCACTTCTGCTGCATCTCCTCCATGCACTCCATGCACATGCAGGTCATGGTCATGCGACATGATGCGTGTTATAAATAACTACTCTGATTAATACGACATGATGCGTGTTGTTATAAAGATAAACTACTCTGCGTGTTATAAAAAACTACTCAATAACCTAGTCTCTTCGACCTCTCCTTTTCCTGGACTTCGACTTCCTGGATTATAAGTAGTCTCTAGTGCTGGAAGCCGTAAAATTGCTCTTGAATGCGTGCGAACCGAAGGAACACCTGTTCAAGCGTAGGCTGCCCGAGCCCATATTCAATCAGCTCCCCGCTTTCCTGCTTCTTGTCGGATTAGAGGAGAAGCAGAAACTACAGTTCATCCGGAAGGACAGCGAACTACTACTGCGTGTGTATGTCAGTGCAAGGAAAACACCACCGACCAACCACTGTATGAGTACAAACTAACATAGTAGTACAGTACAAGAAAAACCCCGCCCAGCAACGGCCTTTAGCCTACAAGATTAACCTAACCTAACGTAGTTGTAGTACAAGAAAAACCTAGCAACGTCGTTAGGATAGGTTCGGGTCCGCCCAATGCATATAAGACAGACACAGCTTTTTACTGGACGTCGTGATACTGATACTTATGTAAGAGTCATTACTTTTTCAAAATGTGCAGGAACCATAAAGACACCAGCGAAAAATTGGTGCAAGTTTCAGCTTTTTCCCCTTTTGCCCATGCAATTCAAACGTCAGGCGGGAACTGGTCTCTGAGTTAGAGAGCTGCTCAACATTCCTTGAAAACTTCGTAGTAAGTTATGAATCTGAAGAAAGAAGGAGGACTGGCTCACTAATACTGATATATTATCATCTTGAAACGATTCCAAGTCCAGCTATGAGTTGTTACTGTTACTCAATTCATCCTCCTTGAGATAGAAAGACTGACTCATCAAATTACGAGTTAAAAACGTTCTTGGCCTTAACAGATATGGACAATTCCTCCAACAGAATGATGTCTTGGGCGCGCAGGTCCTCTACACTACCGCACAAAGATTCCTGCAGGTCCTTTGCCTTCTCTCCTGGCTGTGGACCTGGAACCACAAAAAGTAAAGTGGGGAATCATCAGGACTTAGTTCATCCGCTCGGCAATGAATTTTCGGTGTCGAAAATGATCAATACTTAGGATGCCTAAGTAGGAAACAAGAGGTAAGTATGACGATTCATTGCGACGTGGGATGAGGGTTGAGTTGGTAATGAACTTTCTTTGATGTCAACATTCACTGATGTACTGCAACTTGTAAAAAAAAAATCAAAGTGATCATTCCACCTGTATGTAAATTTGAAAAAAAAACCTAAAGCTGTCACAAAAATGTCTGTAGAAGAAGTGCTCCAGAAGTGCTCCACAGAAGTCCCTGATATTGATTGATCTTTGGCAAAAAAATAAAAGTCTAGAAGTACCCTCAGGTTTCGGAATAGAGATTTCAAGGTGGTAACCGGAGCCATACTTTTCCTTGATTTGCTCTGTGCGCCCAAGACATTCTAAGCGCCCACGCACCAAGATCCCGACACGGTCGCACGTCGCATCAGCTTCCATCATGGGGAGAATGAAGGAGGGATAGGAAGCAGGGAGAGGTTGTCCTATAAAATATGTACTTACTATAATGGGAAGAGTTTGCGATATGCCGAAGTACTAGGGACAGAGGCTCACGCGATCAGGAGTCAGGAGGATAGGAAAAGTGTATCAAACTTCACGAGTAGAGTAGAGAGATGTCTGAATCCGAATAGAAAAATATAATAGATATCTAACCCATACCCATGATGGCTTTTTATCTATCAAAATGGAATAGAAATTCTTCTTCTAACACTATAAAAATTAGAGTAATTTATAGGGGTCCCAGATCCGGGATGGGATGGATCGGATGGATCGGATGGAACGGATGGACTTCCCACCATTTCAAGTAGGATCGGAAGAATCAGGGGGGTCCATCCGATCCATCCAAGTCCATCCTACATCCGTTCTATAAACTACTCTGCTATAATAATATAGTAATAGTAGTTTACCTCGACGCCATAAAATGCGTAGTTGAGATGATCGTTTGTCCCGCTGGTCGATGTATCAACTTGTTCCACAGGTACCGCTGTGCTCCGAGGTCAACTCCTGCCGACATCTCGTCCAGAAAGACGACTTCTGGCTCGAGAGTTAGACTGGCTGATGACTGATTTCATCGACTGACTGACTGATGACTGATTGACTGACTGATTGACTGACTGATTGACTGACTGATTGACTGACTGATTGACTGACTGACTGATGACAGATGGTCGTGTTCTTGATATACGTCGCACTCGTCGCGAGGTAGTAAAGGCGACGTCAAGAGGCGGAGGAAAACAAAAACTATGTACTAAGCACAAAAACTACTTCTACTGTGGTTCAACATAATGTCACCATCGTTAATGCCACTGAGAGTTTTCTCTTCATTCCTCCAGAATAGGTCTCTGTTGGCATGTCCGCATCTTTCATCGAAAGAGAAACGTCACGTAGAGTCCGTTCAATCAAATCTTCACCATAGTCCTGCAGGAAGTTAGTGGTATGCTGCGGGTCGTCCATTCGGAAACGATTGAAGGTTAAATGGAAGGATGATGAATTTGTTATAAGTAGATAATTGTAGGTGTGAAGGTCAACAAGTACTAGTACGTGAGCTAATTTAATTTCTTGAGTCAACAACTAACTCTAATGAACTCTATCCAGCTTTCTTTCCTAAAGTTTGACTGGGGAGAAGTGAAAAAAGTACTTACTTCAACAGCTCATCCCACGACAAGGTCCTTGAAGGAAGTGAAGATGAAATGTGGTTTGAGAAGTGCTCCATGGTAGGTAGTCCCAGATAATATAGTTGCAGCTTGGAAATGGAAGTGGAGATAAAAATAATCACTCACATCACCAGATCAAAAAAAAATGGGAGTTGATGTACCTTGTGAAACGGGCCGCCCAACAATCGCTCTGTATCTTCTTCATCGCTGTCGCTATCATGCTTGTTGCTGTTGCTTTCCTTAGCTGGTGGGTAATAGGTCCCGGCCACTCGTGCGTAAAAGCGAAGATGTGCGATCCCTGACATTTTCGGCCATAGTTTGTCAAATTGTGGCGCTAATCCACCGATCTTGCTTGCCACGGAAAAGTTGTCGGCGTAACAATCTTGACCTTTGATCAAAATCTTCCCTGAAGAAACGCCTCCGGTCTCAGAATCACCTGTGATCAGGTTAAAAAGAGTGCTTTTTCCTGCACCATTCGGGCCAAGTAAACCAAAGTTAGAGGCATCTTCGGGAATGCAACATCTCACAGATATCACCTGGGTCCGCTATTTTCCTCTATATTTATTTCTTTGTCCAGAAGATCACCTCCTTGGAGATGCAGATGCTGCATTCCGTACACTCATAACAAAGCATTCGCCGCGTTTGACTCCAAGCGACACACCTCGCGTGGCCCAGAAGGCAGTTCCGTTTGGATTGTAGAACCTCTTGCGAACGTCCGACACCACTACAGCATCCGCATCGTGCGTCCCAGATTGATCGTCCATATTAGAAGGACGCAAGAAGTCTTTTTCCGAGAGAAGTGGTCATCCGTAAGCTAAGGAAGATGAGGTCGTTGCTGCGTCACTCAGATGAATATCCGCGAAAAGGAAAAGGTGGCCAATGAATGTAATATTCATTGATTGATTGTGCCTGATCATGGTGAGAGATTGGATCCAATAATTGTAGTGGAGGCCTTGCTAAATGTAGTTCTACTTGATGGTTCTATCAATATGTACCATACATCATTTGGAGTGGAAAATTATAAATTTGAATAGACACGGCCTTAATAATCATGTAGTTGCCTTGTTGATACTGATTCTTCACTCTGTTCTCCTCCTCTACTACTGCGGAGTCCCGCTCGTTCCTGCCGCCTCTTACGACTACGTCATCCGTGGGCCACTCCGCAGGGTTTACTTGTTGTGACTTCGTCGGCCAATTGTTAGACATTTTTCCCTCTATTCATCTACATCTTCAAGCGCATCTTTGAGTTTAACCTTCTTTCTCCTTGAAAATTCTACTCCAAAGATGCTACTTCTTGACAAGATGAAAGAACTCACTGTGAGAAGAAGGAGCCTTAAAATTGGCTAGGTAGTCGACCACAAAAAACGTAAAGACGGAAGCAGGTATAGCGAGAAGAATGGCGTAAAGGCCCCCTGTAAATGCGTCATAGGACTCGTATGTAGCTTTTCCAGCTTCCTGTAATTTAAAGCCAGTCAATCACTATCGTTGTCGACGTTCCTCCTGCTTGATGAGTGGACTTCGTAGAACTAATTACGAGTCAGTGGCGTCCCTAAAAACAAGTAACGACCCTATAGAGCAATCCTGTTGACCTTGACTCACGTCTTCCAAGGATTCCTCTCGCTGACATAAACGCGACGTGACGTAGACGCTTCCTTTCTGCAAGGGAACATCAAACGAGGAACGCAATCAGGGGCATGCACGGGCCTAGTACTCTTGCTTCCTCGTCAGGAGCGCGAGGGACCTACACTAACAGGTCTCGACAATGAATAGTGTAAGTAAGGTCCCTCTCGCTTCTGAGGATGACCGACTGTGAACTTCTAGTATAGGTAATTGCTCATAGGTTAGTTTACTCATGATTAGTGTAAGAGAGTGGACCACTAATCTTGAATGACCCTGATGAATATCAGTGTAACCACTACCACTAATACCTCCACTCATATATATTATAATAGTGTAACCACTACCACTAATACCTCCACTCATATAATAGTGTAACCACTAATATTAAGGCTCAACTTTCAATGGTCATTGGGGTTGGTCACTGAGATCGAAGAGGCGACCCCTTGAGACAACAGGGGAAAACGAAGGGAAAGAAGGGGGTCTCTTCCGTTCAGCATCAGTGACCATTGAATGCTGAGCTTTAATAATACCACTCATATAATAACAAACAGGTCTCACAACTCGACAATAGTGTGATTGAGCAGCAGCCTTAACTGAAGACGGTGTGCCCGATGCTGCATCTGCGAGCTGTTTTGCGAAAGGGTCATTCGCCAGCAGCTGCTCGAGCGTGATCTTAGAGGATTTTGTTCATCGACGCATAAAATTCTATTCATCCCCGTGTGGTAACTAAATCCCTCAAGAAGAGAGATACTTCTACCTCAGTTCTTGTATACTATATGTTGTCGTTGTGTTCCCCTTGTATTACGCATTGGGGTGCATATCATCATGGTTGAAGAACTAGGGTAGCTAGTAATAATATTAGTATACTACTATAGAGATGATCATAGTACTTACTAGAGTCTAGGTACTTATTTGCAGTGCTATATACATGATCCTTCCGATTTGCGTTCCAATTTTCGACTTCAGAACTTCAAGAAAAATATTACTTACAATGTATTGGAGGAAGCCTTAAAGATCCCATTTGCGCTAATGCCTATGGATTGCGGCAAGAAGAGGACCGAAGGCATCCAACCGGAGCCAGCGAAGGCACCTCCAGGGGCGTCTGTTAGACCTTCCCTATATTCATCTTAGGGTGCGTCTCTGACCGTTTGTCCCCTCGCCAAAGATGCCTCTTAAGATGAATACGTGGAAGCCTTATGCCTTTCAGAGAGGGGTAAAAAGGCGGCGCCCCAGACATAATCATGCCAAAAGAGACCACCATTCCAACGAACACAGTAAGAAACCTGCTGCCACAGCCTCCCCACTGCATCCCGACGAGAAGATTAGAAGGGCTGCTTAAGTTGTATCAGCTTTGAAGAAGCAGAGAGAACACTGCAAAAGAATAATGCGTCCGCTCTACTAACTCAAGTTGTATAGTTAAAACAAAGGTGTTCTTGTCGTGATGAGGAAACTTCGCATAAATATGCTCATGGTGAGTCATTTCATGATTATCTTTACTTACTTAGTTAATACTTATAATATAGGATAGGATGCCTTTGCCCCGTTCTCACGCAAGGTGTATCCGGTGGAGGCGAACATGTACATCCTTGTTCATATTTATTCAAGTGTAATATTATGGGTGGAGCCAAGCTAACTAGGAAAAAAGGTAAGGTTAGGTATAAAGGGTAATATTTATTCAAATGTACTAATTAAGCCTTAAGAAGAGCGCAAATAGACGCAATCGGAGGCCCCAGCAGCCATTTGGCGTAGAAGACGTTCCTGCTGCTCGACCCTTCTTCCAATGCTAGGATATGCTTTGCCGGCAGATCCGCGGAGATTACAACCAAGGTACCCCACAAGAGGGATGCGAGACCCAGGCCCGTCGTGGTGAAGAAAATTTTAGACCTCCTCCTAACTAGTAATCCAGCAGTACCTCGAAGTTCATGTTGTCCATCTTCCTAAGACCGTTACCGCTGTTAATACGATACCCCTAAGATACTCCTCACAGAGTAAGACGTCTCGAAGAATGAAAGAGCTTCCGAATCCGAAGTGAGGTGGATTACTTCTAGCCGAGTAATGTATAAAGTTTGCCAGATCGCATGGCATGGAGTGCATGGATCGCATGGAGCTAAAGGGGGCGCTTGTTGCGTCCCTTATGGGTCTGCGCTCCATGATGCACTCCATGCGCCATGCGTACTATAAACTGCTCTGGTGTACTAGGATCTCGATGTACTGGACGATCAGGGGAAGCCTTAAAAAAGAGGGCATTTCCAAAGAAATAGCCCACCCTTCGCAGTCCGTGCCTTTGCGCGTGCGCAAGGACTTTGATCTCCGCCACTTCGTGGTAAACCAGAGTCATCGCGCTAGTCGTTGGCCATACTGCAAGCGGCGTGCCGAGAATAATGGCGATCACCGTAGGACTATAGGAAAGCAAAGCAATTCTTAGAAGGAGGTGATCATCGCTAATCTATCAGAAGAACGGAATATGCGAAAAGATGAAGGATTAGAAGTACTTACTTCTTAGAATGAACACCTAATAAGGGTTAAAAGTAGGCAATGGAGGCCCTCCGTTGGAGAGGTCCTAGAAGGGGTAGAAGTAGTAGATGAAATCCTTGAATGTATTTTTATTTTATTAGCTGAACTTACACTTCTCTAGGAGATCTCATATATTATAAAATCCATAGCATCCTCAGAGTAAGCACGACACGACAGCACAGTCGATTTATTATCAATTGAAGTAGTAAGTATGGGAATCGTCCATTTGGTTATGGATATGGTTTATCTTCATGATCACGAGAGTAATAGTGATGAGGCTCGCAGACGCAGATGAACGCCTTCAACTCATGCTTTACTTTTAACCGGAGCACTACTTCTAGCACTACTAGCATCAAGCTCAAAGTGAGCAATACTTTTTCCTGTATTGTAAAAGAGTACTACTTACGAGTTGTAGTATATCAACAAAGTATTATAATCAATAGGTCCTCCTGACTACGACGATCACTACAATGATTCTCCTTAATGCTGCGAACCAATCGCTCGGAGTTTTCTCTTTTTTCTCCAAAGTGAGGGCCTTGTTAGAACTGATAACCCAATACAGAACGAACGCAATGCGCACTGCTGGCAAGAGAAAGCTCATCCAGCCAAGACCTGAACATCGAAGGTGCCAAATAGCCGACACCTCGCGAAAAAAGGACTTAGAAAGTGAAAGACCCATCCCTAGACGGTTCATCCCTCTGAGTGTGTGGGGATCCCTCCTCCCCAAGATACGGCGTATAAGGCTCCTAAGATGAAAGTATGCGTATGGTCTTCCTTGTACTTCTATTTGGGCGCTTACGGTAGTTGAAGAGGGATCCCGATAATAAGTACATCACTTTCACTTACAGAGATGATGAGCAGTCTAAAGGGATGAAGCCTTAAAGGACCGCTCTCGCGGACGAAGCGGCAAGCGTCCAACCGCGATATCCCTTGCTCTTTGCTCCTCACTAACAACCGCAGTGCCCTGCTCTTGGTCGGTATCATGTCCAATGCGCAGAAAAACTTCCTCCAGAGTCGTCATCTCCACTGAGTAATTCGATATCTTGTACTTCCCCAATTTAGAAGTGCAGAGAACTCATGATTCTTGTTTTTGTTGCTAACTATACAAGTCAGGTTGCTCCTGTTTAAAATCCTTTTAAGGAGCTATTTATAATGTCCTCGCTGGATCCCCCTTAGTTCATTCTTTCACGATTATCAATTCCAACAGAAGTTCTTGGCAACAACTACAGCACACCAGATAGGACTAAAACGCCAGCAGGTAGTGAAGATATACTAGCTACTAGATATAAGTAGTACTTACTTCTAAATATTAGCAGGTCCTCGTTTACTAAATAAACGGCAGCAGGCACCAGTTGTGACACCGGTGGTATATATTTATAATAGTAGGAGGAGCCGTAACTAACTCTGCATCGATTTTGTCGAGTAAAGCAGGGAGGTTGCCAACTTCGTTCCAAGGCACGCTGTAAGACAGGAAAAAGCCGCTCACCTTCGGATTGCGTGTCTTCATACCCTTGATCTGCGGCTCGATGATCTCCTGTCCAAATTTACGCAAGTGCTCGCGTGCATCCTTCTCCTTCATCCTGGTAGGAGGTGTTGATGATGATGTTGTAGCTTCGTCTTGCATCATTAGACCTCTGCATCCTAGTAGTAGTAGTTCATCTTCCCTGTGGAGAAGGAGACCTTTCAAGCGTGTGTGCCTCAGTACTATGCCCCTTGTTGTACACAACAGGAACAGCAGGGGTGCATCCATACGGGTGTTTTATTGAAGAACATGTTGTAGTCTCTAGCAGACTCCAACTAGCGAGATCATCTCCAACAACCAGAACCATCAAGTTAGCTATACATTGAGATGGATTTTCAGTGAAATCGGGAACTAAGAAGCCTTAACATTGTGCTACTTTCCTCATCTATCGACGCGTTGATCCAGTATCCAGCTCCGAATTTTCGTTTTAGCTCTGCAGACGTGCCCAAGGCTTTCACTTGGCCAGCCGCCAGTATCACCTTCCGCTCGGCCAGTAGGTCCGCCTCTTCCAGATAATGGGTGGAGAACACGACCGCGCGGTTATGCTCTCTCGCCATTTGCTTGCTTAGAGTTTTCACCCTTATGGAGTCGGTGGAGTCCCACTTTCAGCGATGTTCATGATCATGGTGTCCCAAATAAGACTACTACTAGAACTAGCTTAATGGCGGTACAAAACAATTTTATAGATACATAAGTCATTCAAATTCATCGCTGAAAAAGCATCTTATGGAGTGGCCCGCCTATCCCAAAAGATCTTCTTGAGGCCCTTTTCCCCTTACAATACGAGGACGGAACAAGAATTACTCCAACGAACAAGATGCACTAGTAGCTGCCGTGGAACAGTTTCTCGTCTACGATCATGCACTACCTGATTCTGAAGATGGAATATTAGACTAATGATCATTATGGCAGAGCAATTTATATATAAGGCTTCACAGCTCGCATGGCATGGAGTGCATGGATCGCACGGAGTAGCATGGAGCTAAAGGGGGAGCTTCTTGCGCCCCTTAAAGCTCTGCGCTCCATGCGCTCCACCATGCTATTCCATGCACCATGCGTGCTATAAACTACTCTGTTATGAAGATGGATTACTAATCATTAGGGGACGGTAGTACTCCACGATGCAGTGACTGTATCTACTGACTACTGAAGATGGATTACTGACTACTATTAAAAAAATCATTACTAGGGGAAGTTAGTACAACAACTGACTAATCGTTCCTTACTAGGGGAAGTTAGTACTCCACGAAGATGCACTATCTGAAAGAAGATGAGTACAATTAGGGGTCAGAGGAAGCCTTAACTTGAGCATGACCCAGAAGTCCCGTCTGGCTTGTGGATCCATGCCACTGGTGGGCTCATCTAGCAAAAGCAAAGGCGCCTTTCCCAAAAACGCACACATTACCCACATGCGTCTTTTCTGACCTCCAGAAAGCTCCTCGCTGCGTTAGAAATAAAAGTCGGCCCCTTCATCTCTGGCTATTCTATGGGAACTGCTCAAACCTTCTTGTATAATTACTCTATGGGAACAAGAAGAGGGTATCGAAGAAAAGATGCCTATAATGGGAACAAGACGGTACTTACCAAAGAGAAGATGCTGTCTATGAGGAAACTACAAGGGCACCACAGCGAAGGGAGAGGACCGAGATGACACATGGAGGACGCGACTAAGTACTCTAGGTAAGAAATGTTATAACCATAACAGCGCGTGTCCAGCTTTTCCGTGAGCCCTAGGCCTTTCGCGTACTCGGCAACGCTAGCCGCTGTTTCTGCCTCGTCGTAGCCACGCAACCTCGAGAAAAACGTAACATGTTCCCGCAGAGTAAAGTTTGCACCAAGCATAGGATTATTCTGAGGACAGAAGGCGATGTTCTCTTGTACCTTCCGCAAATCTCCAATCCTTAGAGGAGGTGGTTACTACAATAACAATAGTAACACATCATAAAAGAGTAACACGCACCATTATAGTAATACCAATACGCAAGGAGGAAACAGCAAATCTAGTGTATCGGTATCGCGAGGTGAGTTGTCGTGAGTGAAATTCATGTAGGACTGTGCGTTGTAAGTGTGATTGAAATTCATGCTTCTACCTCGTCTCAGTCGTGAATGAGTTTCTTTCCGATTTATCAATGTTAATGTTGAAGAGGTGCTGACAAACGGTCGTACGTCAATAATGAAGGCTATTTCCTCCAGTGACTTGTGAAGATCAACACTGTGGGGATTCAAAAAAAAAAATGTGGGGATTCGAAACTACTTCGATCGTAAAAAGCGCACCGACTCTCCGGCGATTACCGCATCCCCTTCACTCAATGGTATCAATCCGGTTATTTGCGACAGCAGCGTCGTTTTGCCTGCTCCGTTATGCCCTAAAAGGCCAAAGATCTCTGCAGTCTTCACGTCATCTTAGAGAAGGACCTCAAGGTCAAGCCTTCGAGAAACTACTATCAATCTAGTATATTCATTCATGGGGAGCCACGTCATTCACAAAAAGACAAGACAAGACTAAGACATTTAGGCATAGAGGACAGTCTAATTTCATAACAGGTGAAAGATGAGTGTCAGTTGCTCTTAGCCGAGGAAACGAAGATGTTCCACCTACTTGATGAAGACAGAAAGCGAAAATGAAAAATGACAGCACAGGAGCACCTCATAATTGAAGGTCACATTATCGTTCGCGAGAAACTCCCTTCCGACCTTCTGAAAGCGTTTCGTCAAGCCACGCAACTCCAAGGCATTTCCACCACTCCCTGCAGCACCAGCCTCTTGTTAGAGGTGGTAGGGTCTTTCTCTTTGTGTTAGATTACTTGGTATACATAACAAGTTTACCTTTACTTTAGTTGTAGTAGGTGTACTTCTTATGCCCTACTTCTCTTCTAGGTTATCAAGAGAGGGGGCACAAGAACAAACAGAAAACAGTATACTCACGGAAACACCAAAAGCCTTGTCTTAATCTTGTTGCTGCAGTAGGGGGAAATGCGACGTATCCTCGAAGTCTTCATCATTTAACCCTGCTGGCAGCACCTTGCTGCGTTTATGCGTGTCTCTAGTTTAGAGAGCACTTCAGAGAGTCGGAAAGAGAAGAAGAGAAGAGAGAAGAACAGCTGAGAAGCATCTTCCTTGAGTAGAAGGAGCATCGTGCTTGGCTCCCCTTTTCACGAGACCTTGCTTGACCACTACCAGTATGCTTCATCAGATTCAGAAGATGAACGATAAGAAAGAGTCGATAAGGGTCTAAGGCTTAAGAACCATTCGCATCGGAGACAACACCAGTTTCGGCTTGAAGGCGACGACGATCGTAATACCAGATAGCTCCACCCCACAGCAATGCGTTCAACAAAACGGCAAGATAGTCTCCCAATAGTGCGGCATAGGAGTCAAACCAGTATGAAGGTGGTTGATCTTGATTCTTTTTTCTCTCATTTGAATGAATGAATGAATGTACTACCCACTCCGACTCCAGGGGTATGCAAAATTAATAAAGGGCGAAGCGTTCTTTCATTTTTAGAAAGCAATGCTAAGGGAGAAAAGCAACATGCAGAAACAAATGAAATGTTTCAACCCTTGATTTAATAACAGACCAGCAAGTAGGCCCTTCTTTCACGTATTAAGTACTTATACACTTTCAAGGAAAAAAAGGGCAGCCTAGAACTAGAAGATTATGGTATTATTGTGAGAAAAAACTGAGATCATCCATAACCAGCCTCCTGTTTTGCTAATATCGCGAGGACTAGCGGTCAGCATGCGTTTGGAACCTATTAGAAGAAGTACTATCCACCTCAAGACTTCAGAAACCGCTTTATGCTTCACAACATATGAGTAACATCGCTGAAGATACTCTTTCCTCAATAAAACTGCTTAGTCCTCCTATCCAGTCCTAGAGGTAAAAAATTGAACACAATAAGTAGAGGTAGTGGAAATAGCCCTGAGAGTAAGTGAGGAGTTTTTACTTAGCAGTTGTCTCTTTCGAAAAACTGAACCGGCCGAGTAATAAAGTTGTGATGGAACCAACTCGAAGAGAGCTTCTACTAAATTAGCCTAGCACTGTTGTAGTCCTTGAATTGACTTGCAAGGCTACTTGCCTTTTAAGGCAAAACAAAATCATGATGTAGAAGATGAGTTCTAACGTTTCGAGGTGGTCCCTGGTGAGTTGTCTTTGATCTGAGATGATATTAGTATCGAGGACCTTAAACGAAGACCCCACATCATCCCCCAGCCTTCCATTTGAGTCGCTTCTTCCCACCAATCCGGGTCCCGGTAGGGCGCTTCTTCCGTAGCGGGTTTGAAATGGGGATCCTTCTCTTAGAGAGCCTAGAGCTAGAGGCAATAAACAGATTGATACATTAAGAAACCAACAATTTAAGTCAAAGATTTTTATTGAAACTTCTATTTTAAATAGAGTCAAAGATGATGATGAATAGGCCCTTCAGGCGCCTTAATTATCTTTTGATCCCTTCCACGGTGCGCGGACCGCTTTTTGTTCATCATTTTTTAGACTCAGCGTTAGCCCATCTTCGTCCCCTCATCTCGACCCCTTTCCCCTTGTATTTCATGAGAATACAAGGCAAAATGGTACCAAGATGCCGAAAAAGATGGACAACAGCTAACCATAAGCTTTCTTTAGCTGTAATGCGCGCCACTTCTTTAAACGAATTCTTCTCGAAATTCAAGCGGCCAACTTCACGTAAATCCTCGTCCGAAACTCGGTTAGAAGTGGTAGAGGTAGTGCGTATAATGACCCCGGGAACAAACAGTTTGACTTCTATCGATGAATTTCTTATTTCTGACTAAATCCCATTAGCTTCTCTGCTTCCAAAAACTAAAGCTAAAGGGTCTTCGTTCTGTCGTTAGGAAAGCCAAAGACGTTAAGCAGCGGATATATTTTTACAGCTACAGGGTCTTCGTTCTGTCGTTAGGATCAAGTTGGGGTGGGCAAAGGAGAACTTATTCTTACTGCAGTGATCTTTGGCGACTACAACAGTAAAAATGATCGTTCAATTATGTTACCACGTCAGTGGATAACAACACCAATAACAACAACAAGTTTTATCTGGCACTTTGCTAAACCCTTCACGCAAGGTGCCTGGCACCACGTGGAAGGATCTGCCAGTGCCACATATTAATGATTCAATCATCAAAAATCTGATCATCATTTAAAAATAGTTGAGCATGGCTTACAACCGTGATGATTTGTATAGATTGTAGGATGTTATACTTCACTAACCCTGCTTTAAGAGAGACTAATCGTAACGCACACACTAGAAAGGAAGAAGGGAAGGGGCTGTATCGGTAGCAAGCTGAAGTGAATACATACAAGATATGATCCAAGGCGCAGGGCTACGGCGCTCCCCCCTCGCGTAGGGGGGGCACCGGTAGCCCCGGCCCCCTTTTGAGGGCGTCTGCCGGGGGTGGAAGCAGGCCGCAAAAGGGGGCCAAGGGGCCTCCTCCGCTCCCTTCCAGCTGCCTGGCTGTTCCCTACAGACCTCCGGATTAGGTGGAAGGCTTCAAAAGGGGCCAGAGGGGCCGCCTGCGCTCCCTTCCAGGTGCCTACCTGTGCCCTACGTGCCTGCTATATGCTTCGCCGCCGCAGCAGTGCGGCGGAGGCGGAAGGCTTCAAAAGGCGGCAAAAGGCGAGGGGCTGGACACCCTGAGCCGTGCGGATTGTACCCTCCGGGCCCTTGGTCATCGGCTTGCTTGCTCTTGAGACCGTGGCCGCCTTCGGCGGCCTTTTACCCCGGAGGCCTCCCGCCTGCGAGGGTCAGCAGAGGCCAGGAGGCCCCTGAGGGACACGCAGAGAGGCGCAAGGGGACGCCCGCGCCCAGTTTTGACGCCTTCCACCACTCGAATCCGCGAAAATCAGCGCGGAAAAGCGCGCGCGCGCGCCACCACAGACCATACCACAGGGGGGACCGGTCAGCCCTAAATCATATAAGTATATTTATCAGGTGGTGGCGATCTTGGCATAAACGGAATCAAGTCCAACAAATGCGGTTTGATGTCATCGGCTTCCACGAAGTCTTTCCAAGTCGACCAAAGAGCGCCGTCGTTTACTCCTTCACCAGGGAAATGCCGCTCCAGCAACATTCTTAGAGCTCGGCCTAATCCATCCTGAAGATCATCCTGAGACCTTTTCCCCTTGAAAAGCCTTCCCAGGCAGGATGCTTCAGGAGATGGATTAAGAGAAGCCTTAACGCTCGTAGGCTTTTTCCGCTCTTTGGCAGTTTTTCTCCGTTCAGTTCACGTTCTTTACCAAGCTTGCTAGCGAGACTCCGTGGGACGATAAAAACACCCTCGTTTAGAGGTTGCAGAGCTCTTGCATCCTTCAGTAGAACACCTTCCCTGTCCCTGAAGAGTTACTTGTACTTCTCTCTTATAAGTAGTTGGAAAAAAACTCCTCAAGTAGATTTCATCAAGTGCAGACGAATGCAATGTTGTGAGATGAACAGTGCAGCAGAGTGAACCGTGAGAGGAGCCCTTAACTCGTCCTTCAGCTTCTGCAGCTCATCCTCTGAATGGGCACTGGCGCATTCGAAGACCACCTTGCCATTGAGTCCGCTGTGCCGAACCCAGACGAATCCTGCTCCCCGCCACATAATCCGAAAAAAAGCAATCCCAGGTACGAATGTACCCGCAAGAAAGCCGACTCCGACGTTCAGGAAAGTGTGCCAGGCAAAAAAGTCGGGGCACAGCGTCTCCGACCGCTTAACCATTCCACCCATAGTACTCGGCGCTCCAGGGCTGCCACGGTCATCCCGCCATAGGAGGTGCGGCGGGTTGCTGTGTATTAGAGGAGCTCAAAGGAAGTCATTTCTTGCCTTCATTTCTTCAGAATCCTATGAGCGAAAACGATGAAGAAAGAGACCCTTCGAAATGAATTGTATCGGGCCTTAATCTTAGGTAGTGGTCGTACAGCTCGAGCGTTATCCTATTTTCTACCTTGAGCTTGATCTGTGCTTTCTCGCCGTCCGCGCCATTCTCTTAGAGGTAGGCTTTTGGTGTTTCTGTTATTTCCTGTTTGCTCTGCCTTTCCCCCTAAGAGAGGCAGGACAAACGGTAACGGGAACACCTTTTGCCTACCCTTAATTCTCGTGGCTCCTGAGTGCCTTGTTGAGGCCTTCTTCATCGGCTTGCAAAGCAGAAGGAGTCCACTTCGCCTTCGCCTTCGCCACCAGCTCTTCCTGCTGTGGTTCCTTTCTCCACTCTTCGAAGGTTCGCCCCAAGTCTGGTTAGAGTCGGCTCTGGAACCCCTCTCATTAATCTCGACCCCTTTCATCCTATGAAACAAATATAAGGGTAAAGGGCACCCCTTTCATCCTATGAAACAAATATAAGGGTAAAGGGCACCCCTTTGATCCTATGAAACAAATACAAGGGTAAAGGGTGCCCCTTTCATCCTATGAAACAAATACAAGGGTAAAGGGTACTCCTTTCATCTTATGTATGAAACAAGTACATCAAGGGTAACAACTCGGGGGCATCGAGATGCGGAGACAAATGGACACTAGGTGCTGGCCTTAAAAATCTGGGTTTTCTGTAAAGAGAAGGTTCTGGACATGCCATTCGTCCAACGCAGAGAATTGCCCGGCGACGAACTTCACAGCTTCTTTTTCGATCACGGTCAGCCCTGGCCCAAACGGAGTAGGGTTGGAGGGCTGCAGGAGCTTCTGGATCACGTTGTTCGACATCGACATGCCGATCCAGGAGGTCCGCGTTGGATAAGTGAGGTCTAAGAGGACCGTGGCCAGCACTGCTGCTAAGCCAACGACATGAAGTTAGAGCTTCCTTCTAGAAGAGGGTCAACATGGAAGGCGTCGTGTCGCGGCCCCCTCAAGAATTCTTGTTCATAGCGGCGACCCCTTCCAACAAGTTCCCGCTCCTTATCTAATTCCCTCATCTAGTACCTCATCTAGTACCTCCTAATGATGACGAGTTGTGGGCTAGATTGTAGCTTGTTTAACTTCATCACTGACCCTGCAGTTGTATATAATTCGTAGAACAAGGAGGGACTAGTGAACCATTTGTTCAGGAAATAGCCGCCTTAATTAAAGATGATCGACATCGACGTTGGTAGATTTTCTGCATCCTTTAAGACGAGACCCAAAAAGCATCCGGCAAAGCAGGTCGTTACGACAGCGAGAAGACCAGCCAGTATTAGATGAACTTCACGTCATTAACAGCGATCCTGGTAACTTCAGGAGTTAAACTAACTTCTTAAAAAACAACCTAAGTGAAACTTCTTAAACAACCTAAGTGAAACTTCTTTAACAACCTAAGTGAAACTTCTTAAACAGTTCTAAGAAGTTACGTATGACTTCGAGATGGGTGTCATTTTTGCAGAGCCCGAGAATGATTGAATAATAATTATAAGGCTTCACGGCTCGCATGGCATGGAGTGCATGGATCACATGGAGTAGCATGGAGCTAAAGGGGGAGCTTCTTGCGCCCCTTAAAGCTCTGCGCTCCATGCACTCCATGCTACTCCATGCTACTCCATGCACTCCATGCACCATGCGTGCTATAAACTACTCTAGTCAATATTTCTTTGATTAAGAAGGTTTCTGTTTCATCTCACATCAGCTAATGTACATTCATAAGAGAAGTGGGGGGTACGCCGTCTCCATCCAGTAACTGGGAATGCTCAAATTCTCCGCATTCGCGTAGGCCGCGCTGCCTGGTGGACCAGTGACAAAAAAGTCTACGCAGAGCGGAATGCTGCCAAAACCCAGGCCTAAGAAGAGAAAGGACAGCAGAAACATCGCCAGGAGATGGGAGGACCAGTACTGAAATGGGGTCGCGCCATGCATTAGAAGTAGCATTTTGCTGTTCGTTTACCCTAGTACCCCCTTCGCGATGCCTTTCCTTTTCAGAAAGGCAAAACGAACGACAACAGGAACACCTTTAGCCTACCCTTAAATACACACGAAGAACGTCCAACATTTTGTCCTCCTTGTCCGTGATCACTTGACCCGAAGCAGCCACCGCCACCTCTCTAAGGCCAGAGAGGTACACGACTGTGAAGGCAATTTAGCGCTAGTTTGTCTTTTGAAGACTATCCCTGGTTGTACGCTGAGTGAGTTGCTCTTTTTTCGCATTATTTTCCTCTACTTATCCCCATATTTTTCTCTTATATCCCCCTATTTTCCTGCTTTTATATATCCCCATGTAATTTTGCCCTTTATTATAAGTCAAAAGCTCCTGCGTCACTCAACATGATAGATCCTCCATCTTATCCCCTTATAATTATCCCCTCCATTCAGTCAAGGACTCCTGCGTCACTAAACATCGTAGAAAGATTGATCCGTCACATGGGATAGTGATACTAAAATAGCCTTAAGTGATCAGAATCCCGATTGCAAAGGTCCCATGCGAGATATGCTCCCATTCAAAGCCCAGATTGTAACCGAAAATACGCCAGGGTTTGAAAACTATAAACGGAAAGAGGATGCTGAGCAACCCGTAGACAAAGTTAGAGCAGGTGGAATAATATTCATGGTTTCGTTTGTAGAAGGGAAACATAATTCTAAAACGCGTGAAAGAATCATGGATACTGTCGTGTAACGATGAATGCAGTCAGTGCTATCTCTACAACTGAGATGTTTTGGCCTCTTACTTCAATATCTCGGTACCTAGTAAGTATCTGTAGAGAAAGTAATCAAAAATTACTACTTACAGGAAAGCCTTAACCAGGGGTGGCTGGATGTAAACCTTCCACTGTGCCTTGGCATTTTTGCCCGTGCGTTCGAGCAACAAAGCAAAGGTTCCCGTCATCTCTGTCAATTATAACAGAAGAGAGACCGAAGCGTTTGGAGCAAGATTGAGATAGTACGGCTTTTGGAACTTTGGCAGTTGGAAAGTTTTGTACGGCTCTTCCACTGTCAGTGACTTGAAGTTTGCTTGGAAGTTTGTGGTAGTACTGCTCTTGTTCCACTGTCAGTCGGCTCTCCCACTGCCAGTAACTTGATGAGAAGTTGTGAGGCTCCCTGCCCTTGGGTCTGTAGAAGCTCGTGTACGTGTTCTGCTTGATGCTCGCGGCCTACCTCATTCTTGTTCTTGGAAAAAGATTCAGATGAAACTACTTTTAGTACTCGGTGTAGTCCTACGGGGATGAGTAGGTAGTTTGTCAATGGTAAAAATGACTTTAACCTCTGACTTTTTTCGTCATGTCAGTTTCCTATTGCTACTAAGCCTTGTTTCGTTATCACGAGTAGCTCAATACAATTCCCTCGTTGGAGGAGTCTCTTCTACACAACAAAAATAGCTGCAACCTTTTTGTAGTCCTCCTATGATAAAAATCGCCTAAAAAAGCTACTATCTTCTACAATCCATAGTTCTTTAACCTAGGCTAGTTGGGAATTCATTTTCGGGGACGACGGACTGCTCATGAACATCATTTTAATATACTTTTCGACCGAAATCGACCGATCAAGATGAGACGAAACGACGTGTTGCGACTTTTGTTTGTGCTGTGGCCCTGAAGACACGACCGAGAAATCCCATCTAGACGCGGAGCTTTACTCTGTAGTAGAAACACAAACATGCTCATTCTCAGAATGACATTCTCTAGTACACCGAAGCAAATGGAGATTACCGAAACAACCGAATTCGAAATTCGAAATTTTTCACCTCCTGAAGAAAATCTTCACTTTGATGGTGTCACATTCCTCTTGTTTAGCGACCATACTCTCACTCTCTGCACCAACCTGAGCTAATTGGGCTGCTAGTTCGTCTGCATCGCTCACTGTCTTTTCCTCCTTCTTCCTACACGATCACGAGGTTGACGATCTTTATGTAGAATGCTACGCAAGAGGAATCAACATACTAGGGAGACACAACGTTTAGTAGGAATTCAAGTTCACCACGGATTGGAAAGAGCAAGCTCCTTGTAGGTTCTTTTGATGTCTTCGGGACGATGAATTATATTGTTGTACTAGAGCTCAGGTCGCAGGATTCTGCATACATCTAAACTTTTTTGTCGAGGCGCATTTTTTAGTCGCATGTGTATATAGTCGCGGCCAGAGGGCCCGTCGCCTGAGGACAAAAATATTCACTCACACTTGTCTTCAGTTGAAGAACCAACCTGTCGAAGGAAAAAATAAGCAAAAAGATGGAGATCCAAGAAATGTACTTGTTACCCCCAGAACCATTGTGTTTGTGGACTGATCATGAGTATATCAACTTCTTCTGTAAGGTGTATGCATGATATTGAACTATAAATTTATTGGAACCACAAAATATTGGTTCACGACCCAAGCATTTCGACCACGAGCTTCAAGTTTTCGATATCTCGTGTCTTCTGATCTCGTTTCTCCTTTTCCCGCTTCTCCTTGGTTTTCTTGTCGATGCCGAGAACTAGTTCGCATTGCTTTGCCAGTTCCTCCCTCTGCTGTAAAGCTCCATCCTTTTCGTCTCTTGGTTAGAAAAAGGAGCCTATGCCTATCCTTGTTTATGAATATTATCTTCGCAAACTGTTAATGGTACAACCCATCGTGGATTGGAGATGATAAATGGTGTGTAAAGCTTAGGTTATTTGGCCCCCTCAAAAATAGATACTTGTCCAATGAATTCGCTCGATTTCTCTGATGTTGAAACAATGAAAGACGGGTTGAAGATAAGTAATTAAAAAGGACTAAAAAAGGGTTCGAGTTCCTTGTAGTTGGTCCACGCGCTGCACGCAACGCTTCGAAACAAGAAACAAAGTGTACAAGTACAACTAAGAGGAACTGACCATCATAATTCAGCATGGCGAGATCGCGGGTCTTCTCCGACGCCTCTTGTTTGACATTAGCCCGCGTTGCCTCCAAGTGCTGCACTTGATTAGAAGAATATGGAGTACTCCAACTCCATAACATCAAACTACAACTAATATAGCAATGAACAACAAGAGAGAAAGGATGAGAAAAACTAAGTTGACACTGACTCATTGATGTTCACTACAACAACAACAACAATAGCGATAATCTAGTACGACAAAAAGGTACAGGTGCCATCAAGTCTACGTCACCGTGAGAGTGAGTGACTCAATGAATCCTCTTTGTCCTCAGTCACTAAAGCCTTCTTGTCCTCAGTCACTAAAGCCTTCTTGTCCTCAGTCACTAAAGCCTTCTTGTCCTCATCGCCGTAAATCTAACATCCAGTGCTGCTTGCTCGGTCTGAAACTTTGATCGATCCTCACCGAACGCTGCTGAAGCACTCACTTCACGCCCAGTCGCTTCAATCAGGCTGGCCGCGTAGTCTGCTTCCAAACGCTCGAGCAGGGCGAACAGCTCGCTGGTTTTCCCGTCGATATGAAAAGGTGACGTCAGCTAGACTCAGGAATTGGAAACAAGGTGACGCCATCATTGGTTCCGGTATCTGGTAGCCTGAATTCGATCACAAGGATTCTCTTCTTGTTTTCCCGTATGATCAGAATCAGCCAGGTTACCAAATATCGGAACCATTCACACCAAGCTACAACAAAAAGAACTGCTAAACTACAACAAAACATAGCAGACTGACGCCCCTTGCTTTTGCGTACGAAGAAGAAGAAGAAATAAGAGTCTTGGATAGATATAATTTTAATTTCATCATGATGGTGGAGCAGGCCTAACTAGAAAAAAGAAAGACCAGAGGAAGATAGAAAAGCGAACTATCATCAAGTATCCTCCTATCTATCTGGCTCAAGGTAAAAACACATAAGAAGTTTCCTGACCACCGTAGAACCCCTGTAGGAGTATTCGAGCTCGCGCGATCTTCTCGCCTGCGCGTTTCATTTCTTCGGCTTCCTCCAAGTTTCTCTTTTTGTCGTCAGTTTTTAGATGACATAATATTCATTTATTTACTGAAATTCAGTTTTTCATCATGTTTTTACTGAAATTCATCATCAGGATCAACAGGTAACTTTCTTGCTAGGCAGCTGTTTCGCGACTCAAACTACCTCAGGCCTAGGTATCACGAAGCAAGAACTACATGAAGCACCAGGAGTTGTATCGTAGGGATTGAGATTTGAGCTTGCAGTAGTATGCCAAAGAGACGAATACGCAGTAATGCTCCGTTGTCTCAGATGAATCTTGTGATGTGACGGTCAACACGGAGTTCAACTGTTTATTCGACGAGTAAAAAAAAGTACGTAAGTACAAGTAGCTGTTCACTTGCCTTAACATCCTCTGTTTGCTCTGCTGCTGCCAGAGCGTTTGTCGGGTCCGCTTGTCTTTATTCGATTCCTTGCTACGCGCTACTAGTTGAGCGAGACGACCTGTTACACATTAGTCAACGTAACAAGTAACGCAGAGGAGAGAGGAAAGAGGGGGAGGAATGGTCGGAGGTAGTAAACAGTAGAAACCGAGGAGGAGCAGACCCACGACGGGCAGGGAGGGTTAGGTTAGGTTAGGTTTCGGATACAGTGCATGTGGACAAGGCTACACAGCGGCTGCACCATACGAAGCAATAGTAAGACTAGCAGGAAGACACACAATCCTCTACTCAACTTGGATAGAACAACTGTTTGTTCGAGGCGGTGTAGAACACAAACCGAACAAGTAAAAGGAACAGCTTCGATCTCATTTTCTTGAATATATCCAAGTAGTACTTAGTACTTTGCATTTCCTCAGCTCTGGCTTTCGAGTCCTTCTCTCGTTCCTCTATGTCTTGCAAGTCTGCCTTATTATTGCCGATTTCGCGCACACACCACTGCTCCTTGTTTGCAGCTGCCGCAGCTTCCTTGCTCAGTCGGTGAATGGTATCGGACAGCATCGCCTTGATTCTGTCGCCGTTAGAGGAGTTCTTGAAAGCGTCGAAAACACAGGGAGACGGACATCATCAACATGTACACACAGGAGATGATGGAGGCCCTTATTGTCATCATTCTTGGAGGCATTGTGGCTCCTATATTTGTTTCTACTTTTAGTTTTACTTCTAAATCAATCTAAATACATTTAGTAAGCACAAAATGAAAAACAACCCCTAGAACCATAACAAAAGCACCATCGCCCTTTTCTGCGTTACTCTGCAATTCTTCAGCCAGAAAGGCTACTGCGTTGCGTTTGCCCGCCGTCTGTTCCCGCAGAAACGCTGCGGCTCGAAGCAGGACTTCCTTATTGTTGCGTGACTGCTGTTTTAGAGGAAGCGGAGCTATTCAACAGCTTAAACTTAATTCATCTAGAAAGAACGGTTCGTTGTCAAGATGGACAGCTTAAACTTAATTCATCTTGAAAGAACGGTTCGTTGTCAAGATGGACAGCTTAAACTTAATTCATCTTGAAAGAACGGTTCGTTGTCAAGATGGATCATTTTCATTACTTGGGTAAAAACATCAAGCCTTAACTGTTGTTGTAGAAAAACCGAGGAAGAAAAAAGACCATCGACAAGGCTTGACGCAGCAGCGTCGGGTGATCCTCCGTCTTCGAATGAAGAGGTGCTCGACCACCGCGATGCGAGCAGTCTTAGTTTCTTTCCACCTCTCCGCTCTCGCCTCCGCCTCCCATTAGTGGCGTAGGAAATCCATCCCACGAATCATCTGGATCTCTTATTCTTCTTGTTTTCTTCCCTCTCAGGTAGAAGCGAATGCAATGGCTTTTCGTCATTAGTAGTCAATACTCATACATCAAGGGGAACAACTGTTAAATACTATAAGTAATACTTCTTGCTTTCTTCTCTCTCTCAGATGATTAGATATGATGGATTTCCCACACGATCCTTAATGTCAGTCTTCCTAGTTCTTTTGCTGTCAGACGAGGATGAGGCACTTTTCGAGGATGATGTTCTGTTCTTCTTCTCACCTCCTCGTCTATTTTGCTCTACAACTTTGAGCTTCCTCCTCGCCTTTCGTTCATCCTGTTTAGCATCCTTGTTTACTTCTTCTTCTGCACCTGAAGTCGACGTCATCGACTCACCTTGCTCTGTCGCAGTGTCTTCCACGTCGTCTTTTTCAGCGTCCTGCTCAGATTGCTCTTCGCCTTCAGTTCTTGAAGCACCAGAAGACTCGTTCGCATCTTCGGAGTCTTGCAGTGACTTGGGACTTCTACTAGTATTAAAGCTCGGCACTCATTGGTCACTGACCACTCTGAACGGAAGAGACCCGCTTCAAAGCTCTCCCCTTTCCCTTCGTTTATTTCCCCTGTTGATTCTCTCAAGAAGGGGTCGCCTCTTCGATCTCAGTGACCCCAATCTCAATGGTGACCGTTGAAAGTTGAGCCTTAATAGTAGAGTCGGAGTCTTGTAGTGACTTGAGACTCTCGCCTTGTGATTCTGTAGTCTCTTCAGAGCTGTCGCTGGCGTTGGAGTCTGCACTATCCTCGGTCCTGGTTGCCTCAACCTGTTCTTTCGCCTCTGTAAGTAGATCGCGATCATCATTAGCTGTAGGTCTAAATCTTAGCAGAGTTATACGGGAGCCTTCCATTTCAAATCGGAGGAGAGATCTTATAATTGCAGTGGAAATGATAGCGCTATTAAAGCTTAAGCTTTCCGTCCTACTTGATGAAGATGACTACTTACTTATCAAGATAACTCGCAAACTAGTTAAGTAGACACTATAGTAGATGCGAAAGCAAATTGGAAAATAATCTAAGTACATGGTCCTTAACCTCAGTCTCCAAAAGTCCGAGGGCGCTGGCCAGAACCTCCGCTTCATCTCCACGAGTCTTCTGCGTTTTCTCATACTCTGCTGTGCGTGCACGAATTTCAGCCTTCAGTTTACGCACTGCCTCCTTTGACTGGGCTAGAATGGCAGCTTTTTCCTCCTTCTCCGTTTCTAAGACGCCAACTGCGCCAGATTTCTCAGCGCGCTGCTGCTCGAGATCGCTCTTGCGCTTCCGGTGGGTATGAAGAAAAAAGGACGAGTAGTTGGGTGTGAGATGTAGAAGTCAAGCAAGAACAAGAACGACGACAAGCAAGAAAATACTTAGAATTGTCGTTGGGTTTGGAGTAGAAGTGAGAACTTTATTGCTATTTTTATGATCCATCATCACACTCTCCAAAAGTGGTTCACTTGCCGCTAGTACGAGCCACAACAACATTATTTAAGTGCGCGCTTCTCATAAAGTAGCTCATTGCGGTTGCGCAAGAGAGACACTGAAGCGTCACATGCATGAGACCGCTCATTTTCTTCCTCCAGTCTTTGTTTTTTCTCCTCTTGATTAGAGGCTGCAGAATTACACCCCCCAGAACATCCTTTGCCTTTTTCCTACTAGAAAAGAGGCCATGGATGGTAGTGGAGGATGTAATTTGGAAACCCGTTTTAACTTGAAGCTTTTCTTCCATATCCCCCAATAATTTGAGCACGCGATCCGCTGTGGTTGGCACGTCTTTCTCAGGAGCTTGGTACACCTTGATGGCAGCTGACGCCGTGGCGGATTATTATGAAAAACGAAAGGAATGGGAACGAAGCAGGGGAATTATATTTATACCCCGTAGAGCAGTTTATAGGGGTGCCAGATCCGGGATGGGATGGATCGGATGGAACGGATGGACTTTCCACCATTTCAAGTAACAGAACGGAAGAATCAGGGGGGCTCATCCGATCCATCCAAGTCCATCCTACATCCGTTCTATAAACTACTCCTTGATGGCAGCTGACGCCGTGGCGGATTATTATGAAAAACAAAAGGAATGGGAACGAAGCAGGGGAATTATATTTATACCCCGTAGAGCAGTTTATAGGGGTGCCAGATCCGGGATGGGATGGATCGGATGGAACGGATGGACTTTCCACCATTTCAAGTAACAGAGCGGAAGAATCAGGGGGGTTCATCCGATCCATCCAAGTCCATCCTACATCCGTTCTATAAACTACTCCTTGATGGCAGCTGATGCCGTGGCGGATTGTCATGAAAAGGAATGGGAACGAAGCAAGGGAATTACATGAAATGAATGTGACTGTGCATGAAATTTCAATTACGAAGTAGCCCAAGTGTTCATATCATTTGTTGCAGGAACGAAGTGGCCGCTACATTTTGTTTCTGGACCGGAGCAGCGTTGTCATGAAGATGGATGGATTGGGACAACAACTGCAGACCAATGTATGAGGATTTGTTGTCTTTAACGAGGACACAAATTCAAGAATTCGTGAAGTCATTGCATAATTGATGCGCCAGCAAGAAGCTAAGACCCCAAAAACAAGACTCCAATAGTCATGAGAGTACTAGACGGTGATCAACGGAGAGACCAGCAAAGAGTCTTCAGCTAGCACTTATCTACTTTATTCCAGAACTAGTTCTACTATGCTTGAGATTTTTCACCTAAAAAGATCCCGTTCTAGTCTTCTCCACTTCGTCAGCTCTGTCGTCAAGAGCCCATGCTTTTAGTTCGGCTTCACGGATATTGGCCTCCTGCTCTCTCCTACTGCTAGCAGCAGCATTCGCCTGGCGTGTGATTTCCTGTTTCCGCGCTAAGAGAGCTCGATGCTGCCGTTCCAGCAAGATCGCGTCTGCCTCACGTCGAAGACCCTCCGCTGCTTCCGCTGTACTCTCGCGCATTTGAGTTAGACGAGACTCCTCATATCTTCTCCTACGTTTTCTCGTTGAACTTCTTGTTATACGTCGATCTTTTGTAGCGTACTCCAACTGTACAACTTCAACGAACTTGTTCTCATCTCGACAAAATAAATATTAATATCAATAAAAGTGGATGAGCGTTTCTTTGCAGATGTAAGCTTGCTAGCACTGAAAACAAAACTTCCTCCATACCTCAAGCTTTGACAGGAGTTTTTGTCTTGCTGCGTCGACCGACGCCAGTGACTTCTCGATGCGCTGGAAGGCCTTGCGGAATTTCTGAGATTGCGCCAGGCATTTCTTCTGTTCAGCGTTTTGGTTCGCCTCGCCCGCTCCCAAGGCGCTGGCGGTCGTACCTAGCTCCTTTGTTGCGACTGCGACTTCCTCTTTGCGCTTTACTTAGACGAACGGATCCATCTATTGTTTAATCGAGAGAGAGGCGACTTCTAAGAATATTACGACCATTTAGAAGTTTCCTACAACATCAACATGTACGAAGATCACGTAATTCCATTGCGATAAAAACTTCCTCTTCCACGACAATGCAATAGAAGTCCACAACAGAGAAGTTGTAACACTTCCAGTTCTACGATACAAGAAGCCTACAACGAGAAATAATTTCTAGCACCCCCTCTTCTACTAGGAATTGCCATTTCATCTAACAGAGCTTTGACTAGACTAAGTCGCGCCGTTGACTATAACGAGGAATCAGCGCCACTTTTGCCCAGGTTAGGTTAGGTTAGGTTAGGTTTACTTTTGGTTTTGGCCAGGTTAGGTTAGGTTAGGTTGCAGTAGCACTTCTACCGAACTCAAGGAATCTTCAAAAATAGCACCACTTCTACATCAACTTCTAATATTTTTGAAACTTCTACCTACTTACAACTTCTACAATATCGTAATTGGCAAGCAGGGATGTGGTTTCTACTAGGTCAGCGCCTGAGACGTCCACAGCCCGCTTCGCCTCCTCCTGTCTCCCATGAAGCAGCTCTGGTTCTTAGAGATGCTGCAGCATTGCCATGTCTAGATAGCGTCTTGTCTAGAAGGTGGGAACGCAGCAAAACTAGAAGTAAGTAGGTGTCTCGTTCAACATTGCCACGTCTAGATCATGAACTAGTACAAAATGGCTCTCAGAGATGAAGCCAGTAATACTGGCTGGTAGGGACGACGAACAAGAGAGGACACTCTCTAGCTCTACCAGAAGTCTACGTGTAGGTCTAGTAGCGACTGGCTAGTGGTGCAACAGCTGTCCTCCGGAGCGACTACAACCGCTCCTCGTCGTTCTTGAACATTAACTACTATAGTGCATCTTAATCTTCTGCTGCCCATGCTTTTGCACTGTCCCCTTCTTCGGTGTCTACACGTTTCCGAAGCTCCTTCAACAGTGTTACCACACTGGAGAGCGCTGAGGGTGCTGACGATGTAGTTCCGCTCGCAGTCTGGTGACTATTGAAGATGAGCCAAGAAAATGCGGCAGCAGTTACGGCATTAGAGGAAACCAGATGACTTGTAAGTTTAAAACCTAGCAGCGAGGACAAGAAATTGAGGGGAGACGATGCGCAACGGAACCTACCTTCCTCAAATTTTACTACGTGCCAGGATATGAAAGTTAGTACTAGAGAAATATAAATGAATCATTGTACTTCCAAAACCCATGATCTTTTCTTGTAGAGAAAGAAAAACAGAGCTGCAGTTGTTCTTTGGTGCGGCTAACTCATAGCTGTATTAACTCAGTTCGAGTTCAAGTGGGTATCCCCGTCTCTTGCCCCGGACCTCGGTCCACATTTTTTTTTTCCATTGGACTACATGCTGCCTCCCATTCAACTACTCAAAAAAAAACCCACTTAAAAACTTACATACCGAGTGAGCACCACTGAGGGATTTTAGATAACTGGAAATAACAGGTGGAAATAGCATTACATCATCAATGTCAGGTGATTTTAAACAACTCAGTGGAAATAACATTACCTCATCATAAATCTTAGCAGCGCCACCACTGTAGGTGGGCTTCGGCGTGCGCGTGTACTAGAAGCCACAGACGAAACCGTCATTTTCCCGAAATCTCTAAGAGACCAGGACGTCCATCCTTGTAAGTGTAATGCGAAGCCTTACATCTTCCTACTATTACTTGATCATGCACAGTGAATAGCAATAGCTCTAGCACGTAATCATACTGGGATAACACTTCCTCTTGTTTGATGATACTTAGTAGATCTCCAGAGTTGTTCTTGACGATCGGCTAGACTAAAAAGACCTCACACCAACTTGATTCAAGTATAGCAGCAGCAGGAGCAGCTCAACCGATACGAAATGTAATACAGAGACCAAGAAAGGAGTGGGATCAGGGTGGGCTTCGGCTTTTGCTCAACGGCGTCGAGGAGTCGCTCGCAGTTTATCAACAACCTTAAAGTAGGAGCACATCATCCACGTCAGCCACGGGCACCGAGCGCCAGGGCACTCAGACTGCTCAGCACATAAACCATAAACCCTTGATGTGGCCACCACAGCAACATGTTGTATATGACATATTCCTGTCAATATTTCCTCATCGAGTACTCCTGCTCATCTCTGAGGCTGATTAGGTCAGGAAATTCCTGTTGTTTACATTTCGTTCATTTTGTTCACAACTATCTAAAAATTATCAAAACTATATACAATGCATTTTATGTGCTACTTCTACTTCTACTGTGGTGTCCGACGACGTGGCATGGAGGCACATCTACATCGTCCTGCAGAATAGTTGTAGGTGTACACCATGCAGCATTATTATGCACAACCTGGAGCTGGACCTTCTACAAAGAAGAGCACGATGTATGACCGAATGCAAAAAGTTAATGACTATAAACATATAATTTTGATTTTCTTGCTGAAGATCGACTGTACACGCACTACTAACGTAGGTTTTCAGATATAACTGTTTGTTCTTGGTAAGTTCTTTGTGGTTCTTCAAATAAATTGTTGATCACTGATGTCTTCAGAAATGATCTTTCAGAGATGCATATTAACGATTGCTAATTGAAAACGACTATTTGGTTAGGTTAGGTGTGGGTCCACTAGATAAACCAGCAGACTTCAGTGGCTGCTGAAGAGCCAAAAAGAAAGAAAACAGAGGACTATTTTTGTTCTTGTTGACTACAAAAATGTTGTGAACAAAACCTATACCTAAGTGGTACAACGAAAGACAATCCTTTTCTATCACTGAGCTTGAGTGCTGGTCCTCTTCTATCACTAGCCGAACAAAATTATACTGTCAACAGGTCGATCACCGTCAATTCATACATTGTTGGACTGTCGTGACATCGTTACTCGTTCTTACATATTCAGGCCACGCTTATACTAGTGGGCTGCTCAAGCAGTCTTCTCTTCGAGCCTGCGCAATTACATTCTTCAGGCCATCCCTGACTAAGTTCAAGTTCAAGTTCAGGGTATCCCCGTTTCTCGCCCCAGACCTCGGTCTACGGCAGCACTGACTTCTTTCCTAATGGAGAATAGCCCAAAAATGGTAGTGAAGGATGCAATTCCAATTCGGTAACCCTTAGCACACTCAGGCGAGCAAGTCTCTTCATCTAGTCCTAGTCCACGACCTAGCATCCTGAGCAGGTAGAACATATTATTCCCTACAGTACTAGTATTAATGGTCTAGTAGTTCTAGACCTAGCGGGAACAGGTAGATATTTCATACGACGAGAATGAAAAACGAAGAAACGTGTGACTCACAGTGAGTTACAACGATGAAGTAGACGCGAGTTGTCATCTCGTGAGGTGGAAAAGGTGCAAGCTGTTGGCATATTACTTCTGTCCCCGACCTGCAACTTGAGAATCAGGAACAGGTCTTTCACTGAATAAAGCTGCTAGTGCTTTATTCCTCGCCGTCGACGCTACAACATACCCAGATCACCTAAAAACAGACATGAGAACAGCTATACGATCACACAAAATCCAGCATGTTATTAACGAAGTTAACTTAATATCTGCATGTACCTTTTCTTCGAAATGCATTCATCTTCTTAATAGTACTTACATCATCTTCCTACAATTCCAGACACAAAAATAAAAGCGATGAGCGACGTCACTCCTACAACTTCGAATTATACTGTTTTTGAACCGAGGAATAGCAATGCCTACAACTGCCAATGGATTTTTTACTGACTGTATTAACTGAAACTGAATAAACGTTCTTAATGAGCGCATCTACTCCACCAACTATCGACTACTTAGATTTAGATCTATATTTTCACGAACAACAGAATTCTTGAAAGATAATTACGATTAGTTGTTACCCGCCCGCCGTAGATTTAAGATTTAACAGACGAACAGTCAACTAACGTTTAATGAACATGCTCCGGAAGATATTAACAAAACTATGTATAATTCTGGAAGGTTCTATTTCAGCACAGCACCTGCGAAAGCCGATGTTAGAGCATTAGAAGCAAAACAACAGGGCCATCTCTACTTCGAACAAGATGTTAGTGCTGACAACAAAAGTTGAAGATAAGTAACTATCCTTCTCTTCGTCAGTTTCACCTTAACTAAACTAGATGGAAACACTCTCGTGGTCATGCTGCAAAGCCAAAGAAAGTAAGTGCACACTAACATTAGGGCTAGCGTGTGCGCATCCTTGAGAGCATCCCCGGCTTCTTGTTCAAGTAGAAAAAGGGCCAAGGATAGTGGTAGTGCTGAGGATGCAGCATCAGCTTCAGCGGTAGCCTTAACAAGAAAGCAACTGGAGGCTGCTCCTTGTATTCGCAGATTGTGCGCGTACTGACTTCCACGACATGTAGCTGTTAGCTGTGTTATTCCATCTTCTTCTACCTACGCCAGGTCTTGGTGAGACTCAAACAGATATAGGAGTCCGTCAAGGTAGTGGTCCGAGGACGCACGTATCAGTAACAGTATCATGAGATACCCATATCAAAAAGCTGGAAGCAAGCCGTACTTATGTCACGCCAACCACAAGAAATACTCAGTCACTTCAATCCATTTCTAGTACCATCTTCCATGATGCCTCCGATGCTTGATGTTATCCCATCTTCTTCTTCGGTAGTCATTCCCTACATCTTCTGTAAATCAATATGAATCTCAGCAGGAGAGAGGCTTGCGAAACGTCGTGGGCCCTGTTAAATCAATATCACCAGTCGTGGAGAGGCTCTCTAGCTCTACAAGGATAGTTAGCCGCATTATGATAAGTCAATATCACCAGTGGAGAGGCTCTCTACAAGGATAACCGCATTATAATAAGTCAATATCACCAGTGGAGAGGCTCTCTACAAGGATAGTTAGCCGCATTAAGTCAATATCACCAGCAGAGCTAGACTTACTACACCCGTTGTAAAAACTAAAACTGCTGTTAAATCAATATCACCAGTAGACTTGTAGTTACTGTCCCACTAGGATATATCAGACACTATCAATGTCTCAAAGTTCAAATACAGCCATTAGAAACGACCCAACCACATCTACATTTTCCTCCAATCAATGTTGAAACATCAAGTGCCTGAAGATGTTGATATCCTATGCATACAAGTGAAACTTCCCCAGTCTAACCAGGATTATATAAGTATCACTATACAACTTCTCCATGAAGTCTGCCCCCACTGGTGACCCCATCTACCTCTACCTAGTGCCATTAGACCCAGCCCATCGACATGACCCAACCCATCTGCATTTTCCTCCTTTTTGCCTTACCTTTTCCAGCCCCAACCCATTCTCCTCTTCCACCCACCTAGCTCTCCACTGACCTTCACCTACTTAAGTACCTCTTCCGCTACTCCCCATTTTCTTCACCTAGCTTTTCCACTATTTCCCTTCTTTCCCAATTCCCTCTTGCACTACTCCCAATGCTTTTTTCCACCCAACTCCACCAGCCACTCGCACCCCATTTTCTCCACTTACCACCGGCTCCATGGACCCTATCGCCCTCCTCCTACCACCTCCATGGAGCCTACTATATTTTCGGTCATTAGAAGAGGAGCATCTAACTTCTTGGTTGTACATAGAAAATTCACATTGACTAGATTCTAGATTATATTATCTATCAATGCGTCCTTATAAAATATAGTACATAGCTTTTCATTTTTGAGTTAAATAGGCAAACATTTGCAGCTAAACCTTTTGATTTCTGTGATGCAAAAGTATCTCAGAGCACAACTTGAACTTTTGTAGGACAATTATTGAGAGATGAAATCGTTTCCATTTCACATTGACTACTTAGGAGGTAGCCACTATCATGATGAAAGAGTGGCTACTCCTTCTTGACTTGTTCTAGGAATATGACCATACAAAAGCAAAACTCGCGACTTACTTTTACAACAATGGAGTAGGAGTAGCAGGAGTAGCAGTAGTAGTTGGAGTAGTAGTAGAGTGCTAGCAGTAGGAGTAGGAGTAGGGGCCGTAGTAGTAGTAGTCGTAGTAGTAGTAGCAACATTAGTAGTGGTAGTAAACCCATTCACAAGTTGGAAAAGGGGCAGGGGAGGAGTCTTCAATTTGTTCTGTCGCTGTTAGTTGACATTTTGAGTGCTTTTGCGTTTTGGTGATTTCGAGCATGTCCCTAGCTCTATGCCCACTTTTCCTTTCCCTATCTCTACTTTCATCAGACAAAAATATCAAGCCTTCCACCAAGGACAGGAGAGGATATGCCTCTGAAGAGGATGAGCTTTGAGATCAATATTCATCGACTGACTGATTAATTGACTCATTCACTGATTGATTGACTGACTTACACGATCATCCAGGGCTATAGCTCCTATTTTTTTCAGTGAAACTAAAAGCTCTACTATGGATCTATTCCTTCAAATTAGTAAGATGCTCTTCTGATTGTCAAAGTACAGCCTTAACATCATTCACCGATAGTCTAGATATGTGGCATGACGTTGCGCCTCATGCCAATATCCAGACGCATGCAGTCTGTGATAAACTTCTCCACGTCGTAGTTCAGCGTGTTTCATCATTAGAACACAGACTGAAAAGTTGAACAAGAATGAGCGGGGAAGATGAAGAAGATCATTCTTAAAAAAGTAGCCTGAGAACTAGTCCTCCACCTGACATGATAAAGATAATCCCTCTTATTCTTAACTTGTTGTACTTCGAGATTACTAAACTTTTGGTTTTGTTTTGTTGTTATCGTTGAGAACTGGAGCTCGTACTCGTCTTCTGACCGGGTGAGTAGAATTAAGAAACAAGTCAAAGTTATGTTAGTCGAGTTTCCTCGTCGTTATCAAGTTTTTTCAAATGCCTTAAAATGCTCGCGGCTCAGTTTCCTCTTCTGGTTCTGCTCGCGGCTCAGTTTCCTCGACCCCGTCTACTTTCTTGGGTGTCGACAGCGTGATTCCATCTTCCGGCGACGGCGGATGATTAGACCATAAATAACAAGCGAATCAACATCATGTCATGGAACCTCTCATCTTGCAATAGGAAATCTCACCCAGCAATGTTCTGTCAAAGCAACTCACTGCAAGAACGCTAGCATACTAACTCCGAACGCATACTTACAGAAGAGAGAGAATTATCAAGAGTAAAATCTAAAAAGCTGAAGGGCATACCGAGTGGGGATAGTCTATCTTTTAACTCAGCGTGTTGTTAAACTCAAACTTATCAGCCGGTAAGGATTTTCATGGCGCTCTGCGTCGTGCCTGTTCCTGATTCCGATCAAGACTATCATGACCGCAATATATCTTGACCGTCTATCAATTTCGACTCCTTACACACGACAAGAACCTCATACTAATATCGCAAAATTCTACAAGCATAAGTCTTGTAATATTGCAACTTTTTCCAGGAACAACTACAGAGTTCGAGTACACCATAAGGATATGAAGCGAGCAGTTTTTCTCTACGTCATTCATCTGGGAACAAGTCAACATATACCGTATATAATGGAGCATGAGCTAGATTGTAGGTTGTTTAACTTCACTAACCTCGCAGTTAGAAGCAGTATTCACTACTTTGGTAAGTAGAGCAAGGCCAACTTTAACCAACGGCACAATCATATTGAGCCAAATGAAAAGCTTAATAGACGGATTAGATTTAGTGCTTCATAATCATGATTATCTAAGTATGCTTCCGCATTATAACACATAGACCTTCATAACGACTGCCAAGAGACAATTGCGGGAAAGTCGCAGCTCCGGAAAGAGGTCTTCTTATTAGAACCAGGAGTAACATCGAGAACACGCCTTCACCGCATCGAAAACAGAGGATAAAATATATTATCAAAGCAAATAATAGAGTCAGAAATAAAATTCGAAGCGTCAGAGTGGAGGCCAGACGAGGACCCAGTCATGACAACCATCTGTAACCGTTGAGAAAGCAACTTCTTCGTTCTTTATAGAGAAATGGCATGAAAAGCAGTCATAGTGAAAATTTTCGTAGATGTTAGGACTAAAAAATAAAGAGTAGTCAGGGTGTACTAAACGACCGGACAGAAAGGGCTTGGTGGGTAAAAGAGGTAAAAAACAGCCCTAATCAATCAAATGATAATTATGAGGGACTTCATCTAGACTGCGTTGGTTGTGTCGTAGTCGTACCTACCTGTACAAGAAGTTAAGTTTGATTCTAAAAGGCTAAGCACTCACTATGCTAACAGACGTGACTGCGATGTCTAATCTCGTCACTGAGACTGACAAGAGCCCTATCCCAAAATCTGCATCTATCAGCAGCTTCAAAAAAGTGTTACCAAGAGCTAGAATCAGGCCAGCATCTACGCGTCGCGTGCCTTACAATCAATGAAAAGTAGAGGTCTGTTTTGTGAATGTTCTATTTAAGGAAATACTACGCTTGTACCAAACTTATGAGCATCTGAGGAGAAACTCATCAATGACGAGAAAGGGCAAGAATGTGCCACGACTAGCCATCTTCTTAACTCCAGCGATCGACCTTGCGAAAGGACAGGGCCATCGTCTCCTGGTCGCCGACCTTCGCTACTTCATCGGCCAGCTCCTTGGCCTGCAACCTCAATAACACCAATGTGGGCTCCGCGCGCTTGTCCGCATTCATGTTGGCATCAACGTCGCTCACTAATCGATCGACTTCCGTGGCTTTGTCGACTAATTCGCCGGCGGCCAACCCCAGTGGTTTAGCTGCGTCACCCGGCGCCTCTTTTTCAGCGGCTTCAGCGACATATGCAGCAAACTTCTCAGCCTCCGACATCAGCGCGCCCACGCCAGAGTCAGTCGCCTTTGCGCTTTCGGTCTTCGCCTCTTCGACTTCGGTCTTCGCCTCTTCGACTTCGGTCTTCGCCTCTTCGACTTCGGTCTTCGCCTCTTCGACTTCGGTCTTCGCCTCTTCGACTTCGGTCTTTGCGCTTTCGGCCCCAGCAGCTCCAGCCGCTAAATCAGCAACCACGGCGACCAACTTAGCAGCTTTGCCGGCGAGAGTCTTCAGCGAGAACTCCTTCTCCTTCTCCTCCGCGAGGCGCCAGCGTGCCATTCGATCGTATTTGAGGGTCGAAAGTTTAAGGTGGGGTTCGAAATTAGAAGAAGAAAAGTGTTCGAGTACTATTAAATGGAACGGAGGAAAGGGAAGGAGATGAAAATGATCTGTGAAAAAGTCCCTGCATTTCTATGATTTTCCTCTGCAGGTTCACGATAAATCTGCCTGGTCGCGAAATACAAGTCGTAGATGGAACGCCTCTGAAACGCCAGCCAGAGAGACGGACCACACGCAAAGACGGGCCACACACTTCACCCGCCTCCCAAGCGAGGCTTATGCCCAGGCGCTCTCGCTCGAGGACAAGGCCCGCGGGCGTCAGCCTCCGCGCGACCGGCTGCGGGCCTGACAGGCTTTGGCGTTGGCAATACAATGCCAGAAGACGAAGAAGAGACTCAGATGGACGCCGATAGTCTAAGCCCCCGCTATGGCGCGCGCAAGACTTGCCGACCACGGGACCGCGGCGAAAATGCCCCAAGGGGCTCCGGGCATGGGTGGACCCTAGGGGCAACACGTCCCCAGCGCTGCTTGCTGCGCAGCAACTACCGTGGGAGAGTGTCTTTGGAAAATTTCAACGGCGCAAACAGAGGAAATCACCTGGGCAACACAGCGAGGAAAGCTTTTGGTATACCATGTCTTTCGAAACGAGCTAAGCTCAGCCAAGAGTGTCTTTTGGAGGCCCTGCCTAAGCCTTCGGCCTTTCTGCCTAGGTTTCAAACTTACTCAGGCAGAACAGCCCAAACTTCAAGCAGAAAAGTCCAAAACTTAGGAAGAAAAGCCCAAAGATAGGCAGCAGAAGCCAAAGTTTACGCAGAGAAACGGCTCGAAATTTAGTCCACCGCCACGCCCCGGAGCCACCGGGTGGCTCCGGAGCGCAGAAGTGAGTCGCTAGGCAGTGGCCCGGTGAAATTTTAGGCAACCAACTTCGCTGCTGCGGCACATGGCCAAAGCTGCATAAACAGAGGCAGAACGTGCCTAAATTTAAAGTTTAGGCAGGAAGCCCGAAGGCTTAGGCAGACCGCGAAGGGATCCTTTTGGCGCAGTCTTTGTTCGTTCACGTGTTGCATTTTCAAATTCATCATGTAAAAGAAGAACTACACCCCTAGCCGGCCTCTTTTGGATACCGAAGAGTGTGAAGATATCAAAATGACGCAAATAAGTCACCACTGAAATTGCATCAGGCTAGACCTAGACATAGTATTAGTATACTTTTCCTAGTCAGTATTAACTACGAAAGAAAAAAAAGAATAGCGTGCGGATGACTTTGTGCATAGCTTGCTTTTCTCCGACTTGCTGTTCCGCCGCGTCATAGTCATAGAACGGGTCCATATAAATGTACGGTCGGTCGCTGACACCATCAGGCAGTTTCTCCAGCAGCCGAATGATGCCGGAGGCACTAAGTTCGAGATCGTCTCTCAATATCCTGGCGACTGCGCGGTTTCACTTGTTGAAAATCATCAGATATATGTCTTTATTAAGAGAGATCTTCACAACTCTGCATCAGTATCAGATATATACTTCTAGTGTCCAGGAGAAGGGTTGCCGCCGTTTCAAACAAGGTGAGGAAACGCCGCCCAGGATGGTGAGGTGCTACCCTTAACCGACGCTACCGACGAGAAGTCTACTGAAGTGTCCCTCCAGATCCTCAGCGACGTTAGAGGCGGAGCAAGATTTATGAGTATTTTCGTAAATATCTCCTTTTTTTAAAGATATGCGAAAATACTCGGAAGATGTGCCAAGATTTGTGTACTTAAACTGACGAGAGTGCGGAAAGAGTTATTTGTGAATACTTGCAAGCACTGTGGATGAAGTTGTGAAGGGTTTCGAGCTTAGCATAGCTAAAGTCGTGAGCAAAGCTAAAGCGAATACGCCGCTCGGCTTCTTGTGATTCACAAATCTTCACAGCTCGAGTGAATCGCTGTGGAACGTCAACATTGTATATACTAATTTCCTACAAGAATATACTCCGGGGAGTGGCCGCAGCATCACGGTGCAATTACTTGTCATAGCTTTTACAAATCGAAAAAATTAAGACGCTTCATCACGATGCGGACAATAAACTCTTCCCTTGGTGTTCTACTTCATGAAGCATCGTCCGCTAAAAAAAGTGTTCCAATACTATATATAACAGCGAAGTGTTCAACTTATTCATTCTTTTCACATTATGATCTCCAAAACAAAGTAATAGCTGATAGCTAGTACCGCAATCTGCAGCGAGATAGCTTGCCAACACTGCCGACCATAAGTTCATCTGAGGTGAAAGGCTGAGGCATGGCGAATCCGACAACGGCCGAAGGTTAGAAAGGTCAAGCTCAAAGAGATAAGACGTGCCAACGCTCACAAGGATAAAAAATGGAAAAACAAAAGTGCAACTAGAAGACTTTCCGCCTGAAGTTATCGACTTCATCGCGCCCTCATACTTGTACCTACAACATCATCTATTACGTAAAGAAAACGAAAGTACTACAATATGATAATATATCCAGAACAGGTCAGCCGTTATGCTATGTCTTCCAAGAAGCAATTATATGATGCATAGGCAAACATCGAGGACGGAGGATGCAGGGATATAAAAAAGGACAAGATGAACTGATAAAAGCGGAAACCAAAGTTAGAGGCATAGTCGATGTAAAAGCTCCTTATTCTCCATGAATATTACCCATATGCGAAACTAAGACTAGCGTAGAGAAGTTGCCGGTGTCCACAAAATAAATAGAAATAATCAACTTCACGCACCCAGACAAAATTTTCTTCGAGCGAGCTATAGCGCATTAGCATCACCATCATCATCGTGCAAGTCGTAATACGCGCTCACCCCCATAGCTCACACACACACACCATTCAAGAACCCCGAGGAGACAAGAACAGACACATGCGCCAACAACACCAAGCAAACGACTCGGCAGCTGGCACGGTGTGAACAGTAGTCGAGGGGGCGTGCGGACTCGGTGGCGACACCGCACGGAGTAGGACTGAGACTCGAAGTCTGCAACATTCTACTTAGTCGGCTGGAAGGGTTCAGCAATCCCCGTGGCAGTGTATAGTCGCCACCAGGTCCCTACGCCTAGTGCCTACCTACCCTCTTTCTATTTCTTACGTAATATATATAACTTCTACTGGAATCAATGGGGATTAATATCCATCCTAAGTCATGTTGAAGCAGTGAAAAACATGATACTGGCTTCTATCTGTCATATTGTTGCGCTACGTCGTCTAAATTTAACGTAGCTAAGAAATCGAGAGAAGAATCGTAACAGAAATATTGATCCGGAAGTGCCTTTAACGGGATTCCAAACTTGTAGCGCGTATTTTCCGTGACGATTCGAGGCAAGTCATATTCACTCCACCACTCGTCCAGGGCATAAAGATTCTCCTTGCTTAGAGGTCGTAAACGATGACGTCGATCGGAAGGAAGCCGATCATCTCCACTAGTTCGTTGTGCGCGTGCTGCAGGAGGTTTGCTACTTCTGCTTCCTTGCGCATGGGCATGCATCTAAATAATTTATCTTGCGCATTACTACTTTCATGCACATCGACATCTAGTGCCTAATGTATGTGGTGGAGCCAACCTACCTAGGAAAGATAGAAAAAACCAATGTAAGTACCACAGGGGGCTGAAGGAGGTACTTGTGACCAGCAAGTAGAGGCTCACTCAGTCTGCCAATAGTTGACCTAGTCCTATGGGCCGTCAGGTCCCAGGCCCCGCAGTTTTAAGTGATGGCTAAAGATGTCGTCCACGTCCGAGTGACTTCTGACTAATTATCAAAACCAGAACAGCTACTTTCTACAACAAGGCTCCCCGTGGTGCGTTGTTACCATGAGGTAAAGGAACTACTTACATGACATGTAGTTCCTTTACCTTATCCTGTGTAGTTTCTTATCCTCATTCTCAAAGTTTTCGGCTTGCAACCTTGATAGAGAAAGAGCCTGTTTGTGGAGTGACTCTGTGTAGAAGCTAACCGTGGTAATCCCTTTGCGGGGTAGAGGCAGAACCTGACTAAAACGAAAGCTGAAGAGGCTACTCGGCTAGGCACACCGAGCCCCCCCCTTGCACATCACCGGGCTCGGCTCCGAGGATGATGCGCGAGTGAGGGGTCATCTGGATCCGTGTCAAGTCAAGTAAACAACTAAGTCACGTAGCTCGCTGTGCGCCCCGGAATGTAATATGCATGCACACGCCTCTACTCAGGCACGGGTACGGTTATAAAACTTTTCAACTTCACCTAGTGTTGTAATCTCACCTATTCTGGTAATTACCACTGAGTTACGATGGTCGGACGTAACTTTGCGTTGGTCCACTCTTCGAGATCCTGCTTTCCCTCCGCGTTCTCCTTCAGTGCATTTTCGATATTAGAGGGTGCGACTCCAGCCTCTTCTTGCCTGTTTACGTTTAACATGAGATTGGATCTCATCATAATTGGTGGGAATGAAACAGGCGCGAAGCTCTTCATTTCATCCCACAAATATGACCTTGATGGCCGTGGTCTTTTTTCCTCCGCACTTATTTTGGAGATTGGTTACCTATCGTGATTTCTTGGAAAGAGGTTCTTGCGATTGATTAGTCCCGTCTTTCTTTCTCTTCTAGGGGAAGAAGTGGCCTGCTTCTCCTTTCCCCTCCCCAGCGTTAGAAGCATCAAAAGTAGCTTCACCACAATCTATTACCAACGCCACGTCCCCTCGACGCACGAGTTTCAGAATAATGCGGAAGTGTGACTTAATATTATCTCCCAGGAAAAAAGCCAAGCTAATATACAATAAAAAAATATAATACTAATAAGAATCTACTGAGCAATCAATAACAATAGACGAGACGGCTGCAGCTCCAGCTGAATATCACTCAATATTGTAAGTACTTAAAAGATCTCACACCAATCTTGGGCTTGGAGTGAAATCTTCACGACATGAGCAGGCCAAGGACCATGGCGATCAGGCCAAGACTTGGCTTCCAAAGGGTTCCAGGTCTGGGATGGCATGGACCGAATGGCACGGATGGGGGGGGCGCAATCCGTGACCGCGATCGGCCTCGCGACTCGTCCCATTCGTGGGCCATCCAAATGGACCTTCGAGAGCGGGGCGCCCTTCGGGCGCCCGTTGCTCCCTCCACTAGGTTACCACTTCCTGCGCGACGCTCTATGCCGACCGCCAAGAACCCCGCGGGCGCAGGGCGCCCTTCAGGCGCCAAGCCCTGCACGCAGCCAAACGCGCACCCCTTACACAGTTCCACTAGATACCAAGGAAGGCCGCCTCCCCGCTACGGGCGGGGCGCCATGCTTCGGCGCCACCTCTTCCCGTCTTCGTCGTCACGGCTACCGCAAAGCACGCGGCTACGCCTGTTTTTAAGCTGGACCCCGATGCCGCTCCGGTGGTCTCGCAGCATTTCCTTCCCGGAATTCCGTGGGGGTTACGCAAGTCCGTCCGAATTTGTATGACCCCCACAGAATTCCGGGAAAAAACGAAGCCCACGCGGCGCCTTGCGTCGTGAAGAGAAGTTCTGCACCCCTCAGGAGCGGCTTCCGCTGTTTCCCTAGCCCGCTAGCTTGCCACTTTCAAAACGGTAGAGGAGCCTGCCGGAGACTCGCGCCTCCCTCTCCTCGCTCGCCGCCGGCTTTGTCGACCGATGTGGCCTCTCTCATGCATGGGCAGAACCAGTTACGCACGACCCACGCACTCGATAAGCGGACGAGATCAGGGGCGCCAGCTAGCGGAACCCTGTCAACCTGTGCCTTTCGTGCCATTCGTGACACGTTTGGGGTGTGTTGGGGTGTGCCATTCATGCCATTCGTACCAGTCGCCCCATGCGCCATTCGTGCTATAACTGCTCTTGCGCGTTACAACCCCTCCCGCGCGCCGAATCAAAAGTAAGACGGCCGTGATATTTGGTACTTATTACGATACCAGGCACGGACACTCCTTGTCAAGTCAAGAAGCCGAGACCAAGTGGCACAGCCTTCACCGTATATGCTGAAGTGCTCTCATTGGCTTGAGCGGCACAATATTCTTGACCATTGTATTTCATGGACAGAGTATTATTGACTACTGTTCGACTTGAAGGAACTACAAAGTAACCCATGGCGCAGAGGCAGACCAATTGATTCTCATACATAAGTATGCTACATTTCTCTATATGTTCAAGGGCGCGGGGCGACGGCCCTCCCCCTCGCGGGGGGGGGGCCGAGCGCCCTGGGCCCCTTTTGGAGGCGTCTGCCGGAGGCAGAAGGCCTCAAAAGGCGGCCAAGGGGCTGCCCCCTTCTCGTTTGCGTGTACCCTACAGACTTGAGGGGCCCCCGATAGTGGTGGGAGGCTTCAAAAAGAGCCCGAGGGATCGCCTGCGCCCCATTCCAGGTGCCTGCCTGTGCCCTCAGTGCATCAGTCAGGCTTCGCCGCCGCAACAGTGCACCGGCAACGGAAGGCCCCCGAAGACAGCAAAAGGCGAAAGGCTGGACCTCGGCGGCCTTCTACCCCGGACACCTCCCACCTGCGAGGGTCAGCAAAGGCCAAGAGGCCCCGGAGGAACCAGCTGAGAGGCTCAAGGGGAGACCCGCGCCAAGTTTGGACGCCTTCCCCCACTAGATGCCGCGCGGAAAAGCGCGCGCGCGCGCCACCACAGACCAGACCTCCTTTGAGGGGGGGCGTGCGGGCCGGAGTGGGAGTCATATATCTATAGATATTAAGATGAGCAGGGTCAAGCTCCTGAGTATTCGATAAAATGAAATGAGCAAGCAACTGATGAGCATAGCCGAGATACTGAACAAGGACGGGTAGCTTGCTAAAGCTACCTCCCTATTTCAGTCATTACCTCAGCTATTTCACGTGTTCGAGCAATTTAGTGCTTGTCCTGTTACACTTACACGTGGATTCTGACCCTCCATAACAATGGCTTGGTCCATGGCTTTCAGGTCTTGCAGGCCCCTGAAAGGAGCCCATGCCCATCCCGTCGTTTCCGGTCCCGTCGCAGGAGCTACTTAGAAACTTGATCGACATTGCAGCATGAGGCCTCCCCCTGAGGGCCCTCAGTGGTTCAGACCGATCAGGCGGACGACTGTCGAATGGCCGTCGGTGCTTGATTCCACCGAATATGAGGAGCCCCAGGCGCGGACATGGGGCATGTTAGTTGGCATGAACTCTACTGCCCACTTTCCTAGCCAGCGCTGCTCTGTGTCAAGCGCATGAACATGGCAAGCCGGGCGGCTCACAGACAGTCTCCCCTAGGGAGAGAACATCGGCGCAAAGAACTGGCCCCCCCTCCGCGGCCAGATGCAACACGAGCACATGCCCAATCCTTGGCGCCCCCCTAAGGCAGCACGCCAGTACGCAGCCGGGCCCCTCGTTGGTGTTGGATACACTTACAGTCAGATCCGCGCGCGCAAAACTGCCAAGCCCGGGCCCTCCGCACATGCTGAACCAGCTCCCGCCGCACATCTCCAGCGCCAAGACGGCCCGGCACCAGCCGCTCCTTGCTCCTGCGGGCGCTGAAACAGCAGGAGACAAAGAGGCGCCAGAAAGAGCATCCTGCCACGTGCCGATCACGAACATGAGCGATGGCGCGCGTGTGTGCTATATTTTCACCAAGGAGCGCGGCTCCTGTGTATGCACTTGCATCACTGCGCTCGCTGGAACCTTCATCGCGCAGCAGACCACACGCTAGCGCAGGCGCGGGGCCCTCAGATTGTTGTAAATCTGTAATTTTACTGCACATGAGTGCACAGGGGTTCACCCCTGTAGTAAAAGTATATACGCCCTCCCCAGGCCTAGGGCGGGGGGCCCCCCTAAGGTGGGCCGAACGCCGTAAAGCTGTCCAAATTAGTCCCACCGCACACGCCCCCAAAAAAAGGGCGGCCTCCTTGCTCTTCTTTGATGCGTGACGCGTGACGCGTCACAGATCGACCAAGGCAACGGGCCACAGATCGGCCAACGGCCCACGGATCGGCCAATGGTCCACGGATCGGCCAAAGGTCCCCGGATCGATCAGCCAAAAAACCCCCACGGATCATCGACCCACCGAAGGCCCATGAATCGAGCAAGGGGCCACGGATCGACCAAGGGCCCGCGGATCGACCAAAGATCCCCGGACCGATCAAGGATCCACGGACCGGCCAAGGATCCACGGACCTATCAAGGACCCACGGATCGATCAAGGGCCCAGGGATCGACCAAGGGCCCGCGGATCGATCAAAGAGCCACGGACCACCCAAGGACCCACGGATTGGCCAACGTCAAGGACCCACGAATGCGAACCGGCCAAGGGTCCCCGGATCGACCAAGGGCCCGCGGATCGATCAAGGAGCCACGGATCGATCAAGGGCCCACGCATCGATCAACGGCCCCCGAATCGATCAAAGAACCACGGAACGACCAAAGATCCGCGGAGCGGCCTAGGATCCACGGATTGACGTACACCTAGGGCCCACGGATTAGCCGAGGACCTACGGACCGACGAAGGACGCACGGATCGACCAAGGGCCCACGGATCGGCCAAGGGTCCACGGATCGACCAAGGGCCCAAGGATCGACCAAGGAGCCCCGGATCGATCAAGGGCCCCCACCCAGATCGATCAAGGGCCCCCGGATCGGCCAAGGGTCCACGAATCGACCAAGCGCCCCCGGATCGGCCAAGGGTCCACGGATCGACCAAGGGCCCCCGGATCGGCCAAGGGCCCCCGGATCGATCAAGGGCCCCCAGGTCGATCAAGGGCCCACGGATCGACCAACGGCCCACGGGTCGACCAATGGCCCGGCGCGGATCGATCGCGGACCCGTGGACGACGCGCCGCCGCGTGACACGTGAGGCGCGTGCTAGCCTTTTCCGCAAGTTGCTGCGTGCTGCGTGGCGCTTGAAATTGAACGCAGACAACGCACCCACCCCCGAAGCTCTGGGCGTGGCGCGGTGGGTGTCATGCGTCACGTGAAAGTTCTGCTACGGCGTTCCGTAAGTCCCACGGGAGCCTCCCACCTCCCTGGTACATACATAGGCTTTGACTTTCGTCAAGCATTTGCATGTCTTCCTCGTAGAGCAAATGCACCGGAGACGTAGTAGTCAGCTTTATCTACTTTAGCGGCAGCCTCTGTATCAGATAGCCGTAAGTGTAAATCTTCTTCCAAGGCCGCACAACAAGGCCTTGCGTCTCCTTCTCGACCTTGACGCGGCTTATCTTGCCACTCTCGCCTCTCACGTCTGTCATATCATACGGATCGCGCCGTTCTAGTTAGAACCACGCCCAGCAGCCACCCACTCCCACTTAGGACAATTCGTATTTGGGGAGCCCAGTAATCTTCATCTTTTCAGTCCGTAAAGCTAAAGTATGCACGGTAGCAAAGCTCCCTTCTGTGAATTCAAAAAAGGTTAACATATTCAAGTAATTCAGAATCGAATATACAAGGAAGGAAAACCTCGACCTACCTCCAGATGGTCATGCCTATAATATTCAGTACCTTCTTAGAAACAGATACAGCCTAACTTAAGGGCAGGGCTATGCCCTCACCCTCTAGATATCTTCTGGGTTGGTAAATAAATGCATCAATTCCTTCGTGTTGATGTTTGGCTCTATGCTTCCTCGAGTAGTGTCTAGACTTGTCAACTGTAGAGCTGTCCCTGTTTGACGAAGGTATCAAGTTGATGTATGATGCACATGTAAATGTATAGTACGCTAAAATAGGGCGAGCAGCTCGTCTACGAGCTGTAAAGTTTTCCTCCTTCCTGCTTCTTCGTCACATAGTACACCGTGTCAGAAAACGGATACTCTTTCTCTTCAAAGCATATGGCTTAGCGACCTCATGACTTCTCCTTTTCCCATACTTAGGTACTTAGATGGAGGGGAGAAACATACTAGTCGATCCACCACTCAGATGGAGGGCCATGTAGTCCCTGATAGTTTTGTAGTTTTGACATATTCCATTTCCAACAAGGAAGCAAGCTTGCCAATAAAACGAGGTGACGCCCTAATCTGCAGCCGGAAGCTGTGCGAGGGCTCCATTATCCACACGAAAAGCAAACCGCAGGTGCAGGCCCTTTAACATTAGAGCGAAATAGAAGAACGCATCTGTCTCCATGTTTTTGATGATCTGCTGCAACCTTGACATGTCACGAATCGACTTGCCTCTGAACTAGTAAGTACAAATCCAGAGCAGACAAGGCCAGTAAACACATGCGCACGCTTATCGCTATTTAAGTCCAAGAAAGTACTTACTTGTCTCGGGGTACAACGAAGGCTCGCCAGTGCTGTCAAATAACTCAAAGAGGCGCTCTGTTGAGCCTTATCAAGAGAGCGCTGCGAAGTATGTGCCACCTGAGCGCAATTTCTTCGAGCTGGTTCGATCCGACCTTCGTTGCGGTAGCTACTGGCTCTCCTCCTGCTTCGTTTTGTTCTTCCCCGCTCGGTCCTCCAGTTGTCTCGACACCCATCTCAGTGAACGCAGTGGTCGACGCAGTGTCCACCACCCGAGTGCGCGTGGGAGTGGCCGCCGGCTCATCCGCGGCCCTCGTGAACGCAGTGGTCGACACGTGGCCGACCTCACTGAACGCGGTCGTGACCAACTGTTGGGTGCTATCGTCCAGAATATCGCCAGCTTTGCGCAAGAGCTGTCTCTTCGGAGGAGATTTTTCTGCATCTTTGGACATGTTCGCTCCATCTTCGGAAATATGCTTCTCCTCTTCTTGTCGTTTAGGCGTACCCGGAGAGACATCCAGGAAGGAGTTCGCGGCCTCCACCACATTGTCGTGGTCGTCGAGTTCATTATCATTAGATGGAAATTGAAATCGTGCACCATCTGCGTGTGGAGAGTGATGGCACTTCCCGTCTAATGCCTGGTCACCCTCACTTGTTGGAAGACGAAGACTCTTACATAAATCCACTTTCTTAGCCAAGCATTGCTTTCAAATAGATAATATCTGACATTCTTTCTCTGTTTTTCAGAAAGTCATTAATTATACGTCTCCAACTCCTGCACGAGTCATTGTGAGTAAGGGATTACTATCACTGCCGTAGCGGTGTCTGTTTCTCCGGACTCAACATCAACAGCATCTTCTTCGAGGAAGGACGCAGGCGGGGGCTTGGGTGAAATGTTCATATGAGGAACGACCCCGTCGACAGTCTTTTCTGATTCGCGACTCCCATATGGCCCACGTGCAGCGTTCTTTTTCGAATATGCAGTGCGGCCTGTGATTCCCGTCTGCATTTCAAATTAGCGGTTGGCGTTAGCTTGATTTCGATGACCTGCTACGCCATGAATCCCTTAGGAAATCAAAATCCACATGACTACTCCTTCCAAGAAAATAAGTAGTCTTGTCCACTGATTCGGTGTCTCCTGAGCAGAGGTGTTCAGACTCAATGACATCTAGTACGCAGGGAAATTCATTTCGTTTCTTCTCAGGGAAACTGAAACCCTCCGAATCAAAACACGTGAGTACCCGAGGGCATTTCAGTCTGCTAGTAGCTAGTAGTTATAAATAGTCAGCAGAGGGATGGTTCCTCGTCTAGATGTGAGACATCACAAATACAAGTAGGCTATTTACTTCACTAGAAGGGCCAGCATCGTCATCATCAACATCGTCGAGTTGTTACTCTTGACGAATATGATTAGTGCTAGTAGAGCAGGTTTTTACGCTTACACACTAAAGGATGGTGGTGCTAAAATGATTGTGATACGAATGACCTAAATGACCAATGGAGCCACTGAGTTGTATGGAGAGTAGTGGACTGACCCCCCCCGTCATGCCTCGAGACGATACAAACAACAAGAAAAGGCTGGAAACTAACACGTTCGTTGGGTAGATACGCGTTAGCGCGGCCTTAACCGAAGTCTACCTTCCTGAACCCACTTTCGCCACGTGCCAAGCGCGCAAGGTGTGTCGGACCAAATTTTGAGCGCTGTCCTTCCCAAAGATTTGCTCGCGCAACCGGAGACATCTTCGTGAGCTGCCGTCTGTCTAGGTCCTGTTGGATGCCCTTCCGTACGCTTCTGCGGCCTCCCTCTTTTTGCATACGATACATCCACCGATCGTCCCCCTCCAGCATGTTCGTCGCCAGCTTCGAAATAGCCTGGTCACAATAGTACCGCAGGCATGCGAAAAAATGCCTGTGATCCCGATTTGTCACCCACGACTCCGTGCTGGTGCCCTTGATCTGTGCAGAATCGTAGAAAAGGAAGGTGACATGCGCACCCACTGGATGCAGCCTCTCGCTCTGTTGCCCACGTCCCCAGCCTTTTTCGCCGCTGTAGTACTTCCTTTCTTGAACTTTTGTAAACACCTCGCACACGGACTGTGCTACAGCTCGCTGTTGATTGTCGAAGCCGGTTGGAGTTGGCGTCACTTTAGAACAAGAAAGTGCGACTAGTCTAAAGCTGGGTAAGTACTCAGGTAGATCTAGTAGGGTGTCGCGCTCTAGTTGATCGCTCAGCTCTAGACGGAGGTGGCAGCTTCACTGCGAATGAAAATATGCCGTCTTAAAAAAGATGCGAATGAAGATCCCCCAGATCATCCGCGTAGTGATCCAGAAGTGAAAAATAATTATAACAGCACAGCATTCATAACTGCCTCTGCGCTTCCTTTTTGACCTGCACCTGGTGGAAGAGGCAAACACATCGGGTACTTTGGCTTTGGCACTCCTTCCTCGCTGGTTGGTATCAGAATCGGTTAGATATGGGTCCTGAACATTGTGCTCGCGACGACAGAGCAAACTCCTGGCACCGGCTAACCCAGTCAGCCAAACTCCTAGCTACTTTCATTCTATATCGAAGTTGTCACATAGGCGCCCGCACTCATTTTGTGCGAGACACCGAAGGCGAAGCGCGCCACTTATGAAGTGGAAGCGGTCGCGGCTGGTTTTCCCTAAAAACCCCACTCGGCCGCCCTGGGACGATTTTGGCGCAAAAATCGCGGCCACGAGCCAACCCCAACGGCCGAAGCTAGCGAGCCTAGCCACACCAGACGCCTGGCCGAGCAACGTCAGCCGAACAAACGGTCTGGTCGACTTGTGCTTAAGCCGTGCACAGCAACACAGCTTGGAAAAGGTGGAAAGACGGCGCCCACCGGTCGGTCCAGGCTGGATGCATGGACATCGCCGAAGTCAAGAGAGGGGGGCCGGGCCTTTGGAGATCTCTTCAAAACCTGGGCAGCAAGTATGGGGCACGGAAGCGGGCCCGCAGATCCCCTCTGAAGGCAGAGGCCCTCCAAAAGATAAAGTCAAGCAGCACCCTTGGGTCCCCATCCTGTGGCGAAGTCTGGGAGACCTGGCTGAGCAGTCTAGCCCTTCACCATCGAGCACGCAGCACAGACCCCCCAAAGACCTCGGAGCCTCTTGTTTCAAGCCGCACCGCTTTGGCAACTCTGGCGCGCCACCACATACTACAGAAGGGCGAAGACCTGAGGCTTCAGAATGCTGGCACTGTCAGCGCTTCCGCTTTGAGTATTGCGAGCCAGCTATAAAAGCGAAGATGGAGCCAGCTCTTTTATTCAGTGGCTGCATATTATTATCAAGCTCATACCCCTATGCGTAGCGTTTGAAAGAGATCACGGCCCACCTCATGCTCATTCCCTGCGCCCTATTTTGTGCAAACTGTCCCAGAGCTGTGTAGATCTGTGCAAGCAAAAAACTGCGCAAGGGTCCCCGAAAACTGCACGCGCGCCCCCTGGCGATGTTCTCTTGCCAATCTCCAGGGGGTGCGCAGGTGCCTAAAGCGGCGACGCCATTGGCTGCTCCAAAGGGCTGCGCAATTAGCTCAAGAAACTGGGCGCATGCTTATCTACTAGAACGAGGGCGGCCACCATGCTTCTACGAAAGGCCCCTCAAAATTCTGAAGAAGCTCGCGAAGCAATCGGAGGGCGGAACAAGTTACCCGCAACAGGTCACCACGACAGCAAGCTGCCTCGTGTTGTGCGCGAAGAACTGCGAGAGGGGGACTTCGCTTCATTCCGAAAGCATATAAGCACACCCACAGAGCATGGGCAATTCTCCGAGGCCAATGCGCAGCTCTTCGACGCACGGAAAGATCAAGGCACAGAAAGGCACCCCAAAAGCCCAGGCTGTCTCTCGTTGTCCTTGTCTCGGGCAGTCCTCCAGTACTATCAGATGCAGCCGAGGGCCTTGCCCATCGTAACTAGCGGCTCCGCTTGATTGTTAGTATATCTTTTTACGACTCCCGTCCGGTAATTGCCTTGACTGTAATAAAAAAAAGAGGATATAGCCAGTCTGCGGCCCATTTAGTCACCGGGTACTAATTTCATTGAGGGGGCATAATGTCTGACTGGCAATCGCACCAAAATGACGGAAGTTACACGGCCCGAAGGGTTCAGCGCTTGCTTTAGAGGTCGCGCCGAGTTTGTGTATGTGTCTCAGAGCTGTCGCCATAGCAAATTACCATCTTCAAACATTATTGTCGTGCCTACCGTGGCAGAAGGGTTAGGTCTCATACATCTAAAAAACAGCGTGATCCCAATCCCCATACTAACGAAGGATATTCAGCGCCCTAGCAACACCTCTCGTGTACTTATACATCCTCTCCATGAATCATGTAGGAACCTATGCCAGAGTCCATGACCTATTATCGAGTAGACTTCGCTGCAGCGGTTTAACTACTAATTAATCATGCTCCACCTGCGGTCAGTAAATTAAGCATGCTTCTTGGCAGGCCTTGCTCATTTCTAGATGTAAAGTCCCAATCAATGAATGTCATCATGCTCATTTCGGACTTTGTTTTGGTCCTAGTCGTTCATCGCTGCGTCTCTTCTAACAATCATATGTAACTGGCAGCGAGGCGATATACCCGCCCTGGCCCCAATTTTATTCCCTCCTTCTTGTTATATAATCATAAGTATTTTATGTATAATACTATTGATATGCAAGCTACTGCTCCTCAGCAGGTACATGACGGAGCTGCATCAAGTTACAGTCTAAGGAACGAAAAAAGTCAGGCTCACGGTGCCGTAACTTCTGGTATGCTGACGCTATGGATACAGTTGGCGGCGCGGAGCCGCCTGCAGACTGCGAACTTGCGGGTAAGTCGCACTGGTGTGGTCCTGTATCAAACCAAGGGGTAATGCTTTCTGGGTTTCTCACCCGATGAAGAGCAACAACATCTTGACTTTCATCATCGTGTCTACAATAGTGGCCTACTGGCCTAAAGTGACTACTAGAGTTCGTTTGTAGATAGGACACAGAATCCCAACGCCGTACGAGTGCGCATACGATGTCAGCCCATTGCCACGGTGTTGGGATTCATTGAACGACCCGAAAAACTAACTTCCATAACGACCTGTCGCGTGACCACTCACAGGACTTTTATATAGTACTTACACAGCTTGACCGACGCATGATTACTTACATGACTTTTTTAGTATACTTACATAGCTTGACGCGTGACCACTACTTACATGACGAATTAGAGTACTTGCATAAGCGCAATTCTTTTGAGTGGTGCTAGTGACATAATTCTTTTGGGTAGTTAGTAAGCAGCTCATTGGCGCAGTGGCAGAGCTTTTTGGAGTAGTGGCGTGGGCCTTTTGGGTAACTTCGTGCCCCATTCACCTAGCTACGCAACTTTTTTGAATCATAACCGCACAAATATGCGCGACCTTTTGGGCCTAGTATGGACTAGCCTGCTTCCGAAAGGATAGCAAAAAGGGCCTCGGGTAGTCGCAACTTATTTCCACCTAAAACCGATTGACGAAAGGGAGAAAAAAACTGCAGGGGCGTGAGGATCATCCTCGACGACATTATAACAAGTACCTGCGCGATCCTTTCCTCCCCGCTCAGTCGCGCCTGCCACAACTTCACGCACCATGGCAACCGAAGTTAAACCCGTGCAAGCGCCATTTCTCCAAACTGTATTCCGCTCTCCACAGAGACAAAGGGACTCGTCGTTCGGAATTGCCTTATCATTGCCTTTGTATTAGAGCAAAAGGATATGGTCGTGGGTCCTCATCCATTGTTCTTCTGTGCGTGCGTCTGTCATGATTCATTCTTTCATCCTAAAAACTAGCCACGAAACATACTTGCGGGAGCTTAGTGAAGTGCATGTTGAGTATTTCTATTTGTTGTAGGGCACTCTAATGGTAATGACGAATAAAACAAATATAACGAATTGAACAACCGAACAGTCAGAGGTCATTGCGTATCAGTCTATTCAAATAGTAGAATCATTCAGCATAGGTGTTGTTGTGAAACTACTTATGATGCCGATTTCTATGTATATCCACCCATGATGCTCATTCTCGCCATCTTGGGCTCACACAAGAACGCGATCCTTCTCGCATCCATCATCGTTTCTATGTATTATAATCAGAACAGTTTATAAGGCTGCCGGGGGCCGGTTGGCATGGCACGAATGGAACGGTTGGAACGAATGGCAGGCATCCAATCCGGGGCTTCAATGCGCTCCGCCATTCGTGCCATTCGTGGACCTTTCAGACCTTCGAGAGCGGGGCGCCCTTCGGGCGCCCTGCGTTTTTAAGCGGTACCTTCCCCGCGGCGTTATCGCTCGCTCCGAATGCTGCGCACATACTTTGGGAATCCCACTCGGGCGCCCTGCGACCAATCTGCCACACCCTCCACGGCGTTGCGTTTCACACGGCCCACCTCCGTCGCCGCTCTCCCACGGCGGCGGCGCGGTGGATCAGCTGAGCACCCTAGGGCGGAGGCCGCGTGCTAAATCACCCGCCTCGTCGCAGCATTCCTCTCGTGGAATTCCGCGGGGGTCATGCAAGTCCGCGAGAATTTGCGTGGCCCGCGCGGTAGTTCCAAGAAAGAAGCCAGCCCTCCGACGGTCAGCCGCACTAGGGTAGGGCCCGCACTCTTTAGAGAGCAGCTAAGTCGGCTTTGTTTGGCTAGCTCCCTTACCATCTTGAAAATGGCAGGGGAGCTTTCCGTAGAATTGCAGCCCTTCGAATCCCCATCCCTGTCCGCTTGTGCCAACGCCAACCGCGCCATTCGTGGCACTTTCTGGCTTCGTTGGGTTGTTCCAACCGTGTCATTCGTGCCAACCGTGCCAACCGCCATTCGTGTTATAAACTGTTCTGTATATATATTCTGACATATATCGAAGAAGAGGCACGCCATTGATTAACAGTGCGCATATGAGTCAACGTCTCTTCATGATAGCCATAGATCAGGGACTTCTCAGACAAGAAATTTTTATCCCGTGCTGTGAGCAGACTCTGCTTGCATTTACTTGGCCGCCAAGGTTCAAAGCTCCCCCAAACCCTAACTCCGTTGCAATGGTTAGACTAGGACGATTTCTCACAATCCACACGCGCTCGACCTCAGTAATCCTGTGGCTGGCCCAGTTAATATTCAGCCGCCCAGCCAATGCCATTTCTGTTGTGTATCCGAACTCGTGTGGTCTTGTTTCAACTGTAAACTTGCGCACTCCCTCAATTATCAGCCAGGCGCTTTTTACGACACACAAGTGCTTACCCTATGGCTGTGTCTCTTTCGATGATGATCCCCCCAGTACGCTACGGAGGAAAGCTAATGCCATAGACGCAGCTTCCACCGCGGTCCCCCACCACTGATAACGATAAGTCGAATGAAATCACTCAACCCTGAAGAAGCCGCTTTGTCTATGTCTTATGATGAAGAACATAGATAATATCTAAGTTGTATATATGTGCCAGGGCGCGCGGCGGCGACCCCCTCTAGCGGGGGGGGGCGGGCGCCCTGGCCCCCTTTTTAAGGCGTCAGCCGGGGGCAGAAGGCCGCAAAAGGGAGCCCCGTGGCTTCCCCCGTCCGCTCCCTTCCAGCTGCCTGGCTGGCAAGGCCTCCGATGATGGTGGGAGGCTTCCAAAGGGGCCCAAGGGACCGCCTGCGCCGCCGTCCAGGTGCCTGCCTGTGTCCTCAGTGCATCCGTGAAGCTTCACCGCCGCAGCACCAGCGCGCCGGCAGCGGAAGGCCTCCGAAGGCGGCAAAAGGCGAGGGGCTGGACCCCCTGAGCCGTGTCGCCTGTACCCTCCGGGCCCTTGGTCATCAGATTGCTTGCTCTTGCGACCGTGGCCGCCTTCGGCGGCCTTTTACCCCGGAGGCCGCCTCCCGCCTGCGAGGGTCAGCAGAGGCCAGGAGGTCCCTCAAGAACACGCGGAGAGGCCCAAGGGGAGGCCTGCGCCAAGTTTTGACGCCTTCCGCGAAAAACCCGCGCGGAAAAGCGCGCGCGCGCCACCACAGACCAGACCACAGGGGGAGGGGAAGGGGGAGGCGTCCAACCCTGCGTCATATATGCTCCAAAGCTTGAAGCTACGGCACCCCCCCCCGTAGCCGGGGATGGAAGGCCGCAAAAGGGGGCCAAGTGGCCGCCCCCGCTCCCTTCCAGGTGCTTGGCTTTCCCCCCGAGGCCTCCGACGTAGGTGGGAGCAAGGCCTCGAGAGGGGCCCAAGGGGCCGCCCTCGCTCCCTTCCAGGTGCTTGGCTTTCCCCTAGAGGGCCGCCGACGTAGGTGGAAGGCCTCAAGAGGGGCCCAAGGGGCCGCCTCCGCTTCCTTCCAAGTGCTTGGCTTTCCCCTAGAGGCCTCCGACGTAGGTGGAAGGCCTCCAAAGGGGCCCAACCATGGGACCGCTTGCGCCCCCCTTCCAGGTGCGTGCCTGTGCCCTAAGTGCCTCCGATATGCTTCGCCGCCGCAGCAAGGCGCCGGCACTAGAGGGCCGCCGAAGGCGGCAAAAAGCGAGGCGCTGGACCCCCTGACCCGTGCAGCCTGTACCCTCCGGGCCCTTGGTCATCGGCTTGCTAGCTCCTGCGACCGTGGCCGCCTTCGGCGGCCTCTTACCCCGGCGGCCTCCTGCCTGCGAGGGTCAGCAGAGGCCAGGAGGTCCCTGCGGAACACGCCGAGAGGCGCAAGGGACCGCCTGCGCCAAGCTCTGACGCCTTTCACCACTAGAATCCGCGAAAACCAGCGCGGAAAAGCGCGGGCGCGCCACCACAGACCAGACCACAGGAGGGGGGGGGCACCGTCCAGCCCTAAAAAATATATGAGTGAATCGGCAGCCACGACAGCTCCCTCATTGTCCCGGAAGGCTATGACCCTCTACTTTTGTTTTCGCTTGATGAAGTAACTCTTGTTCTACAAGCTGACCAGCCTCAACAATTAGCAGGACCATACCTACGTGCCTCAGAAGTTAAAATCTGGATAGACAAATAAAATCATTGCGCGTAAGATTGTGCGTGATGGATACTTCAAAAGGAATCTTCGACGCATCGACCAACCCCTTCCCAAACGTCTCTTTCGCCCTCCGCCACTGGTTTTGTGAATCTTAGAAGTGAAAAAGTTAAGATATTCGTGACGAATTTCTCACACGATATTTTATAACCCTTGCTCTTCTAGATTCTGTTGGTAAGCTATTTCCAGCAAGAAATCATATTCATAGGTCTCACAACGTCGGCAGCATCGCCTGGCTAGGGTCTCCACCCTATGATGGAAAGTCGAAAGATTACAATATTACACCAATGACGCCGGCAGCCAGGAAATAAACATCAGGCTCATGACATTTAAGAGCGTTGCCCACATTGCATTTATTTACTAGCATGAATGATGAAAAAGATTATCAAACGAACCAGAATCGTCAGCAATTGATTCTACTAGATGGACCGCGCCATACCGAACCCCTGTAACGAAGGCCTGACGCACCACCTCAGGCTGTGCAGAATCAAAGCCGTTTGCGTCACGCTTGACGTCTTTTGCGATCTGAGTTGGGTCAAAATCACTTGCCGGGGACGGATGATATTAGCGACACCAAGAAAGCAGGTAAGTGGCTAAGCGGGTACATAATTGAGCAAATCATCCAGTGAGTAAGCAGCTCGCACTCTATGCTTGCCCCAAGATGTGTCAGAATACGCGAGGCGGTGAGCAAGTGCAACAACTACTGGAGCCAATACCGCTAGGCACAAATACTCTGTAAAGTCACTGGGTACGCTTCGAACTCGAAATTGCAGTAAATTTAGCTAATCGGTGGGGGTGGCGCACGTCTTACTCCTGAGCACTAGGCGATGGCGAACTTGGGCAAATTATAGAAGGGGTCTAAGGATACTTGGAAGAAGTATGACAGTGTGCTCTTTACTAAGGACAAGGAGCGAGAAGTTCTTGAATATCAATATCTACTTCATCATCATCGAAGTGCAACAGCTTAGGCAGAACGCTCCCTTCTTGATACTACGAGCGATGAGGGATGACGTCTCGGGATAGGCTTTCCAGCACAACACACAGAGGCCATAGCCAACAAGAGTTTTAGCTGCTCGCGGTATTTTATCCACAAGATTCTTTCCGTGACGAAGCACCAAACTCGACTGCCATGTACTCTCTTTCCACTCGAAATTTCGCATCCCGAGCTTCAGTACTACCAAAAACGCATCGTGCCGCTTTTCCTATGAATGGAGCATCTAGATTGATTAGTTTTCAAGCCTTTTCCCTACCAAGACCCTGGCGAGCAGGTTGTACTGTACGGCGCAAGTCTCATATTAACCAAGAATATTCGTGATTTCGCATAGCTGTTTCAGAACTATTATACGAGCGGTAGTGAGCCGCTGTAAAAACTACTGCCATCTATAATTGAGCTTGCTACGACTCTTTGATATTCATACTTGATCATAACTAAAGTTGGGTTAGTCGACTAAGGCTTCTAGTAATACATACTTGACAGCTTTAGAAAAAAAGTGGAACGAATCTACTCGGGTCCGCGATTTCCCTAGGATTTCCCTAGGATTTCCCCAGGAGCTGCTTCCCCGGAGTGGTCAATTTAACTCATAATCAACTTGGTTTAGTTATTGAGAAACAGGAGTAGAAACTTAAACAAAGGTAAGTATTTAGGTGTTCCATTTCAAGCGAAAACAAGTGGTGTGTTTTGTGAAGAAATGGAGAATATGAGGGAGAGGGACAAGAGTTGTAGACTTTTCAAATATGAAAACGGATAAGCAAATGGATCGAGAGTTTCCATGAACTGAGAAAAATGCTACCGAGAGACCGAGAAACATGCTGACACAGCCAGAGAATGCCAACGCGTAGAAAAAGAGATCACGAAGGAAGAAGGAACTCAAAGAGCCGTGAAGATCTTTAGGTCGTTTGGATCTCCTTACTCGTTTTTCAGCACTACTTCTACTAGTCTTTGGATAAAGTTCTTATAATTTCACTGAGCATTATCGTAAGTTCTTGGATCGTCAAGAAAGAACACGCGAGCTATCGCAACCTACACCGCATCGCTGACCCGATCGAGTGAGCAATTTCTGCAGTGCAGAACGATGTCGCACCCTCCTCAGAATACGCGCAGAGGCATACACGGCTGGAATTTTACGGGTTGACTTTTTCATTACAGAAGTGAGGCAAGAAGAATACTATAGGGGATGAGGGGCACAGAGGAAAGATTCTGGATGTCTGTGTGTCATATAGGTGAGCAGTTTTTTCGTTCGTTTCAAGTCGATCAACGACGCAAGAAAGATCTTCAACGCGAAAAATCAACGCACAAGTTGTTCTACAATTATGCTTCTCTTCCTCCATATATTCAAAATAAAAATAGCACATAATCGCGGCCATGGAGATCCTCACGATTCACCAGTGTATGGTGTTAGTATTACCAGCGGATTGCCCTGCAGAACGGCACTAGCCCCACCCCATACCCAATGATGAACGTTGCTGCTTCCCGACCACGACCAGCACCAGACCACAGAGAATCACAAGCCTCGCAATCAATCAATTATCAAACTAAATGCTTGGTTTGTGTTCGACACCACGCAGCTGTCTGAGTGCCCAGATTGAGACTGGACGAAACAAAATCTTGCATCACTGCGGACGCAAGATGATTTCAGTGCAAAGCTCTGCAGCAATATGCGAATTCAAGAACTGAATCGCATTGCTTCTTGTTAATAGGATTTTAATACTGGGCGAGGTCCCTCATACATTTATTTATTGAATTACATCAAACCCGCACTCATTACGTCGCGCGAGGAAAGTTCTAAATTAAGCGAATAGATTTCGGCTTGTCGTGAAATGCGCGCGAGCGACTTACATCGACTAAAAGAATGGTCTCACTTCTGATAATCATTTTTTGTGTGGGTTTACTTCATAGCTGAACTGCTTAATACGTCGACACTAACGAGGTTCACGATGAGCAAGTTCCTCGCTTCTAGTATTTCTATATTCAAAACGAATTATAATAGTTGAGTAAATTGGTCGACCATATTGTTCATTAGTTGAGCCTATTTTTCCACTACAGTCAACAAGTACCACCAGGACTCGACACATCAGGCAGGCGCGCCGGGCGCCCTCGTGACACAGACAAGTAGGCTACAGGCGCAGCTCATCATAGTGAACATCTCTAATTATTTTCACAGCTAATAGCTTTTTTGATCCTGGCAATGAAGTTGGAGCTATAGCCCTTCACGGCAGGGCACCCATCGAGCTGATTGCTGCGCTGCGACGTGAAGAGGCTGGAGATGCGAGTGGATCGCTTAAGAACATCATTCTACAAATCAAAGTAAGAACTGAGTGGATGTGGATCTCCATGCTTCACTTTCCAAACGATTTAATTATCATTTCAAGAACTTGATCATAAAATTACAACAAGAAGCTACTGCCATCGCTGTTGACGAAAAAAGAAAGCACCCACCTGCATTTCCTCAAACTCTCACGATTTTATTCCATTAAACGTTTCGAATGATCTGTAGTGGGGTTTCGTTCGTGAACCTTATAGAAACTACTCGTACCTAATTCATCAACAAGAACCGAGATGTTTTATGTTCTACACACTTCGACCGGGTCATATACATGTGAGGGAAAAGGTCAAAAAAATAAAGGAGCAGACTGCTGCAAGACTTGCCTAATATGTGTAGGTGGATACAAAAGAAGGACGACGGGACCTAGATCATGGACTACGTTTCCAACAGTTTACAGTGGCAGACTGTGCAACCTCAAAAACTGCTATCCAGATACTTGCGAGAGCTGTATGCTTCTCTTCCTCGCCACAGAAAAAAGACACACACAACGCCTGCCTTTCAAGCCTTGCACTTGTAGAAAGCTTCAGCATGCACTAGAAAAGAAGTTCTAAGATGGAGGTAGAAGGTGGCACCTGCTCTACATTCGAAGTCGCTCTCAGTCTTGGCAACTCTCTCGACAGCTATGGCCTCTCTCGTTGGGCGCAACGACTCAGACCAGCCCCGAAAGAATCGACGCACGCCTGTATTACTGTGAGCATCGTCCTGTTTCGTCCCGGACGATGGTTGTACATTACAAGTAAAACGCAGCACAAATGAATGAGGTCCGGTCCGTGCTTTTCTCCTAGCTAGATGCGTATCACAGTGCATCACGCTCTTCTCGTTTTCATTTACAACATCTTACAGGTTTTTCGTGCGAGAATTACCTTCCCCCGATTCGCCTCGTTTACTGCTGCCAGGAAGGCATGTCAGCAGAAACCCCTTACACAGAGGAATAGTATAGCGGCGCACAATCATCGTCATCCCCGATATTGAAACTATGTATCTCCTCATCAATAGAGTCGGCTGTAGGTGGTCTTTCCATCTCCAATCACCCCCAAGCTGAGATCTGCGACGATTGATTTCAGATCGAGTAGTTGTAGAGCTATGTTGGACCAAAGTCGATCAATGAAATTGAAATTAGTACTGTGTGCCGCATCATTCATACCTTCAACATCTTTTTAATATCAACATTATTGGAAACAATATAATATATTGAAATAAATCACTACCATGATGATAAAAATATCAAGAACTATCTTTTTCAAGAACATATGAAGAACTTTCTTTAGATCCTTTCAGTTTCAAAACAGTTGGAAGCTGATAACTTTCCTGCCTATAATGGACTTCAACTAGATAAACAGGCTGTAAGAACGTACCTCAGTCCTAATATAGAATGAGCCAGCTTTAAGAACAAAATGTAGGCACGGGCTCTTCTTGGAGACAAATAACAGCTATGAGATTTGACTTCTATACACCTGGACTACGAGAGAACTCCCTGCCTGCACCGGAAGACACCTAGAAGCGTCGACGCTGGTCCCACCTCCGTGAGTACGACGCTAAGATGAAAGGCACAGTAAGAGACTCTGGCACTCGAGAGGAGATTCAGCTTCGAAGTATTGAGACAGATAGCAAGGTTCTAAATGCTTTCAAACGCAGAACTCAACGACAGTGACATAGTATCTAAATGGATAGGACGGCTGAGTTCTTAGCGCCTCAGCGCCATACTGTCATCTTGTAGCGATTCGTTGTCTATTCGTCCAGTCCTCAGATGAGGCACTGGATGAACATGCAACGCTGAAAGCAGTACAACGCTGAAGAACGACCTGAGATTCCATATCCAGAAATTATACAACAGAAACAACTATACTCGACATGAGATTACGTTAATAAAAATGCGGTGCAGTTCAGTGGTAAATATCATTCGTAACCTTTCACTCTGTAGCAGGTTGCTTCTACACAAGTCAACCACGCGCACAGGCACGAAATCGCGACGGCAGCACACGAAGACGCGACTAGCATGGGATTTGGTAGGAAGTACATGGGATACGGTGGGACGTTGCCAGCAGCTGTCTGACTAATCTAAATCTACTACTTATATAATCAGTTGTAAATTGAGGACCGCCTGGATCAGAAGTCGCATGCGTTATTTCAAGGGCAGAAAGTTATGTTACGAACAAGAAATAGTAGCAATATTTTTCACAGCTCGCGAAGAAAGATAAAGAGGAGAGGGATACGTTGGCGATGGAAATGAGACAAGGGTATACACACGAGTCCTGAAGGAGGCTAGGGAGATTCGATGGCGGAAGCAACGATATCCAATTCTAGAAATAGGATCGCTGTCCCTGAAGCTACTTAGGAGGAAATGAAAGGGATTGAGTCGAAGTGTTAGATACATAGACATCCAGGCGTTTCAGAAGGAGCTACGGAGCACAGGTTCATCCGATCTCTGATTATCCACTTCCGAAGTGCCTCACAGTTGAGGCACGCACGTCAGTGGTAAGTGTTGGAATCACCACCCGAGTGCCATCTCCCATCCATTGTTACAATAGAAAACAACTCGATGAAGCCAGATTTTTCTAGTTGATAAATCATACTCATGCAGTTAGTTCTGATTAATAAGGTGCGGAATTCTACTACAACCATAAAATAGGATAGACGTCGTCGATGTTCAGCTCGTGCAGGATGATACTAGTGCAGCTGTAGATCACTGCGAACAAGTGGTAGCTGATCAAAATAATTGTAATACGAGATAAGATCACCCCATAGATGAAGCCATGGGTCTTGCCTACGTAAAACAATTAAGGAAGAAAGAATCTAAATTTTCCACTGGGTGCTTTATCTGTTTTTTTATAGCGATTCAAAATCGCTGCACCCTTTTCATCTTTGTCTCATCCTTACTCACAAAACTCCGCATCCGACTCGACCTCCTCCTCAAAGTCGCCGTCGCCCATCATGTCGATATCCTCTTCGTCCTCACCCAGCAGGTCGCCGTCACTCTCTTCACCATCACTGTCATCGATACGCAGGCGGACACCGACACCCTCGATGAGAAACTCCTCATCATCGTCATCAGCGTCACCGCTGCGACGAAATTTCGTGGACAGAGTGGACTTGACGCTCTTCACAGACTTGCTCAGGATTTGTCCGAAGTGCGCGGACAAGGCATGCTTCTCCAGAAAAGCAAGAGCCCTTTCTTCATTCTCTGCCTTGTTGAGGATCTGGTCCAACACCGTCTGGACTCCAACCGCCATCGTCGTATTCAGCTGGTCAGTTACGCGGAAGAGTTGTTTCTTGAGGCGATTCCATGCTTTAGCAGAGCCGCCTTGCAACAACTCGAAAAGATCGTTGAAGGACTCGATCGCGGCGTTCAAGGTTTTGGTCGGAGCCTGATGGGAGAGTTCAGGACGATTATGATTGCAGTAGTGTAGTAGCAGAGTCTAACTGTAGTCTTAAATTCGATTAGGTAGAGTTTGGAGATCCTACAAGAATCAACTTGAATGTTTTCGGTTTCTAATTAGAGTCTTCACTTGAGATCAACACTGAAGAAAAGGTGGGAAGTGTTTAAAGGTGCATAGAGGAAAAGTCAATAGAGAAGCAAGCCAGTACCTTCTTCATGAGTTGCTCCTGGTTGACTTTGCTCGAAGAGAACGAAACAGCCAAGTCACACGCTTCCTTCAGGATAACGCAACTGTAGTACATGATCTGAATCTCGTTGGTGCATTTCGAGTCCGTGGAGTCAAGTTGAGACTTTGTGACTTCCTCCACCAAACGGTAATCCGCAAAGTTGACTTCCTTGTTGTCGGCCAAAAGTGCAGGCAACTGGTGAGAAAAGAGGTAAAGACTAAGTGAGTTGTTTTGGATTTCGGAAAATCGTACTTGAAGTAGAACGTAGTAAGTCAACTCGGAGTACTAGAGCATGGAAGAGTCAAACGAACATAGACAATATCCTATAAAGAAACAAAAACGACGATGAACACACACAGGTCCTAACTTCAAAAACTCATCGGCGGTTCCCTGTCTGACAAAGATGGTCAGGAGTCTATCAGCATGTTTTGAAATATACAGGAGGCATCGCATACAAATGAACTAAGACGATGTGCTAGAATTATGGATATTATCTAGTACCGTGACGATCCAGTCGATCAATCTCTTCATCAGGTTCATGAAGAACTGGCGTGTTCCGAACTTCTCGATTCCCAAGAGATGCAGGTCCAAGGCAGTGTAGTGGTGCAAGTCGATGGCGAAACCAGTCAGGAATCCGCGCGTTCCCATTTCGCCCTCAATGTCCAGCACGACCTTCTCGAAGGCTTCGATCTTGTCATCGACTCCCAAAGTCACCGCAACCTCCTTCAGACCCATCTTGCGCAAAATGGTGCGCTTCACCTGATCGTAATTCAGCGCGAGGTACAGGACGAAGTTCTCGTTCTCCGGGCACAACTGCTTCAGGAAGACCATGAACTTTCCAAAGTCCAACATCGGCAACAAACCCGGGTGGATCTTGCAGGCAGTGCTCGCACCTTTCTCGTCAATCTTCGTCGATGTTTGCTTCAAGTAGCCAGCGAGAGTTAGAGGAGGGAGATTGCAGTGGACGTGGAAAGAACAGAGTAAAAGGGAAGAGACAGATCATGGTCTTTTTCAGTATGTCGGAGCCATCTGTTAGCATCTTCACAAGACGAGTTTCTAGTTTCTAAGTAATCCAGAGCAGCTCAAATTCCAGCTGAACCTGAGGTAGTTCTTGATTAGCTTTGGGCCTACTTCTCTGTCATCATAAGAAATCTTCCACCTCGACTTCGTCCGCAATTTTTTTCATCAGCTGTTTGTGAATGAGTGTGAGTTTGGTTAAATTCGTACGCTGAACATGAAGAAGATTACGATAGGACTGCTGCCCAAAAAGAGTTGGATCTGATCAAGATCGTCACGCACTTTCATCTTTCTCCTCATGTATGAATATCAAAGATGAAGCAGCCTCATACCAACCTCATTCACGCAAAAGATGCTCGTCCTTGTTGATGGCAAAATCACACACCATGAATTGTCTAAAGTAAAACAATCACTCATAGCAATATGTAGGGACCATCAAAAGATCTCCTTCGACGATCATCAACTGGCCGCGAGGAAGGCGCTTGGCGAGATTTTGCTGCGACATCTTGCTGACGGTGTTGTTGGAGAGGTTCATGAACTGGTCCTCGGCGGGGGCAGCCTTCTGCATACCCGGTAATTTCTTTTCTTCCTTTTTCATCGCGCTCTTGTCCTCGGTGTAGTGGGCGATGACCAACGCGCGCTGACCATCATCACTCTCGGCCGCGGACCTGCAGGTGATCACGTAGAGCAAGTTATTCCGATGGATGCAAGTTTTATGATCTCTAACGACATCTACCAAGCTTCATCATGAGTTGTAAGATGAAAAGAAAGAAAGTACTTGGTAGTTGTGCCGGTCAGTTCAGCCATGGCGCTCGCGATCGATCCATCGTCCTTAAGGGGAGAGGACATAGCGACAGCCTGCGGGGTCGCTTCGGAAGCGTGAAGCCTATGTTTATGTCGATGTGGTTGCGGTTCCATGTGTGAGTAGCATGTTTGTAGCATCAGCATCGTGCAACTAGTGCTATGACTTTGGTAGTATGTGCTGCCCAACTGAAAGCTGAACAGGTTTATCTTTTCATGAAGGTGCAAAAATACAAGCTACTTTTTTTTGATAAAAAATCATAAGTACTTCTTCATCTCCGGGTTGGGCGACGGAGTTCCGTACTGTTGGCGCGGACGTTTGCTTCCAGCTGTTGCCACCGTACCACCCAGAACACCACCACACACTCCTCCGAGGATACTGTTCTGAGCAGAGTGCTCCATAGCATCCACAATCGCCTTGCGCATCACGAAGCGGCCGTTACGCAGCATAATAGCACGGTCATTCTCAGATCCAACGATCTTGTGAAAAATCTCAGCCACAGCGCGTTTCGTGGAGGCATTTCCCAGCATGGTAGCCAGAACGCGGCACTGTTGCGAAATTTGCAACAGAGTAACGGAGATTAGAAGATGAAAGCCATGATCATGCAAAGGACAGACTAGCATAATGCATCTACTTACGCGACTGCGCCAGCGGTTGCCCATACCCGCTGATGTAGTCGACAGATTAGAACCACAGTGAAGTTCTCACGTAGAACGAAAGGTTTCTGGTCGAGAAAAATGACTCAACTACTGCGATGGCCATAAGTGCATGTTCATCGCCTGTGGTCAAGAGAATTGAGTATTAAGGTTGTGAATGTGAAAGGATTAGAGGAGGTAGGATTTCAGCTTGTCGCCATGGGTCTCTATCTGAAGACACTCATAATTGATTGTTTAAAAATAAAAAGAAGTAGAGTCATGAGTTTGAATTTCAGCCCATGAATCCTGGTAATTCCAGAGGCTACTCTAGTTACACGACGTCAAGACAAACTAGAAAGGACTGATCATGACTTAGCAGAAAAAACGAACGACACCAGGATGATAAGAAGAAAAGTTGATAGTTTTGGAATTACCATCTTGACGTGCGTGTAGATTTGGAAGGGTGTCATGCGTCCAGAAGTATGGCAGCGCTTGCAGCAAAAGTAGATAACGCGACTCATCCACTTGCAAGCAAGGAGATCGAAATAGCGGAAACGGGTAACACTATTGCCATCACGCACAGCGCTCAAGGAGTAGCAAGTGGCGAAATCCGTGATACATTTCAAATTGGTGACGCGTTGCAAACGGTGCAGGCTCGGTTCCTGTTGAGATGAAACGAAGAGACGACATGAGCACTAGGATGAGCAGTGCCAGAGTAAAGACGTAACTAAAGGTTTAAGTGTGGGTGGCAGAGAGTTGGTAGCAGCAACATCTTAAAACTTATCACTGTGTACTAGTTGAACTCCATCATGCTACGCCACGGTCTGAACTTGTAAAAATATTAACAGAAAGAATTCAAGTTAGTACCAAAATCAAACCATATTGACGGCAGGGTAAGTGTCCGCTGTTGCGTTCCAATTGTTTTTTCAGTTCGGTGATTTGCTTCGGGACTGTGCCAGCAGCCGTGATAGCGACGACATCATCTGAAGGAGGGATGTAAGATTCTTTTTCTTCATCCAAGCGAAAACTCATCAGCTCAGAAACGTCTTCCAGGTAAGAGGCATGCAGCACATCCTCTGACGCCTCAGGAATCCGCGGTGGAACGTTCATGATGTTGATCCTGTGGATGCTTCCGGGGGGGTGGTTATTTTGAAGCTGTGCCTTGGATTCTAGAGGGAAATACTTTCGTCGTCTTAAACCTTCTTCTGGATCCTAAAGGTGATAGAAAGAAAAGTTGCACTTCTTTATTTTTCGGGACGTATGAAATATATGACAGAACTACTGACGTCGTTGCCAAACAACGGTCCTCGATATTGAAAAGAAAGGATCGCCGGCGTTGTTGCAAACAGATGCCATTGATCTTCGACTCCTACTTGTTGATATTGAAGCTCAACCCGGTTGCTGTACAAGCTCGGAACTACTACGACTTCAGCACCACAGGGTGAATTACGCGCCACGACTGCAACACGAAAGACACTCTTTCACCGCAACAAAGCAGATAGAAAGCAAGAGCAAAAGCGTGTCGTGGTTCCAGCTCTCACTACGAGTGAGTGAGCATTCCTCTATTCAGTCACGCGATCAACCTCGACAGCGCGCCGGATTCCAGTAGAACGTGGAATGGCAATGCGACATGGCGAAGTCGGCGAAGACTGCAACGGGAACGAGAGGGACCAGAAGATTCCCGCCTTTCCCAAGATTGCAAGTAGTCCAGAGAAGTCAAATCGTTTTGATCTTGTTCTTGATCTTGAGTGATCTCCAACTAGAAAAGGATCTGCGCACGCACAAGCATGCACCTGCGAGACGACTTACACCTCGACCTTTCAACACTTTTACACGAGAAGGATCGCATCTCCTGCACAGATAAGGCAATCTTCGCGCCCCGATGACCGGGTCAGCCGATCCCGTTGGAGAGTACCGGTGAACACAACGAAGTACTTCGCTACCATAAGATAGCAGGTCCTTGAGCTCTAATTGCTCAAGATTAGTACTACTCTGCTTGCAATTCAGTCCACTGCTCAGCTACTCTATTCCCTTTACAAAAACCGAAGTACAACTAGGATGGAAGAACGCAGGTAGTTCGTTGAGCCATCTCTTCTATCTGCTTGTAGTTTCTAGTCTGACTGTACTACTGACGACATTTTATGAACAGAAGAAGAGTACGTCATTGCGAGACACAGGCGGTTCTTTCCAATTATATAGTTTACTACCTACGCTTAATCTAAGTCCTTAACTTTATCCTATCAGCGCTGGAATCGCATTCCTTCGCCCTGCACGCAGCGCAGGCATTCATGCACAACCCAGCACGAGAAAGAGTTTGCAGATCTCATGTTTAAGGTCTATAAAATGTGTAGAAGTTTCTAGGTGCTATAAATAAAGAAGCTTACATTTACGAAATCAGCACAAGAGCAGCAATTTTTTGAATGTCTAGTACCATCTTTGATTTTCCGCTGGTCGTTGAGATAGTTCGCTTCTTTTGTTCGGTCCTCCTCGCGGCACAAAAGTTTGACGTACACGTATTTGTTTATATCTGGTGGCTTGACTGCCTGGAAATGAGGGAAAAGTAGAAAGATCACTTGGGAAATTCTGCGTAGCTCAAATCTTCAATTTGTTGAATCCAGATGGTAGATTAGCAACGATCTACTTCAAAACTATAAACAAAGAGCTGCAGATACTAACGAGAATTAAAGAAACAACTATTACCCCGGTGTGCATCTTCTTCACGCATTCCTGCTTCTTGCCAAAAAACGGGTCGCGTGGCGCATGTTGTTAGAGGTTTCGTCTTCTTGACAAAAGTCAAGACAGCACGGCTTCGCATAGATCACGAAACTCTTCACTTTACTAAATTGCATTTGCCTGCGCCTACAGTAGACTCGACGTTTCTTTGTGACTGTGGATTGATCACGCACAGGCGAGTGGGGCTTAGATGTGGAGTTCAAATTCATAACCAATACGCTTGAGGAGCGCCTCCGTGAAGCCGTTTATTAGAGGTCGGACAAGTCATGAACTCCAGTGGAATTCCTTCACCACAGTCCACCTTTCTTTTGAGCTTGGATGCTGCTGCTGCTTTCTTTGCAGCGACAGCCAAGGTTAAGGTCATCAAAAGAATGGCTTGCCTGAGCCATAATTTCCAATCGAACTCCTTGTGGTTGAACTTTTTCGATCCTTTGCCTTGTTGCACCATGGTCTTGCTTGATCGTTGATGTTGTATAACTAGTCGCTATGTTTTATTCGTTGTGGGTTTAGAAATAAGTCACGCAGTAGACGAAGTAATAGTCTTTATCTTAAAAAGTATTCCAGGGAATCAATGATAGGACCAAAGGAAACGCTTAACGTTATAGTACTTGAAAAGTAATTGACTGATATTCTCAGCAGATATTCATTAACCATAATAAGAACTGTGACAATTGTCATTCAGTTGAGCATAGATATCGTAGGAGCTGACACCAGCAATTTTTTGACTGATTCTCTCGAAACGTAATACATTATGACTGCAGCTACCAGTGTATTCAAACGAAGAACAATAATCGAGAAGAAAATATAGAAGCAGATCATGGTACTCAGTGCGTTAGTTCATTTTCTAACTAGTTTACTGGTATAATAATTGTAGTCGTGATCTCGTCTAACTTGTTATATCATTCCTGGTAGTACATGAGTTGATATTTTTTTCTGCTCACTGCCCCTCCGAGAGCACGCTCATTCTTATCTCTTCCTATACAACGGCTTTTGAATTGAAGGTAAGAAAGTTTGTTGGAGCACAAGTCGAAGTAAGAAGAATGATCAAGCTGAGCATTGACGCCGGGTTGACTTGTAACGTTGCATCAAGAAGACAAAAAAGATGGCACGCAGACAATTAGCCTAGATGAAGCAGTCGCAATAGAATATAACGAACAGAAGAAACCTATTGGCACTCAGAAGTGAAAGATATGCAAGCCCAAAGACAGTATTAATTGAAGAAGTATGAAGAAGAGAGGACGACAAAAACAGGTGAAAGATTCACGCTCTCAGAACGTCTAGTACTACAAACAGAAAACTACGTGCGCAAAAGAATGAGGGTTGCTAGATGAAACTCTATTAGTCCATGCAAAATAGAAAATTTAGATTATTTAGAAAAAAGCTATAGCATAGGGGAGAAGAGGAAACGTGGCCGCCACGAGCACAAGAAAGATATAAGAAGGAGGCGCTGGGAAGTTGTTTGAGTGATACACTGTTGGCAGGTGAGTCTCTCAGCCCTCGTCCTCGTCATCTCATAGTCTTTATATCGACTTATTTTTCTCTCCAGCTTTTTCAGTAAAGAAGCCATTTGTCTTTTCTTGGAGACCACCGCGCCCGACAATCACCGGTGGCGGAAAATCTTGGCGAAAAGTTGCCGAGGCTCACGCGCGCGGCCCTTGTCCTTGTCTCATTAAAACGAAGCCCAAAGGAGCTCCGAAAACGAAACCGACACAACCCACACACAGACAGGCCAACCACTGCGCCGAGAGCATCACAAGCCGGCGAACCAGTCCGCGGCGCAGCCTCGCGCCAAATTCTCAAACGAATGCACAACGCCAGAGGCCTCCCAAGCCTGGAGAGAAGAACAGAGAAACCACAAAAACCACAGACAACAAGCGCGGAGCCTTATGCGGTTTCGTTGCAAGCTGTTGCGAGTTTGTTCTCAGCGATCCATTTCCATGTCTTCATCAAAAAAACATGGAAGACGAAAACTTCAAAATCTTCGCGGAATGTTTGCGGAAAGTTTACAAGTTTTGACAATGTTGGAACTTCATGCGCTTATCTTTTCGGAAAGATTCCGCAAAGATTCTTTTGAAAGATTTCGCAAACTTTTCGCCAAGATTTTTTTTTTTCATATCGAAAAAAAAACGAAGAGCCACCCCAGGCGTGCAAGCGCAGAAAGATGGCCAACGCCGCCCCGTTTTGCCACTGCTTCCCCGCCCGCGTTTCCCGCGTCCTCCGACCGGGTTCTCTACACCTCGAGGAGCTTTCACAGGCGTGCCTCGGCTGTATTCCAAGCAGCGCCGACGCCAATGACGTGCGGGCGGTCCGCACTCACCTGGCGCCGGGGCTGTCAACAACAGAGAAACACAACACAAAGACAAAGCACCCGAGGCCACGCCGCCGCCTTTTCCATACTCGAGAAGACGGAGGCAACGAAGACCAACCCGGGCAACTTTTCGCGAAGATCTCGCGGCCATGTTTCGCATCGACGCGGTGGTCTCCAACTTTTCCGTGCGCTCGCTCAGCAAAAAACTCAAAAGAAGTATGTGTAACGAAACACAGACAGACACCCATCGCAATTGTCTGCGTCCTAGCTTTTTCTCCTGCGACGTCTGACAGAAACCAGACCCAAGGCAATTCCCTCGAGTATCAACTCCGTATCTCTACGCCGCTGGCGCGCCATGTCGATGGAGATGATCATCTTCCTCGGAAGTCTTAACTGCAAGGCAGCTTCTCCACATCTTCTACGTGACTCGGAGTCAGTGCTTGTTTGACTCAAGTGGTTTTTCATCGTTCTCTCCTACAAGAGTTGAATCCTTGAACTGTAGTACATTTACTTGTATTAGAAGAGGACAGACACAGACACTATCTAAGCATTTTTATATTTGGGATAAGTTTAGTATTGACCATAGATATATCGCTATCACCATCTACGAGGTACGGAAATTTTTTGATATTAATCATTAGATACGAAACGAAAGTAATGACCTGAGAAAAGCTCGTATAGATAGCTTCGAAAATGAGGCTGCGTAATTCATTTTACTTCTAGTACAGCGAGCAAATAAGACCAAAACACCTGCTCTCAATATACACAGCTAAAACTAAATTGATTGTAGTAGCAATCAACTCAGTGAATCAGTGCTAGTACATATCGGAAGGATGACCACGAAGCATTTGAGTAAAATTTTCCACTTAAGATAATAGTAATATTTAGAATTTGACGCTCATTCCTTTTCCTATTTGGTCTTCATCTTCTTCATGAAAGGCGACTTGATCGAAAGTTCTTCCGATTCTTTGCCGTCCTTGTAAAAAGTGTACGTTGAAATCCATCCGTCGCGCCGACTGTTATGCGAGGCGCTGCTAATCTGATACCCCCGCGTGTGCAGTCTGCTTCGAAAGCGGGAAGCAACTGCTTCTGCCTGTTTCAGCTCATCCTTGACCTGTTTCGTCAGCGTTTTGATCTTCTCTCCACTGTGTTTGATCTCAGCTCTGGCACGTGAGATTGCAGTCTGCGTTTTTGCGTACCGATGCTTGAGCGCTTCTTCTGATAGCCCCAGAGTCGTTGTCGTATGTTTCTTCATCTTGTCAGCCAAGTGGTGTATGACGTCAGCAGGCGTGCGAGGTGCTGCAGGTGACGAGTCTTCATCTGGAGAAAGCTGATCGCTCTTGATCTCGGCCTTGCGTTTCTTGTTTCTGGAGATAGGAGTCTTCAAGACCCGTGAGCCTGGTGCAGGTCGTGGCTTCTTAGAGTCAGAAGAGCGCAGCCTTTCATCTGTTTGCACAAGTGCTTCTACTCCTCCGAAAGCATTGCCGGGCGGCACGTCAAGCACATCATCCGAGGATACTGCTTCATGAGCTAAGTCGACTTGCATCGCGTCGTCGTGAAGGAACACTGAACTGGAAGAAGACGACGAGACTTCTACCTCCTTGTTATGGCTACTACTATTAGGGATACTGCTACAGCACGGCCGCGCCGGAGCAGGCGACTCTCTCGACGAGACAGCTGCGTCAAGACCTCCACCGAAGCAACCTTCGAGGCACAACGAGTCTGCGTGCTGATTATCATGTGTCCCAATATTATCACTGGAATTCATTTCGCGAAGAGTAAATGATGGCTCGGTCTGCCCAGGTGCAGCAAGAAGTAGATCACGCCCCAGCAACTCATTTTTTTGTTTCTTGTTGTAAACTGCGCTGCTGCAATTATTAGATTTGTCATCGATGTCGCAGCCGACGTTATCATGATCCATGTCGCAGTCTAGCAAGTTCGTCTCGGACTCCAAATTATCACCATCTGGAAGCGATTGCTTGAGCACTATACTGCAAACGCTCGCCGGCCGACAAACCTCTCTACTAGGAGCTCTCGGCATACAGTGGCACCCGATCTTTTGGATGGTGCGCCGAGGTCGACTGCGTAAAGCACTGAAACCTACTGCAGACGAAGAACAAGAAGAGGATGTCGCGCCGTGATGTTGTAGTTGCTGACTTATCGCTGCACCAGTGGCCGCAGTACTAGATGAAGCTCTGATCCCGGTACTGATCGTAGACTTCACGACGTCTTTCTTGCTCGAGCTGGACACTCCGAGGCATCGCTGCTTCCTGGAGTCCAAACAACTAGAATCTTCGTGGCCATCTTCTACTTCATGAAAAATTTGACGACGCCTTTCTACATCTGTTACAGTACTGAAAGGTGGCTGCAACGAACTTTCGCAGCTACAGTTACTATCGTCACCGTCTCGAATCTGCGCATCTGAGTGCGACAGCGATGACGCTCCTACTACTACTCTCGAACAAGCGCTGCACTTGGAGAAAGACTTGGATCCGGCTTCCGAAGCGGATGACTGTTGCTTTCCCAGAGGCGCACGCGATTGCGATGCAAGCTGCAACTGTGCCCCTTGTTCTCTTTCCAACAAAAGCTGGCAGAAGCATTTGTTTGCGCTTCCGGCTGGTGCAGCAGTTTCTGCGAGGTATTTAGCTGCTCTATCGAGGGCATCAGAATCATGGGTGATCAGTTTTCCGTGTGCATCAATACCACGATCGAATATCCTCGGGTGCCCCACATGCTCCACCCATTTCTTAGAAGCTGAAGGCGTCGAAAGATATTCACGAGCCCAGTTTTGATGCTCCCACAACTGACAAGAGTGCGGCATAAAAATGCAGAACAGAGCCATTCGAAACTCGTTCTCTTCAGTGCAACCCGGCGGAGGCGGCATTTTTCGGAACAAGGGAGAATGATGAATCCACGACACGCTCGGAGAAACAATTAGAAAGGTACTTTGCGCAGTGCACGAGTGTTTCAAATTCCATCATGATTCACATCATCATAAAGCAGCTCTGAGTTGTAGACACTCGAAGTCGTCGCGGTCTGATGCAATGCACACGTTCCTGCCAAACGTACATAGTCACACTCTGACGATTCCAGGTTCCGACGATTCCGAGTACCCCCGAGCTCGATGACATATTTCAGCAAACGAGTACTCGAGTCCCTCTCCTCTTACCTACAAAAATTAGGCGTCAAGGCTGTTGGCTTTTGCAGCTGTGGCGGAGTCACGCCTTCACCATTTCCACGAGATGCGAGTGCGACGCGGACGACACAAGATCATGGCAGCACTGCTTCAGCCTATTGACATTGATGAGGAGTTTCTATGCTCCATCATCTGCTGTTGCATTGGTATTTCAAATATTTCACTCAAGAAGTAGCCGAAGGTAGAAGAGCTTCTACAACCTGTTCGCCACGTTTTCATACAGATGCTGAGTAAGAGTCCTGATGCCAGAGTATCTACGATGGGACTAATGTATTGGTCTTGTGAACTTACACCACCACAATATCAATTAATGGGTACGCTGGTAGTCTCAAGCTGATCACTTAAAGAACCGAACTACAATAAATCAGCAATCCAGGACTAGAGTCTATCGATCTTGGGGCAGACCTTTCGGTTTGTTAAAGGAGGGACTCCCATAGTGGTTTGGCTGTCGAAATTAAGGTGAAAATGAATCTGCAATGAGCTAAACACGACTACAGAAATTTCCCTGAGGTTTCCCTAGGCTCTTCCTCAGAAGTTCCGTTTTTCTCCCCAAAGTGAGGGGGTCAAATCGATGGATTCTGATGGTGTTTAACTTTTCGTTTTCGTGCTCAGAATGGGGACATCCCAGGGAAATTTCAAGGAAGGTCCAGGGACCCACCTCTTCTCGAAATGATTTTCAAAACAATTCCAAATAAGTTGAAAATGTCTGCTCTAAATGCTTCACCAATCATTATCTTCTTCTACTCTCAGATTCTCAGGCAGCTGCAGCTACGATAGCAACACCGACGATATCGAATCGCGATAGTATGGTGGACCCACCGGAAGCACTAGTAAGAAGCTGCTGCTCTAGAATGTAGTAGATCGTGTCTCACAACTACTCGTCACCATCTGCACCTTCCTCATCGCCTTCAGGAATATCAGGTAAAGCAGCTAGATCAGCTGCTATGTCGAGATTCTGAGCCATTTCAAATGTGGCTTCCTCCGGCGACGACAGAGCAAAGGTCTCCTCTGTCACAAGGAACTGTGCGTCAAACATGCTGAAGGTGATGACTCGCTGAAGACCTGCAATTTCAGTTGGTGTGGGACCAGCAGCAAGAAACGCTTCCTTCGGGGTTTCCATGAACGCTTCAAAGAGCTCCGTCAGCTCTTGGAGATCCTCGTCGGTTTTGCGTTCGTCTGGCCTAAGTGTTGCTGTATTCATATGCCGCAGCATGAGCCGAATCCTCGCAACCTCGCACTCCATGTGC